GTTGCGCATTTACTATGTTCTAAAAATGCAGCTCGCTTTGTTTACAGTGTATACAATATTGTACCTTATTGCAATCAAGCATTAACTCACTTTTGAACTTTTACGGATGAAATTGTCTTTGGTTGTTTACATTTCTTGTCACAAACATGGATTCATACTTGACCGTGATACAGTATTTCTACTAATACGGCGGGTAGAAGAAAATCCTCAGCACTTTGTATAAATCTAAATTCATATAAACTTGAAATTAGTTAGTGTCGAAGAATTTAAATTTAAGTTTCATTTAAACTATGGGAAAGGATCGGAGAAATAAACAAAATGATGTCTCTAATACTTTGGTTAAATAATAGGCATTAGTGTACCTACATAATATATGTACGTACATACGTATAATAAAAAAATATTATTATTACCTTTGCATTATATAAAATAGAATCTTTATGAGTAGGTACGATAAACATAAAAAAATATGTTCATATATTAATGATATTTTCTAAAAATTTAAGCAATATTTGACGACGCTATCTATGTAATATTGGTGATAGAGCTTATTAGAAGTAATAAAGCGGTTGCTCCAATTAGTTGGTAGCTCCCTTTGAGGAACGAAAAAGAATTACATATCGTACATAGTTGAATTTTTCTTTTAAGTATAGTATTCCATTCTGATAGTACTTGAGATAGGGCCTACTAGAGGAAATAAACGGAAATAAACTAGTTGCACCGAAAAAAGAAACGAAAAAGGGGATTACATATTTAAATACAATGTAACTGTATTAATGTTTCGTTCTGAAAATATAAGAAATATTCTGTGACTTTAGTAGTACTTCAGAAAGATTCAATAAAATACAAACTTGCCCAAATTTAATTTGGAAAAAAATGTAAGTAATATTTCGTGCTATGCAGTATTTGAGATTTGAGATAGTACCTATTCGAGAAAACCAGTTTTTTTTTTTTAAATAAAAACAAAGATTAGCATATTTATAATAAAATTATTTTACAGGGATGACCTGGCCTTAAAACAGGCATATAATTATGTAATTTAGACCTGTCTTTGCTTAGAAGTAAAAGCTCGGCACCTGACAAACAATTTTAGGGTGGGCACGAGCTTAAATACGCCTACAAGAACGAAGAAGAGGATTAGGTACAAAATAAAACACAATATTTTTTTCTGAAATCTAAGTATGTAATATTATGACTCACAGAGGTTTCCATTTACATAGACAGTTAGAGCAAAAACGTGGCAAATCCAATAATTCGTTGTTGAATAAAAAATGAGTGTGGTGTCATTACATATGTACACATAATAATTGGTATGTGTGTAATGTAAAAGAGTATTTTTTTGTTGTAATCGGTATTCTGTTATGGTATGACTTTTAGTATTCGACGCATCAATACGATTCGTGATGTGATCGAGACCGGATTTGATTTATTAGTAATGGTTACGATTTAACTATGGGAATAAACTTTTTCCGGGTTTTTAGTATATGTCTACTTGTTAGGCATGGGTAATATGGATACTGATACGATATCTATATATTGGATTGTTCTGGACCTTGGTGAGGGGATAAAGTCATCACCCCTTTCAATATCGCCTATTGGTTGGATGTCTAATTAATAAAGTCTGTTATCCAATATTATTTTTTGGATAACAGACTTCCAACATATTGGGCCAGTAAATAGATATTGTAACTAAAATGTAAAAAAGTGTATAAAAAAGTGTATGTGTATATATATATATATATATATATATATATATATATATATATATATATATATATATATATATTACCCACCCCTACTACTTGTAATATAGTAATTACTATGATACCACTATGAGTAGAAATACGGATGTATATTTGTTTACCAATTGTTTGATTGACGTTATACGGTTGCTAGCACAGTATTATATTATCCGTGACACGATGTTGAATTTTCTACTATCATTTCCGAGGTCGTCATTTGTGTATCACTTGCAATTAATGGATGCAGGTTGTTCGGTACCGATATTTATGGCCGTTCGTAGAGGAGGCCTATGCTCAGCAGTGCTATCTTATTAATATTATAAAATGTAAAAAATATAACAAAAAGATATTTTACGAATATAAACTTGATCGATTGAGGTAAAGGATTGTTAGTAACAGGGAATAGCATCCCCATTGTAATATATCTTATAAGGATCAAAAACACTCGTGCTTAATTATTGACAAATTCGTTACGATGGGTCATCTGAGCTGCATTAATCTTCATTTATTATCCCTCACTAGTATGATGCCAGAGTGTACAGAGACAGCAAAAGGGTTTTTTTTTACGGATGATAATGGAATAGTTACCCCGCCTACGCTATCGGTATACGCTGGCGGGACACCAGTGATAGATGACAGGTGAGGATGAAAGCAGGTCAGTTAGCCCATCGTGACGAATTTCACAAGAATTAACCACGATGGTTTCCAGAGGGAACTACGTGGAGGTCGACCTGATAGGGTATATTGTTAGTAATGGGGCTGTTAGATCCCATTATTAACAATCCCTTCCCCCCAAGCAAAAGAGGTTACCTTTCCATTTTTGTGCATTAAAAATCCCCGATCGATTTGAAAAAGTCAAAGTTTTCTCAATAATTAAATAAAGTTTGTAAATAATATGTCTGGTTAGGTCAACGACCGATACATACATACTACATACAAAAAAACTCTATGAATCCATTTCTTTTCTGATTACATATTGGATACCGTATCGTATTGGAAATTGCTAGGGATCTATTAAAAACGACAAATGGCAACGAGATTGATTGGTGCTTACTAAACCAGTCCTATAAAATGTTGCAAAAAATGTTCAAGTACATTTTTTACAAAACGAAATCTCATCTTCATGTATTGTGTTTTTATAATCATTTAGTGTTGGTACGCTACGAGGCTCTGGTTGTGGGTAATGAGTTTCCTAATAAAATTTGAGTAAAAACTTACCGTGTAATGGAGTTAATGTAAGTAGTTTGATAAACACTTACCATTGAAAAAATAAACTCAAATATAATGTATGATTCACTGGATAGTTTTTGTGGTAAACAAACATAAGGCTTGTCAGATGGTAAGGGTTTATCTTGAGATTTGAACTTTTAATGGTATACACTATTTTTCTTGACAGGTAACTACTTTTAAAAGATTTCACAAAGGAGGCGTTTCATAAGGAAGGGAGAAGATAATGTTATACAATGTCGCAGCAAAGTATGAACCGATTTTGATAATTCTTTTTGTAATCGATAGGTTTTAACTACAATTATAATAAAGTAATGTAATTTGCTTATTTGGAGAAGTTAAGAGAAAAATTATCAAAAGTCAACAATGTCCGTTCTACAATGTGTATCAGTTCCCAAGGAAATACATACATATACTTAATAAGACTATGTTTAATTTAAAGATAAAAAAGGGAAGGTAAGATTTTGATCGTGTGATCAGGATTTATTGATTATTAGAAATAAATAGTAGAATATGTCCTTCTCTATCTCAAATCCTACGGCATTTAATAAGAATTTGCTGCGCTCACAGGTAACTAACAAACTCATTTTCACACTTATAATATTAGTATAGACTCTTTTAAATACCTAAATTTAAATATATCCATTTAAAAATTAACAAACCAAAACTGAAGGGGGGGGGGAGATTGTTAGTAATGCGGACTACCAGCCCCATTGCTCTATATATTCCCTCAAGGCGGCCTCCACGTGGTCCACCCTGGAAACCATTGTGTTGAATTCCAAGTGTATTCATCACGATGGGCTAACTGACCTGCCTTTTCATCTCACCTATCATTCACTGGTGCCTCGCCAGCGTATACCGTTAGCGCAGGCGAGGTTAGCACTCCATTGTCACCCATTAAAAAAAACCAAAACTGAAAGGTGCTACTAGAAAACAGAATGATATATTATTAATTAGGTATGTATAGAGTAATTTTACACAATTTTATAAATAGATAAATACTCTTTTTTATTTTCTCCATAGGATTACAATAGTAAACTTATTATAAATACAAATATAAATCTTTCAATCACAATAAAGTTTACTTTTTACGTTTTACAAAATAGAAAATACATAGTTTGCCATCATATCACCCTTTAATTGTCTACTGCTAAACATAAGCCTCCCCCTTGTGGAGTTTTACTACTGGTTGCCACGTTTGGCAGGCAGATTGGCAATCGCACTTAGGCTTTTTTTAATGGGTGATATTGGAATGGTTACCCTGCTTGTGCTATCGGTATTCACTGGCGGGGTACCAGTGAGTGATGATAGGTGACGATGAAAGTAGGTCCGTTAGCCCATCGTGACGAATTCTACTAGAATTAACTACGATATTTTCCAGGGGGAACCACGTGGAGGTCGACCTGGTAAGGTGTATTGCTAGTAATGGCGGAATTAGACCCCATTACTAATAATCTCTTTTCCCCCAGCAGTTAGGCTTTGGAGATGTTTTAGAGGTACGCTGTGGCTCATCTCTCGCCCTCCCTTAGAAGTACAGTTTTGTCTTCAGTCGAAATCGCCAAATTAATAAATTTTAATTAATTATTTATTTGTCCACTACTACTACTACTAGATAGGTAGGTAAGGCATTTACTGTCTGCAAGTGTGGGAGGTAAAATGGAAGAGTCATTTATATTGACATGCGTCAACCACAACTTGTAATAGGCAGAAAACCAAAGGTCAAAATTACATCGATCAGGCAGTTTTTTTCTTTTACTTTAATATCTGATTTATTAAACGAATTTAAAACGATAATAATTCAGAACGTCCTGTTAAATATTTTTTATTTTTATAATATCATTATACTTTTTACATAATTATTATGGAACAACAGCGGTTACCTACGGCGGCGTGATGATTTTTTCTAGCAATTTATACGTATGTAAATAATGTTTGATGGTGGACTGATAATGTGGAGCAAAAAGTCTGTGTTTACCCATCAGTTCATCTGCCCATAAAAACAAAAGATGTGCGTCCACAGTTCGTGTCGCAGTTTGTTCGTCACCGAACGTGCGCGTCCCGCCGCTGCCGACGCGCTGTGCGTTTTTCTATCCGCATGTGACAGAGTTGAAACTATATCTTGTATTTTATGTATATATCTACTATCGTGATAGTGAATTTATCGGTTTAAATTGTGATTATTAAGAAAGGTTTGTTTTGTGCATATATTATACGTTAATAGTTATTAAATAGGTCTACATCATTTAATGTGTCTGAATATTAATTTATTTTGTACATTCGGTTCTTACGATGGAAACACCGGCAACAAAAAATAATTTTCGTGACAGCGATAGGCTCGCGCTTGACCGCGTTGGATACTACTACGCATAGGAAAATGTAGGGATGTCGAGTGTTACCTTCATAACAAAAGCAAAAGTCAGTAAATAAAGCCTAAGGATTAATAGAGTATAGTTAGAGACATTTGTTGCGTTCGTATTTTTAATGACCTAATTTAAAATTTGATAATTAATATAGGTATAATTTTTTTAATTAATGATTATATTTATTTTATACATGCATTAATGTTTTAATAAAAAAAATATTCGTGTATTTCATATCATAATCCATAATATTTTTATTTCATACAGTTTATCGAACTAGGGCATAGATAATCATAATCATCATATCAGCCTGCTGAACATAAGCCTCCCCCTTGGCGAGTTTTGCCAACAGTTGCCACGCTTGGCAGGCGGATCGGCAGCCGCAGTCAGGCTTTATAGATTTTTTGAGGGACGCTGCTGCCCATCCCTCGCCGTCATTTAGTCAACTTCTACAACATCCATGGGAAAGGAAGGGGTGGCCTATTCTATAATGCCTATTATATATCTATATGTTCTTTTTATATATGTAGTTTTATATTTTATATATTTATATAACATTTTAAGTATTTCTTTTTATTTTATGTGTTTGCTTTTAATGAATTACTCAAGCTGTGCACATAATGTAATTGGATTATAACCTAGCCAAATCACAAATGTAATTATTACTTAAGTTTTTTTATGGTTGTGATCTGTTTTATGTGCCAATAAAATAAAATAAATAAAAATATATTCCGGGACCACACAGCGAGCGACCACACATAGATAATACATGATAGTAAAAAGGAGAAAATTAAAATATATTATTATTATCATCTGAAAATATATCTTACCTATATAATTACAATAGTCACAGTACAATTAATGTTACTAGTTCTATAGATATAGAATAATTATTGTAACTAAGTGTAATTACTAGTGGAAATCATGATAGTATAGGCAAACGAGTAGTTCTAGTAATGAGACAGATATCACTCCTATAAGTAATTTGGGGTATAGGAATATAGACGAGTTTTTATTACGGTCATACTGACTGACAGTGGCGCGTAAAATCTAATATGTAGATACATAAAACCTTGAATTATCTTTTATATTGAACATACACAAAATTTAAATTTAATTTCCTATAATCACTATTATTATATTATATTTATGAATGGATATACAAATATAGTAAATGTAGATATTTCCTAATTTCCGTAGTTTTTTTTTAATGGGTGGAAATGAAATGGTATATCTTTTAACACTATCGGAATACGCTGATGGGGCACCAGTGAGGGATGATAAGTGAAACAGATCAGTTAGCCAATTAACCTATCGTAATCAACAAGAATTAATTACGATGGTTTCCAGGGGTAATCATGTGAGGTCAACCTGATTGCTAGCAATATACCTTATATTGCTAGCAATTAGGTTGTTAGACCTATTGCTTACAAAACCTTACTCACTAATTTCTATGGTTACAGATATATTATTCTGTTTGTCTGTGTGCGTAATAATCTCTCTTTTTGTATATACTCGTAGTATGTAAATAATCATGTACGTATGTAAATAATGCACTATTTTTAATCGATTTCAAAAAGGAGGTTCATAGTCCGGTTGTATTTTTTTTTACATTTATTACTTTATATTTGCTCTAATTGTAAATCGATTTGGAAAATTCTTCTCTTATTTACTTACAGATAGGTACTTTAAAAAAATATTTATAAAAATCGGTTGAGTAGTTTAGTTTTTAAATCAAAATAACTGGTTTGCCACAATTGAAGTCGTTATTAAACTTATTTATATTATATATAATTATAAACGTACTTATTTAAAATAATAATAAATAATATCTACCAAAAAACTGATCATTTCATATATTTAGAAACGTATCCAACTAACATGATAATGACAAAACAGTTAGTATTAGAAATAAGGATTATAATATAGGTTTTTTATAGCTTAATTATTTACAATTTTTAACTATTGTTATAAAGGTGAAATTGAGTTAAGTTTTCATATCTAGAACTTAAACGTAAAAATCAGGAAGTTTTATTTTTCTCTCTTAATTCAATTTACTATATAGAACAACAACAATTTACTGCAAAAATAAAATATAGTAAATTTCGTGTCATTCTTAGTGGATAGAACCTTCAAGTTCGATTTCAGAAAGACTCAAAGACACACAAGACCTCTCCATTGACAAATAAATAATACCTGCACATTAAAAAGACAACAAAAGACAGACAGATACTATTAGTAGTTATTAATATGACGATCAGGCAGAGTTTTACTTGTAGAAATTTTTTGTCCCTTTTTAGTAAGGAACTATATAAATTCATCAGAACACTAATATAATATTTATGTCATATTTATGATAATATTTTATGGTCAAAATGTCAATAAACCCATTAATATGAGGCATTTCATTCTAAATTTAGAATATTTAAAACTTCTATATATACATTAATTAAACTGGTGCCGAACTGCCGAAAACTTGTTTATGTAATAGAAGTCCTTAGACAATATAGAATATTGTAATAATGAAAGGAGAGCGTCCACAGTGTGAGCTTTACACAGGCCAGGCAGGCTCTAAAATGAATTTTCTATAGATTTCAAAAAAGGACATTCAAAATTCGGTTGTATTTTTTTATATTTGTTATTTTAGAATTTCCTCATTTAAATTCATAAATCGAATTGGAAAATTACTTTATTCAGATTGTTGACACTGAAATTTTATCAAAATTAATCGGTTTGCCACGAAGTCGGTGTTTTTTTGTGCAACGTAATGTTAAACTAATTTACAAGCAAAACAAGATGGTAACTCTGCTTGCGCTATTTGTATGTTAGTGGGATAATAAGGAGGGATTACGTCAGGGTGAATAGATTAATTTAGCTCATCGACAGTACGAATTTATTAGAGATTAATCCTAACCTAAATAAAAGTATAAAATAAAATTAAATCTTGTTAATATTTAACAAAGAAATCTTAATTAATCCAACGTACTTATTACCTACTTAAAAATAATACGGAATGTGGTTTTTAACGGACTTGACTGTACCGTTGCACTCAAAATGTGTGTGTATATACCAATATTGCTACTATAATAAACTTTCATTTTATTTATTTTAATGTTTCGAGTAAAAAGTATGTATTACTAACTTTTACCTGCGACTTTGCCTGAGTGGCCGATATGAAAGATCTCCTTTTGCCTGTTTTTGCCTACTTCTATTTCTGTCCCATATAGTACGTGTTTATTAGATTTCATAGTGAAAGCTTTTAAAGCATTAAGAGGTCATAAACAAATTATCACAAATATTAACAATATGTACAGAAAATGAATATTTGATTATATAAACTTAATTATATAAAAGCAGGATAATGAGGCAACTATGGGCGGCCTTATCGCTAAATAACGATCTCTCCCAGGCAACCTTCTATGGTTCTAGCATCCTAAGATTAAGAGGAATAACTAAAATTATAGTTTGTAGTATTTTATTTATCAATAAAAAAATTCATAATAGTCATTTTATCCATTCACATTTTTGTTGTAAACTTAACTTTTACTCGAAAAAAGCAAAAGCTGAATTTCTTGCCCGTTCTCCTTAACTCAATTTGTATTTTGAACTAGGCGGTAGATTCATAAGAAAATAACTATTCAAAAATTATTATATATATATATATATATATATATATATATATATATATATATATATATATATATATATATATATATATATATATATATATATATATATTGCATTTCAAAAAGATACCCATATAGCAGATGGATCTTGTGGGGGTTATGTATTTATACTATATATTTATACTCAATTTGTTATGATCATTTAGTTACGTATTATATAATATTGTTATATAATAATTTAATTGTTTTTACAGATCCAGTCAGTTGACACAATGTTAAGATCTCCAGAGGTGAGTATCTAAGTATACTTACTATTTGACAACCTTGATGGTATAGCGATTTAATACACTGCCTCCCTCATACCCTCCCATGATATTTTTGGGGGGGACAGGGATTGTTAGCATTGGAGTTTGACAGCCCCATTGCTAGCAATATGCCTTATTAGGTCGACCTCCACGTGGTTCCCCCTGGAAACCATCGTGAACAATTCCTGTTGAATTCGTCACGATGGGCTAACTGACCTACTTCATTCTCATCTATCATCCTTCACTGGTGCCCCGCCGGTGTTCAATTCAATTTCATTATCATCCATTAAAAAAACCCTACCATGGTTGTAGGGTCGATTTCCACTCAAAACAAATTATATTTACACGCTCGGTCGTCTCTTCAATGCCTATGATAGGCAGCCATAATTGCCTTTTAGTACTTAACAAATTCAGTAATTTCACTGACTATATCAAATCTTCCAAAAATATAAATACCTATATGTGTAGTAACATTCATTTAATTTGAATGATAATGAAGGTAGTAATGTCGCTTATGCTATTGGTTAACGCTGGCAGGATACTAGTAAAGACTGAAACTATCATCCCTCAAAATGAAGACAGGTTTTTTTAATTGATGATAATGGAATGGTAACACCGCCTGCGCTATTGATATACGCTGGCGGGACACCAGTGAAGGATGATATGTAAGAATGAAAAGGTAGGTCAGTTAGCCCTTCGTGATGAATACACCTGGAATTCAGCACAACGGTTTTCAGGGGGAACTACGTGGAGTTCGACCTGACAGAGTATAATGCTAGCAATGAGACTGATTACGCATTACTAATAATCCCTCACCCCCTGGAAAGGTAGGTCAGTTAGTCCATGGTGATGAATACACCAGGAATTAAGCACGATGGTTTCCATGGGGGACCACGTGGAGGTCGACCTGACAGGGTATATTGCTAGCAATACCCTATTGCTAGTAACTTTCTCCAGGAAGGTTACTAGCAATAACTCTTGTCTACTATTAGTAGTACTACATATTTATTTTAATTTACTCCTTTTTGTATTTAGATCAGAAAGTTTTGTACAATGTTAAATAACTGCAAGAACGGCGTAAACTGTAAACTTTACGCTCTCGGTATACTAATGTTGCTTTACTGGTTACGATACTTTTATGGTTATATATATAAGGTTCAAAATGATATAGCGCTATTTTAAAGTGCAGTTATCCGCAACAGTACAAAATGTTTACAGCTGACCGATGATTTGAATAATAGCGGACATAATATTGACTAGAAACTTGATGATACATACTACTTTTGCTATTGGAACTGTAATTTTGAGGCATATTTGATCTAAGACTAACTGAGTACTCTGGCTTTGCATGGGTATATTAATGAAGCTAGGAAAATTTTGATTCACAGAAATCAAAAATACCGAATTGAATTGTGGCAAAACCAGTTATTATGATTTAAAGACTAAATCTATTTCGTTCTAAAATCCTATGGGTCCAATTTGAAAGATTGAAAATAAGAAAAAATAACTTTCTAAATTGATTTATAAATGACGGGGGTTTAAAGGAATTAACATAAAAAATATAATCTAATTGAAAACCTCCTCCTTTTTTGAAGTCGGTTGAAAATGAGATCAAACCTGCCAATTTTCTCAATACTTTTTAAGATCACTCTATCTATAATCTGTCTCACCTCACTCAACGTTTTTTCGCTTGTTTACTTTTCTGTGCAAATTCTCGAAAAATAAAAAAAAAAATGTGTTATAACCAAAATACACAAAAAAATGAAATAAATAGATGCATGTTCATTAGTTACCATTACTAATAATCCAGTCCCCATTCTTAAGTTCAACTAATCCCTTTTCGATTATAAAATTTCGTTGAAATCCGTTCAGCCATTTTCTTATGTATGTTCACGTTTATTGATTGTTTTTCATCTTACTATCATTTATTAAGAACTGATGAAGACACATACGAGTACATGCAACAAATTTTTTTTTGGAGTCGACTAAAATTTTAATTACGTTATGATATGGTTATGTCTCTCATAATTTCAATGTTCCTAAAATTCGTATACGCTTCCAATGTTGAATTGATGTTCTCATTAGACTTTAAAATATAATTTCTATTATAATACGGTCTCTTTTGGATCGACCTTGTGGCATTTTGTTTTTACTACTTAAAAAATCTTATAACAAAGTCACAGACAAAATTCTAATGTTTATAATGTTAAATGATTGTATAACTACGTATAAAATGCCAGCATTATTCATGTTTAAAGTAGGTAATTATCGGGCAGTATTTTTTTGGTATATAATTATTTTAAATGGTCAAAGACAGGTACTTAATTCTGAAAAACGCTAGCTGGCCTTATTATCGTAAGTCAGGCTGAATTTATGAAGATTTTAACAGTAATATAAATCTAGTACTAGTAATGGGTGAGCGCGTAGACATTTACTAAAGGAAATTTAATGAAATCAGTAATAGAAATAACGTTATATTACTAAAAACTTTTTACTGTGATACTTATGATGCCAAAAAGAGTTTTTAATATGCCTTTATTGTAAACTATGGCATAGGTAAAGGAATAGAATAGAATAGAAACATTTATTGCCAGTAAACATACAATTACAAACAAAGTGTCCCATACTAGGCAAAAGGAGCCGGCTCAGCTGATACTGTGAGTGTCCCAACGCAATGTGAACAGCTGCACAGCGCTGGTTTTCAGCCAGTCCCTCTCTTAACAAAACATAACCAAAGTGCAGGGTACCACTGTAAATTGAGGAACACAAAGGAGTGATTTTGCGTGACTCTTGAAGTACGAAACATTTTACTGAGATTTTTGGATTCAATCTTAAAGCCCTCGAATTGACTAAGCTATCATCGGTTTGTTGATACATTTTAAAATAAATACTTTAAGTCTTGAAGATAAGAAGTGATTTCATAACCACTGCATATATAAACTGATTTGTTCTATCTACCATAATTAAACAAGTAATCACTGAAACATTATTGGCAGACTATACTTGATACAGAAAGAACTGAAGTAATAAGGACTCGAAAATATATTTATAACTAAATACATTTACCGTTTGGTCTCGGCATAGTATAGAACACAGCCTCTTTTCCCGTGGGAGTCGTAAGAGGCGACTAAGGGACGGCGAGGGATCGGCAAAAATGTCCCTCCTCTCTAAGGCCCGCCTGCCAAGGCAACTATTGGCAAAACATTTATGTTCAGCAGTGGATAGCTAAGGGCTGATATGATGACGATGATGAAATACATTAAGTAAAAAAGCACGAAAATTTGGTATCATAAGTTTTGAGTATTACTAGGTAAGTGTTACAAACAGCATACGGTTTAGAGAAACATAATTTTTTTACGTTTCATTGATATGCGAGCACCTAGGTTGTTTTTTTATATTTTGTTAAATTAAACAGTTATATAGATGACAGTCTATGGGGGAGGCTTAAGTCCAGCAGTGAACGAATAATGGCTGAAACGATGATGGTGATGATGATGATAAATGGGCTTTAACATTATTACTCCTGAGTATATAATAATTTATTAAAACTTTAGTTTATAACATGTTCTGCTTTTATAACATGTGAGTTTGTGTAGTGTATCATCATGTATATAAATAAGCACATGATAGGTTTATTTTTTGTACACGTTAAATAAGTATACCTATTTGGATTAATTAATGGAATAAGTTTAAATGACAAAAAAACTAAGTTGAAGGTCTTTTATTAGGTACATACTTCTTACTCACACATTTTTACTGACCACAAAAACCGATGAAAACATTTTTTAGTTCTATTGTTTATGGACCTCAGATTACTACTAGAGTTGACTGCTTAAAATTTTTATGTGAAATACTAGCGATTCGTCTTAGCTTCGCATAGGTAGATAGATAGAAAAGTAAATTAGTATTTTATATGCAAATAAAATAATAATATTTGATACTTTGAGTTACATTAATGTAATTTTCGTAGGGATTTTTAATTATGTTTTAAATAATAAATTAGATAACTATATTACTTGCTGGTAATGTAACTGTCTACAGGTGAAAGAAGTTTTGAAATCGGTTGAGTAGTTTTCAGTTTATCTATTACAAAGAAAAAAAAAACAAACAATCAAATCTTTCTTCTTTATAATATATTAGTGGTAGAGTATAGATAAATGGTAGGGATACCAAGTCATTTAACCCATAGAAAAAATCCTCATTGTGCTGCAATGCACAAGATATAGTACGCACATACCTACTTATTATACTTCAGACTAATTGCTATACAATGTATAGAAATAACAAGGCATCATATTGAAAATAGATTCAAGAAGTTTTTGTTACCATACTTAAGTGATATTTAACTACCTCTAGATTTTCTAATTATGATTGCCTACACTTAATGTTAGAAAAACAAAAACTTCTTTGATAATCATAATTGGTAAATACCTATCCGTTTCTAAATCTAATTATAAACCATGATCTCGTAATTGTATTGATTTACTTCTTCGTTGAATTCTTTAGATTGAAACAATAGGTCGATTTCCGATTTAGGTGCATAGGAAATATGTACGTAAGCGCTGGCTATTAAGGCTTAATAGAACTATTAGGTTTTATTAAATTAAACAAAGAAAAATCATTCATAACCGTTTTAGATTTTGTATCTATACATCATAATCAAATAGAGTTGCGTTGCCGTTTTAGTTTTTTATTTTATTATATACATCTATCTATATATTAAAAATCAATTGCCGAATGTATGTAGGTTTTCCCAAGAGACTACAGCATGGGGTTCTTCAAATGGGGGTTAAGAGATTTCTTCAGGGTTGGCAACGCGCGCGTAATGCCTCTGGTATTGCAGGCGTCCATAGGCTACGGTAACCATTCACCATCAAGTGGGCCATCTCATGTATGCCATCTCAGTGGTATAAAAAAAATGTACTTTCAACATCAAATAAGTGTTTCGTTCAGCTCCGAAATTTCGGAAAACATTTTATGGTAGACTCTCTGCTTTCATCTACGCCTATCATCCATTCACTGGTGCCCCGATACCGACAAATATCGATAGAGCATCCCGCTTGCTCTATCGATATTTGTTACTAAGTTGTATTACGTTATTTTATAGTTATAAGCTATATTGTGTTATATTCCATTATCATAAATTACTTCTTTGGAAATTACAGCTGTAAGCCGACAACCGACTTCAAAACTTTTTTTATGTTTGTTACCAGCTGTTCGAAATGATGTCCACAATCACCTTTTACAATCGCACCGCTCGCCATCATCATCATTCTCACATCTAAACGGTTATGTAAAATGTACAGACTATGAAGTGAGCTCCACGTCGAGGTTTTCCTTAGAGATTACAGTATGGGATTCTTCAAAAAACGGCGTATTAAATTTTCTTCAGGGTCAACAACGCGCACGTGACACCCCTGGTGTTGTAGGCGTTCATAGGTTACAGTGACCGTTTACCATCAGACTATATGCTTGTTTGCTACCTTCGTGGTATAAAAAAATAATTATTACCCCGTCATTTATATATCGATTAGGAAAAATCTATTTTATCTGATAGAATTTAGTTTCAGAATGAGTTTATAGAATTTTTTTATAATATTCTATAATATATAGTTTAATTTTTAAATGATTTTGCTACGGTTGAAGTCGGTGCCTTTTTGTGGAACAAAATTTTAAATTATTTAAACCAATTTTGTTTTCAGACATGCGCTTGTCCAATCCAAGAAGTAGGCCCGTCGATGGCGGGATCATGCCCCAGTCAATACCTGCTGTTCATGACGATATTGGAAGCTTTCATAAATAGCCGCTGTGACCTTGCGGATCCGTGTAAGAGGATCAACAGTAGGGAAGAATTGGATGACAGTTATGATTTCATAGTTGCGGGCGGCGGCACCGCAGGAGCAGTAGTTGCCGGTAGATTGTCGGAGAATCCTCAATGGAAGGTAACTATAGACAAAAATGAGTCAATGGATGATCAATACAAGTTGATGATGATACAAGTTGGCACCTCGATTGATCGATGATTTTTTTATGTTGCTTATATAAACTTATATGCTTAAGATATATTTTTTATTAACTTGTGTTACTTGATACTTTGTATTCACACAAATTTATTTAAATGCTTATTTTTATAAAAAGTAATACCTGAGTTCCATTCTCATTTAACTCAACTGAATTGCATTCCGAATTGGGTGGTAGATTCATAAAGAATGATTACCTATTTAAAAATGTTTAAAATTAATTTAATTTGAATATTTATGAAATATTTGTTTAAAAATATTATATTAATGTGAAGAAAGCGGACCTATTTCGCGTTTGTTTGAATTTTAGATTATACGTAAGTATGTCATACTACCGTGTAGTTCTGGCATAGAATGGACTACCTCTTTCTTTCTCGTGGGTGTCATAAGAGGCGACTAAGGGAACTTAATGGTCAATTGATGAAATATTCCTCTTAAAACATTACTTAACTGCGCCAAACTGCGGTTACCGACCTGCCTGGCAAGCGGGGTAGTTACTGGCAAAACCCTCCAATTGGGTGAGGCTGGGGTTAGTTTCAGGAGGATTAGTTCAGGAGAGGATAGTTAATGGTTAATATGAAGATGTTATGCTAAGTCTATGGTTTGAATCGAAGCATTTGGCGTTCTATTATTGCTACCTACTCAAATGGAAGACAGGCGTGACAGATATATATGTATTTTTATTAATAAAGTAATGCAAGTACCGCAGGCATCATCTAAGTATCACTTATGAATGCCTGTCTAGGCTCTAGACCCATTTCAATTTACCAGCATATCAATCTAGCAGATAACTAAGGCCTCCCATTCACAAAAGTTTTTCATCCATGTCGAGCCGAGCGAGAATCCGCGCATTGTTGTATTGTCAGATACTGCATAACTAATTGATAAGCAGTTAAATCTTCCTCGATCACTGTTTAATGATCGATTAGGATGGGCTATATCCATAAATCTGCAGACTTTTTAAAGGACAATTTACTCGTTAGTACATTTGATAAATTACGTGAATGTGTTGGATTAAAAGTTTAAAGTTACGTTCGTATACATATATGAGAATAAAATATATATTTTCACTGACTGTCTTGTCCTGTCTTGTAATTCAGTTTCAAGTTCAGCTTATATCGTCATATAAATTAGCAGGCCAACTGTAATAAAATTTAGGCTATATATAATATGTATTACCTAATTGTGGTCGGCGTAGGATAGGCTTCTTCTTCCTTCCTTTCTTATGAGTGTCGTAAGACTAATGTTCAGCAATGGCGGTTAACGGCTGAAGTGATGATATTATTTTATTAATGAGTGATTTTTTTAATGGGATCTAATAGTAAAAGTTTTTTCCTCCTTTGTTAATAAAGCTGTGACTTCGTCTGTGCTATCGGTATACGCTGACGGGACACCAGTAAGAGATGATAGGTAAGGATGAAATTAAGTCAGTTGACATTGTAACGAATTCATCAAGAATTAACGATGACGATTTCCAGATAGGACCACGTGGAAGTCGATCTGACAGAGTATAAAAATCCCTTTTTTATTATTATTTCAGCCATTAACTGTCTACTGCTGAACATAAGTCTTCTCCATAAGGGAAGTTTTGCCAGTAGTTGCCACGTTTGACAAGCGGTATTCCGCTATATCCGCTAAGCCAAACTGCGGTTGCAATAGCAACTTTCAGAGATGTTTTAGGAGGGACGCTGCTGCCCATCCCTCGTCCTCCCTTAGTCTACTTTAAGGACACACACGGGAAAGGAAGGGGTGGCCTATTCTATGCTGGAACCACGGCTACTAATAATTCTTTATTTTCCCACTATAGTTTTATGTGTTTGCAGGTGTTATTAATAGAAGCGGGGGGTGATGAACCAACTGCTTCATCTGTGCCAGCGTGGGTGACAGCGTACTGGGGTCGAGAGGACACTGACTGGATGTATTATACGGAATCTCAAGAGAAGGCTTGTTTAATGGACGAGGGCAAATGCTACTGGCCAAGAGGGAAAATGCTAGGTATGTTACTAATGTTATTAAGTTACCAAGATATTTTTCAGTAAGAGAGTTAGATATGTAAGAAGGTGAAAGAAAGCAGAAGAAATGTGGTCGAAATGCGATTATTACACAAAAATTGCAAAATAAAATTGACAGATGGCAATTATAAAATAGTGGTGTGTAAAATTAAAAAATGCACACTACGTTGATTTGGATCTAAAATGTGCTGATAAAATAAAAGAAAGTCTTTTCACATAGTTCGCTCTTCCTACTCCGCAAGAGAAGTGAAGATATATAGACAGACATACCTTTAGTTGAAACTAGCGCGTAGAAAAACATATATTACCTGCTTAAATCCGAAATCTACACCTACGAACCTCGAAATTTGAGACCATTTTCACTTTTCGCTACTAATGTTTCCCCATTGGTTTATTAAGTAAATTTGGTAAGAATAGCTTCAGTAATAGATTTTTTAACAGATGAGAATGGAATGGTAACTCCGTCCACACCACTGATATATGCTAGCGTGATGCCAGTAAGATATAATAGACGTGGATGTGAGTAGGTCAGTTAGCCCATCATGATGAATTCCCCAAGAAACGATTAATCATAATGGTTTCTAGTGGAAGGAACCACGTAGCAGTCGACCGGATATTGTTGGCAATGGGGCTGTTAGACCCTATTACTAACAATTCCTTTCCCCCTCAGTAATAGGTGAGGTTTCTGGAATCTTATCTGGGATTTAATCATCACTATCATATTTCACTATTACTTCAGGCGGGTGCTCAGTGATCAACGGTATGATGTATCAACGGGGTCATAGTGCGGACTACGATGCATGGGCGGTGAACGGCGCGACTGGCTGGTCCTGGTTCGACGTGCTGCCGTACTTTCTCAGGAGTGAGGACAATAGGGAGATTGGTAAAGGAATATCCGGCCAGTATCATAATACTGGTGGGCCGATACCAGTTCAGAAGGTATTATAATCAGATTTTATTATATAATATATTAATTATAGCCCGCGGCTTTGCATACAAATAAATTTAAAACAATATTGTTTTGGATTCTATTGCTCTCATTATGATGTCTTTTCATTCAGTTTTTTCTTACATATATGAACAGACATCATTTAGTTACAATTTTAGTACATTAGTAAGATTTCTGTACATACAGATTTCTATCAAATTAATATAAATCCGAAAAGAGTTTTAGTTTTCAGAATGAAAGAAACATTCTTAAATTGACGAAGTTACAGCTATAAAACATACCTATTTGTATAACAATTAGTCTGTTACTCTAAGGTTCTCTTGAAGTGATTGTTTTCAGCAATAAGACCGCCTTACTGTCCTTGTACAATCGTATCGTTATATTTATTGTCTTGCTTATTTCCTATATTATATAAAGCATATAAATTGCTAATGGACTATATATTTAATTACTAGATATTTAATTGTTATATATAAATAGATTAGTAATAGACTAGGCATTTATTTAAATTGGGATTTCGTATACATCGTTGCACTAGCAAGAAGGTACCTTCTTATTGATTGAACGTGTCTTATTCTAATAAAATTAGGGAAGTGGAAAGTCAAGTTAGAAAAGTAGATATACAGCGAGCCACCGTCATGATTAGGTTATGGTTGTCATATCATACTCCTAGCGTTACCAAAAAAATCAAAATACCTACCTTCCATGCAGGGTGCGTTCGTGAGACAAGTATATAATTCAAAAACTAATTTGTAATTTGTCCATGTTCCAGTTTCGTTATGCACCGCAGTTCGCTCACGACGTTGTGTCCGCTGCTATTGAGATTGGTTACCCGCCTACCAGCGACCTCAACGGAGAAACCATTACAGGTTTCACTATAGCGCAAACCATGAGGTGGGTATTATTTGAGAGCTTAGGAGGTCTAAATCTGAATAGTCGTAAAATCGAATGCTTTATATTCTTTTTTTTTTTATAATTTGCTGGCCCCGGATATTAATTACCAAGCTTTTTACTTTTATTATATTTTTCAATTTTATGTACTATTACATTGTACATATAAATTACTTATTCTATTATTACAATCTTAATATGAGCTATCTATTCTAATTCCAATCTACAGTCTGCTATCTAATATACTATCTTGGCTAGGGTATTTATTCCCTCTTATTATCGTGTTCTAGTTTAATTTAGTGATAAAAATAGCCGTATATATCCTACAAGGTCGACCTCCACGTGGTTCCCTCTAGAAACCATTTTGATTATTGTCAAATTCGTCACGATAGATCAACTGACCTGACTTTATCCTCACCTATTATCCCTCATGCGTTGCCATTCCTCTGTAGTTTGTAATTTCAGATGATAAAAGTAGTATAAAAAAACTGAAACTCTGAAATCATTACGTATTAACGTCACTTTTTCAGTGATGGTTCCCGCTACAGTACAGCGCGCGCATTCCTTCGCCCAGGAGCGAAACGCCAGAACCTTCACGTCCTGCTCAATGCTCACGTGTCCAGAGTAATAGTGGATCCCGCTATCAAGAAAGTCCTATCTGTCGAGTACATCAAGAATGGAGAGACCAAAACTGTAGGCGTAAATAGAGAGGTAGAGATCATAGTTATTATAATTTTTGATCTAGCGGAGTATTTAATTTTATTAATATGTAATATATAACTATAAATTATATGTAATATATATAGATATACAACTTCTATCTAAAGTTATTCATCTCTTTTCAGAAACAAAAATATCATTACAACTAGAATCATTATTGGGGTGGTCGAAGTAATCATCGATATTAATAGTAAACGTAACATTTGACATATTCTATTTCGCTGAGCGTATTAAAAGACAATGTGGCAATGTACTTTCTGTTGTTGTCTGTAAAAGATTGCTTTTAGCGATAAGACCGCCTTTTGTATATGCAAATTCTGTATAAATACTTCTTGTATACATCTCTATTGTGCGCAATAATTTATTATTATTTTCTATCACCAGGTTAGATTTAAACTTACAACTTTTGCTGTTTATGATCAAGATATACTACTAGATACCATTAGATAAATATAGATACCACTTGGTCACGACACTCTTTTTTAACTATAAGGGTCATCCTTACTTTTACATGGCTAAAAATAGGTACCCATTTTTTACAGGCAATTATATCAGCAGGCACTCTGAACTCTCCTCAAATTCTTATGCTCTCCGGCATTGGTCCTAAAGAGACTCTAGATAAGTTCAATATACCAACCATCAAGGATTTGCCTGGAGTGGGCCAGAATCTACAGAACCATGTGGGTCTTGAGATGAAGTTCACGTTAAATAAGCTAGCAGATATACCTGAATTGAACTGGGCTACTGCTATGGACTACATGTTGAAACGAGAAGGGCCTTTATCGGGAACTGGATTATCACAGGTATTAACAATTTTTTTAGGTAGGCAGTGGTTTAGAAATTCTATTAATGGTATTTCTGATTTACACCGTTTTAAAAAGTTTTTATACTAAACATTTGATCTGCTTTGCCTTCCATATATTATAGAATAAAATATACATTACACTTATACTTTTTAATATCAACTTTTATTGACTATATTTCATTAAGGGATATATTTCATTAAGACTATATTCCATAATTTGTTAAGTAAATCATAAACAGCACGCTGAAATTATACGTATATAAATACCCTAAAACGTCAATTATTATACATTTTATTAGGTAACATGATATAAATATGTTGTTACTCCAGTAAAGATATTTTAAATTTATTTGACAATTTAAAATTTCTATTTTAAATACCATACCACTGAAAAACGCCCCTTCCCAAATCGCCGTGAGCATATTTCGCTATTATAGCGCTGTATATTGTATGGTATGGTCGAACCATCAAATTCATTGACAGTTTTCTGAATTATTAAGTTAATTTTTTTTTATATGCTAGCTAACTGGCATAGTGAACTCCAAATATGCCTCGTCGGGTGGTAGAGATCCTGATCTTCAATTCTTCTTTGGGGGATTCTACGCTGGTTGTGGAAGTGGTGACGTGATAGACCCAGAATCTGATCTGAGTGATAAAAGAGAAGTGACGTAAGTTCTATTAAAATTGTTTTTAATTTATTAGCTATTGCAATAAATATATAAAAAATTTAGTATATATTGAAAATATATAATATGAAGGTATATAGATAATCAGTTTTAGTAATTAATTTCATAATTATTTATTCTACTGATTTCATGGTTTTATGTGATATTTACCAGAGGGAGACATTGTACAAAAGTCGATTGCTTGGGTACCTCTGTCCCATTCGTGTTTCAACTGTGAAGCAGTTGTGTTTGCATGGCTGTGTTTCGGTTTGAAGGGCGGGATATGCCGTGAATTTACTGGGTACAGAGGAATAAAACCTGAGTCCTCAGGAATGGCAACCCATGGGGAGTATCATGGGCGAAACAGTATACTCTGTTATGTCCATGGTACTGCTTATGTCTATAGGCGATGGTTACCACTTTCCATCAGGTGGGCCATCAGCTTGTTTGCCATTGCTATGTTGTATAAAAAAAAATTTAAGAAAGAACAGATAGGAACTTAGTCTCATTATTGAAGTATTAACATCTTATACAACAGATAAACCTTAGATTGTGAAGTACGTCATACTAAGTCTATAAGACAAACAATTTATTGGACCTAGATAAAGTTGGAATAATATTTTTGTTTACACTTACAACTCATTTATAGATTTAAGATAATTATGGTTCAATAGTGATATCTAAAGTCCGCATGTTTTTTGTTTATTTGAAATGTGTTAACTGCAGTTTTCAAGTGATTGGTACGGTAGTTTTAGTAGTACTTGTAAAAATATATCGCATTCAAGTTCTAGTATTAAAGCACTTTACGAGGTTTGTCCGGAAAGTACGTATAAAAGTTTTTTAAAAATTTTATTTTACAATTATTCAGGTAAATCAATTTTATCCCCTTCAAAGTACTCCCCCTGTGACATAATGCACTTGTGCCAACGCCGTTTCCACTGTGAGAAGGCTCCTTGAAAGTCCTCTGGTTGTAGGTTTCTCAGCTGCCCCGTCGTAGCTTTTTTTATCTCATTTATGTCCCCCAAATGCCGCCCCCGAAGTACCAATTTGGTTTTTGGGAACAAGAAGAAGTCACACGGGGCCAAATCCGGCGAATAGGGGGGTGTTCGGTCACCGTAATGGAATTTTTACTCAAAAACTCACGGACAACAAGAGAGGTGTGGGCAGGGGCATTGTCGTGGTGAAGAATCCAACGCCCCTCTCGCGCCAATTCTGGACGAACTCGTGCCACACGAGCTTTGAGGCGTCTGAGCACATCGACGTAGAATTTTCCATCAACTGTCTGGCCTGGAGGGACGAATTCTTGATGGACAATCCCCCGAACATCGAAAAAAACAATCAACATTGTCTTGACATTTGAGCGGGATTTTCTTGATTTTCTTGTTCGTGGTTCCCCGGATGTCTTATCGAATTAGATCGGCAAAAATTTCACGGCCATTCTTGCCGAGTTTCGAGAGAAACTTGATTACGACGCGCTGCTCTTCAACGGAAGCGGGCTCCATGCCGACGGGGTTTCGTTAAGAGGTAACTTCACAGATGGCGTGACAAGCCAGTTCGCACCGCACGGCGGTCAGACCAGAACTGAAGCATTGTTAGGGACATAAGGAAGGGGTCCTGCGCTTACCTGGCCTCCCCACTCCTCTTTCTCGCATTCCAGAACACTTTTATACGAACTTTCCGGACAGACCTCGTAAAAGTGGCTCTTATATTTTATTGCAGCATATCAGGTATCAACCTTCATCCTCGCAGTCGAGGATACATAAGCATCAAATCTGTGGATCCTTTACAACCTCCAGTGATGCAGCCCAATTACTTCTTAGATGAACACGATCTCGACGTGCTCGTAGAGGCTGGAAGAATAGCTTATAGACTAGCTAATTCTACGGTAAGTTAATATCTAGGAACGTTCGCTTAACCCACTGTCGTTGGGAATCGATTGTATGTTTTTAAACTAAGTTAGTGTAGCAGTAAGGGATTACCTTAACCTATTATTAAACGGGAATATTTGATTGATTGTATTTCACAGTCTTAATACATAATTTTAGACTTTATTTTTAAATATTGCATAATATTTTATTGTACATAACTTACATAGGGTACATTAAAAGATTTAATATTTTTAACCCTACAATGCATGATTTTTTTAAATCGTGTCAAAAAAATATATGTGGTTCTATATAGTGTCTAGACATAATAAATGATAATAATAACAATTAAAATTCATTGATTTTGTGGATATTTATTTTTTCAATTCTGTTCCATATGTGGTACAGTATACATTAACACTAATATTTGGCTTTTAATTAGGAACAATGAACATAATCATATATTTAGTTTTACATTAAGAATAGCTTTATTAATGAATGAAATTTATTAAAATAATTATTGTCTTTATTCAAACACAACTCAACACAACACTTTTCGCAAAATATATATGTATTTCCTTTATATTGTGGATACTTATAGCATTGTCTCTTCTTATTCCATATAGGAAGATGATCAAATTTATCAAATCTTACATCTCGAGGGGGAATGATTACTCTTTCTTTCTTTTTCTCGATCATGTCATCTGTGGTAAAAGGCGATCTTACTCTTTTTCTTTGTAATGATGGACCACTCATACAAAGTCTTTTAGCGATTTCCAGTTTAAAATCTTTTTATTTAATCTGAGTTAGCTCATTCTTCTATTCTCCTACCCTTTTGTGCAGTAGCCAGCAATTTATGGTGACAATGTCTAGAAAATGTTAAATAATAATAATAATAATAATATTTCTTTATTTACGGATTACTAATTTTGTTAGTAACAATTGACTTAAACTATGTTAGTAGAGAAAAAAAAGAAAATACAAAATTCATTTTGTGGCCCCTATAATAATTTTGACCCACAATGAGAGGATCGGGCTATCGTATTTATTACATAATGCCCTCAGAATGCCGTTACTGCTGCCACGCAATCGGTATAAAAGAGATGCAATCCGTTTGCGTCTGATGGCATAGAAGTCATCTGTCCATGCCGCTGCAAACATTGTGGATGCACTACAAAAACGTGGCAGCCGCAACAACACCCTGAAAACATTATTGTATTGAACACGCAGAGCGCTGTATGCCCGCTGTGTATAGTCAACCCACAAGCTGCTCGTGTAAAAAGATTGGCAATATGCCTTGAACAATATTATTTTGACTTCAGTCGAGCAACGAGCAAACCTGCGAGCCAACATATTACCCCTTACAGCCAGCGCCCTGCGTTCACGTTCAATGTCAGCGTTATCTTTCAAGTCATCGGTAATAATGTGTCCTAGATATTTAAACTGAGTCACTCTATTGAGAGGAACACCGTTTAGAAGAATTGGTGGGATTTGTGGATTCTTACTACCTAGACCGAAATACATAAATTCACTTTTTTGTGTATTATATTTCAGACCATGTTTTTCAGCATACTTTTCACACACGCTTAGCAATTTACGTATAGCTCTGATTGATGGACTCAGCAGCACCATGTCGTCAGCGTAACTCAAGTTATTTACAGCAATCCCGTCTATGTAACAGCCCGCATGCATACTGCTGAGCTCAGCGATCAGGCTATTCATATATATATTAAAAAGTGTAGGCGAGGATATACCACCCTGTTTCACCCCACACTCCAATACATACTCTTCAGATATTTTATCCGCCCATTTAACAACGTTAATTTGATTATCATACCAATACTTAAAAATACCAATCAGTTCAGTTGGAATATTCAGCTTTTGAAGTTTGTTCCACAGGATCTCATAAGACACCAGGTCGAAGGCTTTTGACAAGTCCAAAAAGCACGCGAGGACTGGTGTCTTTCGTTCTAAATAATACTTGACAGTATGCTTTACACTGTATATAGCACTCTCAGTAGAAAGTCCAGGCTGGAAACCAAACTGTGCCTCATGTATTTTAACATTTCCCCTGAGATGCGCATTAAGCAGACTGTCAAGTACTTTCGCCAAGATAGTGGCTAATGAAATGGGGCGGTAGTTACTTTTGTCACAAATATCACCCGTCCTACACTTGACAATTGGCACAACAACAGTTCTCATGAGATCCTGAGGCAGATAGCCGTGTCCCAAGCATAAAGAATAAAACATAGCCAACACTCCGGGCAAATGACACCCTGCATACTGAAGGTGTTCAATGCTCAGGCCGTCATGCCCAGGCGATTTGCCCCTTGTCATATTCATTATTATATTTTTAATATCTTTAGGTGTGATTTGTATACTCCTATGATCCTCAGAATTAATATTTTTCTCTATATATGGCGCAGCATACAAAGTAGATAAAGGTGAACTTAATTGAAAGTGACTTTTAAATATATTCGCAATTTTCTGTGGATCTCTTTCTGTATTAATACATTCAGCAAGGGTTTGTTTAACATTAAATTTATTTGTACATTGCCAAAATTTTTTGAAATCTTTTTCTGAGAGTTTAGTTGCCAAAATATCCATCGCAATCTGGTCGGCTTGATTTTGGCACCATTTTAGTCTAGATTTGTATATTCTACGACTAATAAACATTTTTTCATAGAAGTGACCAGCTGATGGCCTACCATGCCAGACCCAGTTTTTGAAATGAAACCTGGCCTCCAAATATACCCCTTTTACATGTTTATTCCAACCTACTAATGGTTTTCTGGTTTTCTTTTTATTAGTACAATTAATATTATTACATACTATAGCAGATTCTTGTAAAATGTTTACTATATTTGAATACATTTTATCAAGTAATGTGCGGTGCTCTAAATTACAACAAAACTTATCTGCACACCCTTGAAACTCTAGTGGAAATTCTATAATTTTTAATTTATTATTACATACATTACGGTATTGTTCAGATTGTTCAGGAGTTCTGTCACCCCATATTATTTTATTAGGTGTGTGTGTCCTTATATTTTTTTTATATTTAACTACGCTAAAATTACATTCAATCTCAAGAGGAAAATGATCCGACCAAAACACATCATATTGAATTTTAATTTTAGTGATAATTTTACTACCTACCTCTGTTGTAACGCAATGATCAAGCCAACGAGAACAACCGTGACTATCACTAACAAATGTGTAGGTACCTGAGTTAAGTCCTAGGTGCTCTAAATCCGCACACCGCCACTGCTGTTCTGTACAGAATGCCATAAGCTCATCATGGAATAGTCCTCCAGGATGTGCGTTGAAATCACCCAGTATGAAAACCGCTTCTATGTCACTGCTATCTATAATTGCACATATTTCACTTAAGGACTGCGTAAATTCGACCAGATTTTCAGTACAATCAGTAGGCATGTAAACACAGATTACTAATACGGTGCATTCACTATTAATCACAACCCTACAGGCGAGTAAGCGATCACTATCACAATCCAGCATAGTTACGGATAAGAATGCATTTTTTCGCCATAAAATGGCCACACCACCATAAGGTCTTCCTCTTAAAACTCCCGCTGATGTGTCCACTGCAGATTTGCCAGCATATGCATAGTCATCGCGCACTGTACCCAACAAAGGGATGTCGTGAGGCAACAACCAGGTTTCCTGTAGTGCTACTATATCTGCCTTACCACACAGGGACCTAACACAGTCTAAAGAACGCTTCAAGCCTTTGCAGTTGAAGCTTATAATTTTACTATTATTGTTCTTCATATTGGTTTTTTACTTGTTGTCATATCCGGACGTCTGTCCGCGGTTTCGTACCTCCTGTGTACAAACCGACGAAAGACAATTCCCGCAGGCCACAGTGTTTCATCCAGAAATATTGACAATTTATAACTTGGTACAAAAAATTTGTAGGCATTATACTTATTTTCATTTTTAATCAACAATTTAATAAGTTTCACTTGTTCTTCCGTTTTTGTGAAAATATAATCAATAATATTTTGTTGTGTAGTTTCCTTATGTATATTGGTAATATGTATAGGCACATATTTTTCCGCTGCCTTAAAATTTAGTTTTCGGTCACAAATTGCATTTCCGACCTTTCCAATAAACCGATTTCTGTTACTCTTATGCCTCTGTACCAGGGTCCAATTTTCACTATTTTTGACTATATTCCCGTTAACATTTTCTTGATGGGCCGTATCTGCCACAGTTAATGTTTTTTTTAAGGAAACTATACAATTACTAGTTGTATTATTACGTGATATTGGTGACTCAGACACTAGCGCATCGCTGAACTTTGTACTTAAAATCGGTGAAGCAACGGGCGGCTGGCCGCCACCCGCTTTTTTATTTATCATGTCAGCTGATTTATATTGTGTACTTTCGCACAGGAGTATCTTGCTATCACTATTAACCGATTGTTGCAATTGACAATGGGCGGGAAAATTATCCAAGTTAGCAGTATTATTGCTATTATTTAATAATAGGCCCATCGGCCCGCTGTCGGATTCGCAATTTTCAGTATGTAAATACCCTCCTCTTCTAGTGTTGATATTACAATCGAAATTGTCGACGATCGGTGTTACATTTTTGAGATCCGACTTTAGTTGATTCACCTGTTCTATTGTCGCATAATTACTTTTAATAATTTTGAGATCATTTTGCATTAAAATAATATCTTTTAACAATCGTGTGACATCAATATGATCGAACGTAACGGGGGGTAGACGATGTAATTCTTTTGCCACAAAGATTGGAATTTTTTCAGGATCTACACTTTTTAAAGTGCTAATAATGTCTTCAATATTACGTTGACATTTTTTATCGCCTTTCCGTGTTATTTTCTTGACTGCAGAAATGGAGTCTAACAGCAAATCTTTCGCCACTTCTATTTCTTCCTCGGTGAAAGCGCCTATACACAAGCGCAATATACTTTCTTCATCCATTACATCAATTTTTGACTGTATGAAAGCTAGTGCCTCATTAATAATTATGTTACAGTGAGCACATTTTACAGCGGATGACATTTTTGACAATAATTTACACCATAGGTACATACGCGCGCGCGCACCTTAAATAAACACATATACCATCTTTTAGTATGCATTTTTATTTTATACTTTCCAAGAAAGAACTCCAAAACTGGCATAGTGAAAAAACTTCTACTTTGGTGTCATGACGTACTTGGCCCTGAAATGCTGGCTTGAGAATTTGTTGATTTTTTATTCTTATTTTCAGCGAAGGTAGTACCACAATTAGTAAAAGAAAATGATGCATACCTGGTAGGGTCAATATAATTTTAAGAGTCACTATCTTTATTCATTTATTGCAAGTTTTCTCTGATTCTCGCCATGTTATCATCATTTTCCGCGTCCAAAAAGCCTTGACCGTCTTCATTCCCTGACGATATACCCAACTACTGCTCAATCAACTCGTTAGATAATACCTTCTTCACCATAATCTGTAATAAAATCCAACCGAAACAAAATGTTAGAAGTGAACTAATGCATGATGTGCCATATCTGGTACTCTTAAATAAGTTGATATGTTAGAACATAAAACAGTAATATTTCAAAAAATAACTTACCTTCATTTAATATACACTATATCCAATGTAAATGTATTTTTTCCGCTTCCAAATATTCAAAAAGCAATTTTTTTAAGAATTTTCTATTTACGTAAACCACGAGTTTGCGTCGATCTTTGAAATTGTGTACGAAATACAATATCAATCGATAGCTAACACGTACTGGTGACAATTGCCATTACTAAACCGTTGCTAAATGTATAAAGATTATTCCGTTGGTCGACAAAAGACGCTAGGTGTCTTTAAACGAACAGTAGACTTAATTATTTTATTTGACCAGATATGGTACAGAATGCACTGTAGGGTTAAATATATGAGTAGACGTCGCAATATCCTCCCAGATGATATTAAATATGACTAAATCAAATTGGAACCTTCCTTGGTTACTAACTATATATCAATTGTACTATTTGTACTCTATCCTAATGGGAGAGGAGAGAAAGATAAGAAATTGTTAATAATGTCAGGTCGACCTCCTTGCGGCTCACCCTAGAAACCATTGTTATATTATATGTGAACTCATGGACAATCATCACGATGGATTAATTGACCTGCCTTTAATTTCTCACCTATCATCCCTCACTGGTGACCCGTCAGCGTATACCGTTAACGCAGGCGGTGTTACCATTCCATACTATTCCTTTAATGGGAGACAAGCGTGACAGATATGTATGTATGTATGAATTATTTGTATCCCAAAATCTAACTGATACTCATAATTGACAATAGATTAAGTTGGGTACACTTATCTAAAGTTACCTTAATGTCATAAACCATAAGACATATGAGACATTTTTTCATTCTATCAGATGCATTAGAGTATTCATCAGATTATATTTGAGAGTCAAGTTTATGTACATAACATTTTTCAATGTTTAGATCTTACGAGAAAAATACGGTATGACTCCGTCAGAAGAGCACGGCAAAGAGTGTAAGGGCGGCGGTGTGAATCCCACCGACGAGTTCTTCAAATGTCTCGCGATGCAGCACACTGCTCCAGAGAACCACCAGGTGGGAACTTGCAAGATGGGCCCCGAGTCCGATCCGATGGCTGTTGTGGATATGCAGTTGAAAGTTCACGGGATTGAAGGTGAGATTTGGTGCAATTTTGCCCGCATGAATTTATAGATATTATACAAAAATATTTGGTATCTTCTGTATCGATTTAGGATATATCGTCATAGTCGTAGAATACTGATGGATCTGACAAATATTACATACCTATATAGATCCGTCAGTACTCTACGACTATGACGATATATCCTGTATACTGTTTCTAAAGTATTAAATGTCCTGTGTAACAAATATATATTAACTATACATAATAAAATACATTTTCATAAATGAAAAGGGTTCCTGCCACCCTGATATAACGCAGTTAATTTTTTTTGCTAACGAGGTGTCGCCACCAAATACGCTCATAAAAACGATATATCCTATCGATATAGGTGATGCACTATGTAATGATATATAAGCTACTTCAGGACTCATCATAGCACAGAACCCATATTAACCGGGACATGGTTCTTTCATTTAAATCCGGTCAATCATTTAAAAGCGTTTATCTTTATAATTTGTCACATAAATTTCTGTGCCATGCTACACTTTGTGACTAATAAATATTTGAACATTTATTTACTTAAACGGATGACAGAATTTGAGTAGTTTGGTGCACAGATGGATTACGTTTTTATAATTTTTTGTTACAGAAATAATTATATTTTATTCTCGACAATAAATCTGCATAGTTTAGTCACATCATTTAATTTAACTTTTGTATTGATTTCAGGTTTGCGAGTTGTGGATGCTTCAATTATGCCTACTGTAATATCCGGTAAGTTTGCATGCTAAATAGTTATGGTTTTTAATGTATAAGAAATACTTGTCGCAGTTGTTAGCAATTTATTTATGATCTAGTGAACGAATTGAATTTGCATCTCTACCATAGTGATCAGTGATCTTATATTTTAACATTTTGTTATATGTTAGTATAAGTATGGTGTATTTCGCCGACATTATAAATAGAAAGCAAGTTATTTAATCATCACTATACTTTTACCGTGGGGTTCAAAATGTATTTACCTATTTTCAATAATCCTCAATAAATTCGGCAGTTATTATTTTCTAATGTTTTTACAGTTTCTAACAAAATTTCTTTAAAATATTTATACTCAGTAAGTAGCACTACTAGGCTGATTATTAATTATGTATTAATATAATTATTATATGTTAATAATTATAAATATTGTCAGCGATCGTCGTGGTATCTATAGTATTGATAATGAAGACGGACAAGAAGTCGGAAGTAAATAGTAGTCTAATTTAATTTGTAATAAAACGATGTTTGTTTCTGGGAGATAATTAAGAAATATACGAATATGGGGGAATTAATAAGACAAATAGACGCCAAAATAGTAATTTTTAGAAATTTTGTCTGTCTGCTTGTTCTGTGTTTGTTCCGACATCATGCAGAAACTATTTAACCAAATCGGATGCAGTTTTTACAGTTGCATTCTTAAAGGTCTAATTTTAAATGTAGTTTTTTTTTTAATGGATGATAATGGAATGGTAACCCCACCCGCGCTATCGGTATACACCGGTGGGGCACCAGTGAAGGATGATAGGTGAGGATGAAGTAGGTCAGTTAGCCCATCGTGACGAAATCAACAAGAATTGTTCACGATGGTTTCCAGGGGGAACCACGTGGAGGTCGACCTAATAAGGCATATTGCTAGTAATGGGGCTAACAATCCCTTTCCCCCCTTTTAAATGTGGTTATATATTTTATCTTGATATGTCGACTAGAAGTGGCCTGTTTTATTGAATTTCCTACTTCTGAAATCCACACCTACGAAGTACCAGGCAAAAAATTAATAAAATTTATTTAAACCAACAGCAAATACAGCAGCACCAACAATAATGATAGGGGAGCGCGGAGCTGAATTCATTCGTACTCGGCATCAGCGTTCGAAGAACACGCCGGAGGATGTGGCCAACAGATTTGGTGACGGTGCAGATACGAACGCGAGTGGAAATTACGCCAGTAACGAAGGGGACAACGGGAATAGGTTGGTTTTGTTAAACAAACTAATTATTGTATTACGTGTCTATGTATGTGTGTATATGTATGTGTATGTATATGTATGTATGTATATATGTGTGTATGTATATATGTATATGTATGTATGTATGTGTGTATATATATAATTATTTATAATTTATGTAAATATTTATTTAAATTTCTGTCTTGCACTACTACTGCCCACTCACTACTTCCTATGCCACTGCGTTAAGTTGACTGGAAGAAATCTCTTTTAGAGATAAGTACGCCTTTGCTAACATTGTTATTAACTTATTGTTGTTACTGTATGTTTTAGTGCAATAAAGAATATATATATTATTGTACTCGCGTCAAAGAAATATAAAAAAAATGTAATTTAAAAAGAGAATATTACACGAAGCAAAGTAAATGAGGAATAAGGGACAAGCACTAGTTTCTTTTCCAGGTAGCCTTACAATCGAAGGAAGTAATTAAAATCTTGTCTAATCAAGACAATATGAGCATAACAAAAAGTCCATGTGAATAGCAAATTAAAAAGTAATAGTGTTCGACCACCTTGGTAGATTATTTAGTTTTAAGTCCACTAAGTGTTCTCTCATATAGACCGATTTGGAGAGTTGAGCAGATTTTGATCGTGTTTAAAATACAGTTTTATATAATTGAAATACGGTTTCTTTATCCATTTTATAAATTTTTTATCGATTATCAAGCATTCTTGTATAACAAAAATCTGTTCTCTCCAAACCGGTCTGTGTGAATGCCACTAACTTTATCGTATATCGTATAGTCGTTAATATGATCTAGAGAGTACATAGAGCTATTTATAGTACAAGGCGTTTTATGTATTTTTATATACATTTCAAAATTATGTACTTCTGATACATGGTACCATTATACTTTTTGGATTCAAACCTTTTATGTTTAGAACTGTTTATTATATTTTTTTATCCGTATTATTATTTAAGATGATTACAATTTATATAATGTAACTAATATATTTGTAAAACCATAAAATCTCTCTACAAGTAATAATGTATCAATATCTGTCTTATACATATTCTCTTATTTATGTATTCAACATCTTATTTGGAATCGTTTACAGAAATCGAAAGTCTACAGTGACAATTGAAAAAATCAAACTGCGAAAACTTTCAGCATATGAAATTCATCAAGGATAAATAATGGTATAACAATACAAAATTAACGCTTTGGGCTTTCGGTTATCAGAAGACAATAAGCATACGGTGTTGACGGGTGTGCAAATTTGCTTGGAAATATTGAGAAATTGCCATATACCGTTAAATGTACAAATATATTGAACAACTTGGATAAATTCGAGGAGGAAGTCCAGTGATAATATTTGTGAAACTAAACAATTTTTCCCTCTTCACATAATCTTTTAAAATACGACTTTCAAATATGAATAATTAAAAAATTTTTGTACAAAAAATATTTATATATTTCGACATATATACTTTGAGAAAGGTTGTTTAGTGTTTATTTTTATCAATATTGTCACTGAATATTTATACTACACTATTCTTGGCTTGATTTCATCCTCATCTATCATCTCTGACTGGTGTCCCGCCACCGTAAATCAACGATGCAGGCGGAGTTACTATTTCATTTTCATCTTTTATTACACATTCATAAATTTATTTCAAATCTAAAAAAAAATTATCCATCCATCACACTACCATACATACATACTTCTCAAATCATTCAGATTATGCGTACTCGCCTTTAAATAAGTTATTTAAGTAAAGAATTTATATATAATACGTTATTCAACGTACATTTATACATTTCAGGTGGACATTTGGTGACTACGCAAGCAATGAAGCCAAAGACGACAAGTTAACGAACAATCACAACTTCCACTCTTGGGACCACCGGTGGAAACCGTGGGAGAAGGATTTCCCTTCCAATAGACAGTGGGACCATAAAAACCAATATTTCCAACCTAACAATCAATGGTACAAACATCAAAATATACCCTCGCCGAGCCAGAATTATGAGAATTCTAGATAAAAGATTGTTAGTGTATTGTTCCTATTGTAACTAATATTTATCGCGCTTCATATGCAATAGAAATGATATTACTTTTTACATGGAAAAATTTAAGTTATTACTAATTACCATCAGTGATATTTACAGGATATTAATATTACTTCTCAAGCAAATACTATTTACTTTAATAACTAGTATTCTAAATGCAATAGGTTCTGTTACTTAAGTATATAAAAACAAATAATGTACAATATAAGAATACTTTTATTATCTTAAGTTATTAAATCGATACAAAATAAACCTACTTTTTCTTTTTATCTCGTTTTCCTTTAGTATTAACTTCAGGTTCAGATTCAGATCTGAAAAAAAAATATATTAATTTAAGCAACCGCTTGTTGTAACCTTTATATATTTTGTATTTATAACCGAGGGCCATAATTTTATTTCTATTTTTTATTTATAATTTTATAATACATGTATATGACACAAACAATAATAAAACATATACTGTATTAAAAATAAAACAATAAAAATAACAGTAAACAAAAACAATAAAAATTACTTGCCCTTCACTAGCGTCGGGGGTTTCTGGTATAGTAACATTCCCTTTAGATGTTCGTCTACTATCCGCTAATTCACTTGAATCGTTCAGTAATGATTGCACCTGGAATAAAATTTGGATTATATTAAAATATTGCATTGAAATATATTTCTTCATTTGGGAGCTACAACATGGCAGACGAACAAAACTTTTAATAAAACAGGATTTAATGTAATATGTATGAAAACTGAAACTAGGTAATGATAAACCTTTAAGAAACAACAAAAGTTTAAACTTTGATAGTGAGATTCTAAGCATCAACATCTAAGAATATGTAGCCATTGCTAATTCGTATTCCTAGGTTTTATAAAGAGGCGACTAAAAGAGAAAGAAAGGTCACAATAAAACCCTATAGCAAACCCAGGAGGTTCATAATATATAAAAATATGGAAAGATTCCTTCTCTTGTGGGCAATGAAACTAGTGGTGAGATGTTAAAGGGTGGTTATCATTATAGTCATATACGGATAATGTTAAAATAAAAAAATAATTTACCATTTCTTTTTCGTAAACTATGGTGTGGAGTTCTGTTTCGTCTGCCGAATCTTCGACTACCGAGCTCCTGGAACCGACACTACTGCGCGTTGACATTGAACTGGTGGAGGCACGCGTCGACGGGGGAGTCGTTTTCTTTGCTATCACAATTAAATTGAAATTGATATGGTAAGTTTGCGAAACTTAAAGGATTAGTTATTTTTTTATTGGATGCAGAAAAGAATAAAAATTAACATTTTGTAGATAAAATAATATACTCTTGTATATTATTTTATATTGTATATTACTTGTTGATCTCTAAAAAAGGATTTGTCCTTAACAAATATTTTTCTTTAAAAAGGTTACTTTGTTTATTTATTTATTTATTTATTCATATAGGCACAGCAACAATTATACAATTCATATTAAATTGACTATAATAAGCTTTATAACTAATTGTTTTAAAATTGTACACCGTTAATTGCTACGCACAGCGTTAGCTTATACTAGTTTCAATATTATATACAATAACAACAGAAAATGTGAACATATTTATATATTAAATTCAGACACTTCTTTTGCCATTTTAAGAAAAGAATTTAAACTATAAGCAAAAATGTCCAATTCATTACAATTATTGTACAGTCTGCACATGCTGAAGAGAGGATCATTAAAAGTTACATTGTTATTACAATAAGGTACATGAAATAATTTTAGTATTCTCTTATTACCTCCTGTTTTAAACGGAACATACCTCAACAGATACATAGTCACGTTTTATTAGCTTGACGTAAGTAGTTTATTTCTTTTTATTTTAATATTATTAGAAAAAAAAAAAAAACTATTAATAAATATATTGATCTAACTTGGCATTATAACACAAATACGAGTATTATGTCAGCTTATGTCATGCCTTGTATGTTAGTCGTGTGGTCCCGGCAAAGAATAGGCCACCCCTTCCTTTCCTGTAGGTGTTGTAAGAGGTGTCTAAAGGAACTTATGGTAGAGGGTTGCGCAGCAGCGTCACTTTTAAATATCATATTATCATCTTATATATCGGTTGCCAACCCGTCTGCGAAGCGTGGCAACTGCTGGCAAAAGTCCCCTTATGGGGAAGGCTTGTTCAGCAGTGGACAGTTAACGGTTGAAATGATGATTACTTGTCCTGATTATTAATGAAATGAAGAAATTCTTAAGTCTAAATTGAGAACTGTTTGTATGATTAAGTATCAGTATTTCTCGTTACACATTCTAGAGCATAGCATATATTTAACTTGAAATTCTCAGATTGATAAAATTGAATGAGATAAAATATACCTGCCGCCTTCTTCTTCTCCTTCTTTTTACCGCTAGAACAGTTCGAGTCTGGGCTTGATCCGGATTGCATACCTCGGGTGGATCTACGAATTGTTATATTGGAACTGTCCAGTTCCTGGAGGAGCGGTGATAACTGTTGTTCTGGGGTAGTCTTTTTTGCTTGAGCAGCTTCTGCTTTGGCTTTTTGAGCTGGAGTAAAATTGTAAATTTTCAGCAATCACGACGATCTCCTTAGCGTAGTGATGGACACGTCGCTTTGTGTTAATAAGGTATCGGTGTCGATACTTGATTAGACCAACATAGGGAACTAAGTTTTTTTTTTATACAACTTAGAATGGCAAACAAGCTGACGGCCCACCTGATGGAAAGTGGTAACCGTCGAAACCGAACCACAGCCATGCAAAAACAACTGCTTCACGGTTGAAACACGAATGGGTCAGAGGTACCCAAGCAATCGACTTTTGTACAAAGTCTCCCTCTGGTGGTAAGTTTTCTGAATTGACGAGAAGATTGAGAAGAATCTATGAAACGTCCCTGACTTTTCCTTTTATGATTGAGCATATTTATTTTTCCTAGTTGTAACCTATAAACTATCCTATGATTACTATCAGTAATAATACAATTCATCTATCATATATACTTTTATTGGTATTTTCAATTGATTCGCGATACTTGAATCCATTGATAGGCAGCGATCCTGCCGAGTGTATTTCAATAATATGTAACAAATATTGTAACATATTTACAAACTTTATGGTTTAATATATATTTATTTTCTTAAAGAAATACATATCATTTACAAAAGAAAATACAAAGGTTTATAAATACGAATATATTAAAAGTGACGGTAGAATAGAAGTTAAACATTACGATTTAAAAGGTACAAAATGTACATACTTTAATATTATTAGTATGAATTAGATTATAAGTGCAACATACCTCTATCAACGTCTACTACAGATCGTTGTGATCGACTCCTTTTCACGCCTCCCTTTTCGGCATCTTTGATTTTCTCTTTATTTTTGACTGCAACTTTATTTTTGTCCTTTTTAGCATTAACATTATCGGCTTCAGCAGACTGTCTGTTTAAAGAAAGCTTCTTCTTTTTTCCTAAAATATGAAATAAGGGATACATTGTGTTACATAGTATTTTTAATTGTTTGTTTTTTCATCTGAATACTCGTAGTTTGACTCACATTAAATTAAACCAAGGCACGTAAGACTTTTTAAAGCACATTATTTTTCTAAAAGTAATTATGGTCAATTTAATCAAAATGTAAACAAAAGAATTATTGACCGATCATAGGACAATAGGCTAATGTCCAATAGTAGTATAAATAAATAGTTGATTAATAGATTAAATGTTTCGATTTATTATTACCAATTTCATTTAGTGTTTCTGTGATAATTTTAAAAACTTGGTTAACTTTTCATTGAGTTCTATTGACACCGTAAGTATTGTACGAACTTACCTTTGATCTTTGCTTTCTTGACGGGCGATACGCCACTCGAATCCGATTCGTCGGAAGCGGCAATTACTTTGGGGCCAGTCGTCCCTGCCTGCACCTCGCTGTCTGCACGCAGTTCCGTCGACGGGTTGATGGCATTGTTTGTAGTACTCGGTGGAAGTTCTAGAGTATGGAATTATTTATCAATTAAATCAAATAGATCAAGAAAATATGATCAGTTCATAACTGGGGAATGACCAATATAGTGTAGTCCCAATAATTAATTGTCATGCTTAATTATCCTGTGAGATTTTGTGACTGAGGATATGATTTTATTTTATTAATAGAACAGATGTAGTTTTAGACATATTTCCAACCTTTACAGTAATCTACTGTGATAATTTGTTTAACAATCTATACGTTCCACTAATGATTACGGCTCACTTCTGATAACAGAAGGATTTTCACCAATTATTCCTTTTGACATATATATTTGAGTAAAGATTTTGATTTTTTTGTCTCTAACACTGTTTTATAATTAGTTATTAATTGATTTGTCGATGATTCCATGTTTGCAAGCGGTATCGAACCCTTAAGTCTTAGGAGAGATTTTGCCTCATTCTGCGTGTTCTACCGCTTATACAACGGATTGTGCTCAGAGGAATTATTCAATATGATACCTACGGCCACTTTCTATCATCGTACGGCTCGCCATCGACAGGGAGTTCACCCTCATACCTTACAGCTTAAATGGTCGCGTACAACGCGGTTTCAGAGATGCTTTCTCCCACGAACACTCAGGTTATGGAATGAGCTCCCTGCCGAGGTTTTCCCAAGAGACTACAGCATGGGGTTCTTCAAAAGGGGGGTAAAGAGGTTTCTTCAGGGTCGGCAACGCACGCATAATACCTCTGGTATTGCAGGCGTTCATAGGCTACGATAACCGCTTACTATCAGGTGGGCCGTATGCTTGTTTGCTACCTCAGTGGTATAAAAAAAATATTTTATTACTTTAGACGGTTACTCTTACATTTTACTACAATGTCACCACATAAAATACGATTAATGTGTATATGTACATAACTGTCATAATTATGTATATACCAAAAAATAGACGATAATTTTACCTTCAGAAATCCTCGATATAACTTCTGTAGGGGAGGTCTCGTCGATCTCGACTTCTTCCTCAACTGTTTCATTTATAATAACATGCGTACTGCGCGCTAGAGGTTGTGCTGCAATATACACATATATGTATTGTAATATTAATAGATTATTTAAGAAAAATTAGCAATTTCGTAACTAATCATAATCGAATGACTGAAATACTGATGATATGACATTTTTATTGATTATCATTTTAATAAAACTATATACACTCATACAATAAACATCACCATTACAATGCAATCAAAATCTAATCTCTATTTATAAATAAAAAAAAAAAAAACTACTTTTGCTTGATAGCTTTTAGAACTTACAAGTGTATATCTTATTGGTTTACTACTGACAACTAGGTATGTATATTGCACATTGTGGTAGTATGCGCTGGTTTGCGATATTGGATTACCAGTGACGAATGATAGGTGAGTATAAAGTCAGGCTTATTGGGATATGGGATATTTCAGGACAGTCCGCATGGATATAGACGTAGCAAAATATATTGCTAGCAATGGCGCTGTTAGTCTTCGATATTAACATTCTTCCTCTCCCTCGGGCGGTTTAATGCATGTTGTTAAGTGATCATAGACAAGTGTCTATGCACATATTAACACAGACATCTGTCTACATCTACAAAGACCTTTACATGGTTGTAAATTGTATTTATGACTCTACTGTACGAAGGTTCAATGTTAAATATTAAAAATTAATTAACAATATTTGATATAGGATTATAAAAAATAATCCTAACATACATGCAAGCCACTTGAAACACCCACTAGACGGACGACTGAAGCGGCCACTTTCGAATTGTATGTCTAGACAAGGGTATACGTTATTGTATTAACTTTATTACACTATTAGATAACAAAAAATAACTGTGTACTTGAAAGAAAATAAAGACCGTCGCGTATAGATATGAACAATACCATATACATCACAGAATACTCAGCCCAGAATAGATCACTGTGGCTGCCACAAATAGAAAGGTAGACGTTGAAAGTACTTTATACGAAAATTAAATATGGCACAAACAAACTAGATTTCTTGTTACAAAAATATTTATTGGAAAAAAAAAAATTTTTTTTCTACTACACTAAACTGTTTTGGCGACAATTTATAAAGATGTCATTATTTCAATCTTCTTTCGAAAGGTAATATAGAAATTTCTAATTGAAATTTAGCTGAAGCAAATTAGTCTCTATCGAGTTTAATTTAGAGCTAAAAATTGAACATTCGTATATTTTTTACCAGACTTTGCATAAGTCATTTGCTCTGCAAAGGTACCTCTGTCCCACTCGCATTTTTGCCGTGAAGTAGTTTTGTTTACAGTAGCAAAATTACAGGGTATGAAGGTTTAATAATTCAGTGTTCAGGGATAACAATGCACGATTGGTACTATGGGCGATAGAGGGTATTCTGTTGTCCTTTATGTCATTCATTTACGATGAAGTATATAACGGTTACCACTTTTCATCAGGTGGGCTGTCAGTCCGTTTGCCATTACAAGTAGTTTAAAAGCAGTTGTGGTACCTATTTAGTCATACTTGTTGTATCTCATGGCTTTTCCCGTGGTGGTATTGTAATGCTAAATGACCTATAACAATCCTCACGTAGATGAGCTATTAAAAACAAAAAATAAAATTTCAAATCCGACTAGTAGTTCTAGAGATAAGGGCGTTCTAACAAACTTTTTCATATAAATAAATATCTATAATTGCTCCTCATGTTTTCAGTACTAGAGTACGCGTTATACCTTTTGGTCGCTGCTAATGAATAAATATAATCACTTGCATAATCATTAAAAAAATTTAATTATCTGGTAAGAAAATTATACTTTTTTTGTACAGTTTCCAACGTAAATATAAATTTATATTTAGTACTTACGTAAAGAAGAAGTAGCTCGTCCCATTGGCAGTAAAGTATCTTCAGTTTGCATTGTGCCCTCAGTGATGCCTATAGAAATATATAACATCATATTTTGTACTTCTGATAGAAATATATATAAATTAAATTAATGGTAAAATTATCACACTAAGAAAATATGGAAATATTTATATCTTATGTATAAGAATGTCTTATAAGGCATTAAGTACTTAAAACTATAATCAGATCTCTTACCTGTATTAGAGATTTTATTAAGACTGGCGCGTTCCATAGCCTCTAGAGATCCTAAGTACCGCGTGAGATTACGGCACGACTGCTTGTCCGGGAGTTTCTATAAATTTTATTATTATATTAATATAAACTCTCGTTAAGGTAAAGCAGGCTTATCATCATTTATGTACGATGCAATTTGTGTTCATGGTACAACTTCCATTTGTAATTTAATTGTAAAAAGAACCGAATTGACACACATGATTTTTTGTTGAGGACACACGAGTAGTTTCAGGTCCATCTGGATCCAATCGTTCGCGCACATTAAGACCCAGGCTGATATATGACAAAGAGTCCAGGATTATCCCAAAACTAGTAGAGTATTTTAGACAAATACACATAAGTCAATCCAGATTTTCTTATAATACTGACGAGGCAAAGGTCTCGCAAGCGCGTGGCTAACTCCTGTGCAAGCAGTGCGTCGCGCGGTGCAGCCAGTAGTGCCAACATGCGGCACGCGAGCCCCGCCGCCGGGCACGTCGGCCTCCGCACCACGTAGTTACACAGCACCATCGCCATGGCGCCCTGACTGTCCGTTAACTGCAAGTAATTATTAGAGTAAATTGGTTTAGTTGATCGTATGGCACTTATTATTTATTTACAACATGACGTTATTTACGAAGGATATATTTACGCAATTTACAATGGTAAAAAAGCTTACGGCCCACTTAGTAGAAAGTGGTATAGACATGAACAGTACCATGTACATAACAGAGTATACAGTTTCTAAAATGAAACTTTCAACGACAATTTCACTGCCCTTCAAACCGAAACACAACCATGCAAACATAACTTTTTCACCGTTCACTAGGATAAATGTTTCATTAGAACGAATTGCGACAGTTATCAAACAAATAATTAAATATTATATGTGTAGAAAAATTACTGGAATATAACTGAACAAACATTGCTTACCTCATGATTAACCCGAGTGAGTGACACAAGGAAACGCACTACTGCTTCTTGATCTATTTCAGCTAGCGGTGAGCTCGATGGCGCGTTGGCTAAAGTTCTTAGCGTAGGCAATGTAGCTTTCTGTACATGAAATATAAATAATTTTTGTAATACTATAGAAAACACTTTAAAACAATTTATTGCATTTTTATGAATTCTAAAGATTTTTGGTTTCGGGGTAAATGCAATTAGTATTTCATATAACGGACTTTTCTTATTTAAATTCAAGTCAGGTCTGGTTATAAATAATCAAACGCGTCGAATTTATTGACTTTTTATATGATAGGCGCTTTTTTTATATTCAAAACTAGAATAATAAAAAAAAAAAACTGTTTCAATCTACTAAAGCGTTCGAAATAAATTCATTTCGTTAGAAATATATTTAAGATTCTCGACTGCAGTGCGTACTATAAGCACTTATAAAAAATAAAGAAAAAAATTACCTGTATTTGTTCTTGAGCGCCGTCAACCGTAGCAGGGAACGTTTGAAAGAAAACGCCTATAGTTTGCCTCAACATATCTTCTTCAACTAAAATTTGAATACCAATCTGTTAAGTTTTCATTTTAACATATAATAGAACTAAATAATGTATTTTTATGCATAACTTTTTAGTTGTTACATACTGTCACACCTGTCTCCCATTGAGGTAGGCATAAACAATGGAATGTCAAATGTTTTTGTTATAATTACAACAAAACTAGGTTGCTAAAATATCTTAAATAATCAACTTAAAGCATTAAATTTTAATTTACTTAAAAAAATTACCTGTAGCAGGATTGAACCACAGTAACAGTAATCTGCTGAGTATAGATGGGGATTCGAGGTGTCCGAGGTGTAGCAGCCGACAGAGCCCTTCCACTATGATAAGCCGGTAGTTCGCGCACTAGTAACATTTATAAACATATGTCGTAACTTTTTACCAAATAATTTAATTCTACTAATATTTAAATGTAAAAAAAGTTTGTAAAGATATTTGGATATTGTTACTGTAATCACGATTAAACCACTAAAAGGATTTGAATGAAATTTTGGTGCATATGCAGGTTATTTTTTTTTTTTTATTCAACTTAGAATGGCAAACAAGCTGACGGTCCACCTGATGAAAAGTGGTAACCGTCGCCTATAGAGAATGAGCAGTACCATGGACATAACAGAGTATACTGTTTCGCCCATGATAGACCCCATGCGTTGCCATTCCTGAGGACTCAAATGTTATTCCTCTGTACCCAATAAATTCACGCCATATCCAACCCTTCAAACCGAATCACAGCCATGCAAACACAACTGCTTCACGGTTGAAACACGAATGGGACAGAGGTACGCCAAGCAATCGACTTTTGTACAAAGTCTCCCTCTGGTATATTACTTAATACATAGGATACTTTATCTACTGTTACACGAAGATAAAATCGCAAGAAATAGCTAGTAGTGAAATAAGTACTAACGGAATTCATTTTACTGATGTCCTATTAATGGATAACTTTATCTCCCTCATTTATTTAAAGTTTTTATGAATTCATAAATATTAGAATAAAGTCAAATTATTTCTATTTCTCAATAAAACATGTTTACTTACCGTGCTATCCATTATTTTGAGTAGCAGTTCAATGACCGTGCTATGAGAAGGTGTCAGTGATATGGCCGACTCGGATAAGTCACCTGCGTAGGAAATATTGAAACATTATAGAACAGTCTGACCATTTTGTGTTGCTGTGCTACATACACACAACTTCAGTATGTGCTGGAGACTGGAGACATAGAACAATTTCTCTATCAAAATAGTTCTATATTCAGCTAACGCGAAGCATAAAAATTATGAATATTACGTTTATCCTCATGTCAGTAAGATATCCTTTCACATCACTCACTTCACTGGTATTCGCCTGTGCTAATTGGTAATTTTGAAAATATGATTATTTTATTTATAGACAGATAGATGCTCTTTATTGTTTCCTCTAAAAGATTACAATAGTAAACTTATTATAAATATAAACAATTATAAGAAATAATCACAATGAGAAAACAATGGGCGACCTTATAGCTAAAAGCGATCTTTTCCAGGCAATTATATTATTTTCCTAACGATTCATTATACGTGTGTAGCTTGTTTAAACACAAACTATCTAAATGATGTAACGAATTTTCGCTAAGATACAAAAGATTACGTGAATATTTTTGGCTGTGAAAAGTGAACACTCAGAAATTGAAAACAAGACGAAAAATCAATTGGCAGCTAACCTTAGTTAATAAGCAAGCAATTACAGTTTATTTACTTCATACAGTACTTGATACTCTTGGTTTCAACATTGGTTTTTACGAATGCACAAACAAAATGCGAGATAGCATATGCTTACTTCTGGGGTCATATATAAAAATAGGATATTCCTATTTACGAATTATAATAAAAAACAATCGATACTAGGATAATAGAACACTTCTTACATTACTAGAAAGTACATATATATATTAACCGTCGTGATCTCCGGTGTCAGAGAGTCCACTGCTGGGTCTGGTGGTGTGGGAAGTGCGGGCGGGAGGCGTGTCTTCGTCGAACAGCCGAGCGCCGTGTACACACAACAAGTCGCATATGCAGCGCAGTACGTGACATACCACAGGCTCGTTCGATGTGTCTATCAGCTATTAAAATCATACCAATAAAAATGAACCGTTAAATGTGTTGCTAAACACAAAACAAGAGAATGGTTAGATCGATTCGGCTGTTTTTCCAAATATTCATTAAGGTCCTAGGAAGGTACTTATAAAGAGAAATTTCTAAGAAACTGAAAACCCCACCCTTCCCTTTGCCTTACAAACTTCATAGCTACTAATTCAAACATTGATGTCAAATAAATTTCTTACCAAGTAGGTTAGAGAGTAATTATGTCAAATTATGTATTATATCATATAGTATTATGTAGTATATATATAGTATTTATCAATTTCAGATTTACTCACATTAGCAAAAAAGAAGGCTTTATGTTCTTTAGCAAACTCTTTATTCAACATTCCAAAGAGGGCTACTGTTTCGAGGGCATTCTCTAAAACATCAGGATTTTGAAATATCTCCACCTGAAATGATTTACAGACTGCTTAGCGTTTTTAGTACAGTCAAATTCAATTGCATTTGCGATCTTGAGTTTTATAAGTCCTAATATAAGGAACCTTGTGAAGAAGATGCTTTATAAATACATGAAGTCTGGGTTCAGTTAATTTACACTATACATAAATAAAGAAGCTAATTAAAAACATTAATTCGACATATGTTACCTTAAAATGTTGCTTTGTTTTTGCCAACATTTGCAAACGGATCTATAACATTGTGAAGAATTGATCTTGAATTCTTTGATAGGTCATCGTATTGAAAAGGTTAGAAACTGCTGTCTTAGAGGGTCTATTTATACACAAATTTATTTAATGTTACCTCTAACTCATTGAACATGATCTGTAGCATGGGCGTGACAGTTTTGAGCTGCGGCGTATCAAGCGAACAATTAAGTATTGTTAGGCATTTGTTAAGAGTCTGTGTATCTGATATCTTCTCCTTTATTGTCTGTAATAGATATATATACCTTATGTTACTTTCTCAATAAACAATAACAATTCCTCAGGACGTAACTGTTTAAGATTATATGTATATTATTAGCTTTTACTCGTTATTTAGTACGTGTAGTTTCAGTAAAAAAAAAAAAAAAACATAGAAATAGACTATTGCTAGATGGCGTATCGAGATAAAATATAGACCTACTTTCAAATTAGATGATAAAACATACATCTATTTTCAAGGTAGACTTTCAGAAACACAACAGTTAAAACATTTTTTACAGGATTGACTTACATATAAAGTGTAGTTAAATTCTAAAGGGACTTTCGTCGATAAATAATATAAAAAGGTAAGGATAAATACAGATTTTGAAATAGATAAAACCATTATGATTTATAAAGAAATATAAAAAAAAATACCGGTATAGGTGCAGGAGGCGGCGTTGATTGTACAGTTAATTCTTCTAGTTTCTTCTGTATGTCCTCTACCTAAGCATATATAAGACATGAAATTTATTAATATAAATAATAACAAATTGCATTAACTTTGAATTTGTTAGTCAATTTTTTTTAAATAAATATATATATTTATTCTTGCTTTCTCATGTATTACACACTTACTTTAGCTTTGCACTCTGCGGCGAGAGAGTAGTTTTGTTCTCTGACTGCCTCTTCCTGTGCCTCTATAGCTACGTTGAGAGATACACGAAGCCTGGCTTTCTATAAAAAAATAAATAAATAGCCATGATTTCAGATCAAGTAGTTTATCATTAGCTACTGTTGCGGTAAATATATTAAATAAATAAATATTATTAGAGTGGGTAACTCTAACATTAAAAAATAAATAAAAAATATAATAAAATAATAATAATAAATTAAAAATAATAAACAAAAAGAAAAAAGAAATTAACATCATAAAAAAAGAATTATTCCACCAATATAATACAATGTGTAAAGTTGTTCTATTAGACGTCACATTAAGCCGGTCAGACGATCTTCGGTTGCCGATCATCCGCGACGGAGCGTCAATAATTATATTCATGTCAAAGATGAATATAACGTTGTTGTTACGTCTACGTAACACACATTGCACATTTTCTCATGTGGTGTGCCACACTCGGCGGATAGTTTAAGTTGCATTGGTAGTTATTTATGCAACCGAAGCTAGCTGTAACATTCGGTAGATTTATTTGTTGAAGATCGGCAATTAGGCCGCCATATTAATGGTTCTAGACAATTTGTTGACAATTTTACAATGTAAAAATTTGTATAACAATGTAAAAGGTTTACCAACAGAAACTAAAATATTGTTAAATGAAATGCTATTACCTGTAGTTTAACTTCCGCGCAGTCCACGGGAGGTGGCGGTGGTGACTGTTCTACTTCTGGAGGATCGCGCAAAGCGGATATGACACCATTGATGACTTCCACACGTTGTGATATTTCCGGTAACACTAGCTCCAGAGCCGATACGAACGCGCGTATAACATCTGAATTTAAGGGTCCATAGTCACCTAAAAGAAATAACGTCATCTATAAGACTGGCATAAAATAACATGAGTAAAGCAGATTTACCCAGATAAACCATATTTATTAAAAAAAAAAAAAACAAATGGTAAATGAATCTATTTTATACATAAGTTTTAAGATACGCGTGAGAAAGAACAAGATGACATTGCTCTCTCGTTTTATCTTAAGCTTGTGGTATCATAAACGTACAATCTACAATGCGATTAAAATATAAATATGGGCTTAATGACCTCCTGTCAACTGTCACTTCAAAAGTAGTTTTCATTAGTATGCTACGAGAATTATTTAAAGATGTTGCTGGTCACCATACAACATAATCAATATAAAAAAAATTCAATAATACACAAAACATTTACGGCATGCCTAATAACAACTACCACTGGGCCTTTTCTGTCTTTTTGTGCCAATTTCTAGTCTTTGATTCAACATTTCGGGTTTTTAATTGATGGTCATATACCAGTGAGAACATCGGTGATGAGAGATTGCAATGCAGTGCGGCCGGCGGGATCACTTGCATCGTACACTCGCAGCATGCAGCCCAGCTCGTGTAGTACATATTGCCGGGTGTCCAATGTCGAGGATGAACTCTCAGCCTCGCAAGGGGACTCCACGATACTGTATTTATGACAATTTTTTTATAAGTAACATAATTACAGAAAATAAGCTAAATATGTACAATAGTCACTGTTCAGTACTGTTGAATAAGCAGGTGTAACGAAAGAGGTTGTATAAATATTATAAGAATGACTTTATCTATATCTGCATTAATTATAGTGATCAACATGAAATATTATTTCTGGAAGTTGGCATATGCTTTATCATTACTTCTTAAATTTTATTAGTAATTTTATTTATATAACACATCACAATAATTTTAAGATTTCAATTTGACTATTTTAATCTTGTATATGTTACATAATAATAATTAACAATTCACAATAACACATTGCCATAATTTAATTAATTAATGAATTTACATATATATTCCTGTTTAGTATGATAATGTGATAATTCATAAAACCATAGTGAACTTTTGATTAAGTTTCATACTTACGCTCTTATGTATCCCGTGAGTACAATCAAATCGGGTAATATAATTTCCAATGTCTCGTCATCATCGATCTTCTGCAGGTGTTCGGCGAGATGACGCCAGTACCAAGCCGTTTCTTTATTCAACTTCTCAGCAGGTATCAGCCGCAGATTTTTATCAATTGGCAGCCATTCCAGAAGTTCCGAAATTGGCAACCTCCTATAAAGTAGCATCTTCTTTTAATAATACAAAACTTTCCACTTCTTCTAAACTACGCAATGGATCTTGATACGGATTTGACTGTTATTTCAATTCCTATTAATATAACTCTTCCAAACCAAATTGAGTCTTGATACACTAAATAATGTTTCAGATTTCCATTGTCTGGTTTCCCATAACAAGGCATTTTGGTTTGTAGATTAGGCATTTAGTGTGAGTGCTATTGTTATGTCTATGGTATTTATATTTTTTTTCATAGGTTACCTCATTTAAGAAATTCAAGTATGTACATTACTTACTTGAACAGAGACTCCAAGAGTTTCCCAGCGACATACTGTGAGTCTTTAGCATCTTGCGCATTATCCAGACGTATTGCTTTCAGCAGATCTACAATGTTGCCCTTGAATGTTGCCAACCAACCAGGGATAACAATCTCTTCCACTACACGACGCACGCGCGGGCTACGCTCTGTGAGTCCTACCTGTAAAAATTTGGCAAGTTTTTCTTGCAAGTTCTATATATATCAATTTCTCATTCATTGCAAATGTCAAAATGAAAATATTAATAAAGCATACATATGGATAAAGTGAAATAGTTAACTTTAAAAATTCTTGTATTTGTATGTGTATATGTGTATGTATACTTGAAAATAAAAAAATATGTTCACGACTATAGTGCCTAACAGGATAAATAGTGGCATTTGACGATTGTAACAGTTGTTGTCAATGTAACAGTTGACGAGGCCACATTACAAAGAGCACATTAAATTCTAAAAATGGTAAACTGTCGTTATTCGGATTATTAGGTATGTAGTTGACCGTTTCGATCATTAGAGAGTTAGTGGGAAATTTTAATTGACATACAAATTACTTAGTTGGTCAGATTCGAACTTAGGCCATCAAGGTCTATAAATCAGGGTCTGATTCGAATTCAGGCCATCGAGGTATATAAACCAGGGTACTAAGTCATAACTACTTTAAAACGTATGTATAATATTTTAAATACAAATTGAATCATACCTTAAGAGTCAACACTCGCTGCCTCACTCTTAGTTGAGTGACATTAATACCAGCTATATGCAAGAAAGCAGCTCGCCTCACAGCCTCGTCCACGTCACACAGTCGCTCCAATACGTATGGGACATTACGCGTGCACTTCGCTAAGGTCATCACCACTGCCCTGTTAAATAAAAAATAAACCCTATTAGAAGATGATACTGTTAATTGACTATCTATATATCCTATTTAAGAGCTGCACTGTTGCTGCTGGAGCCCCTGCCACTCATTACGATTTTCTCCGAGTCTCTTCACCTCTTGATACGACACGACACCATCCTTCCTTTTTCTGCCTGATGTAACTATGCCTTCATCTTCCTCTACCCCTCCTTCCTTCTATTTTACCTTTTATTATAATGTTCATAAGTTCATCGTGACATATCAAGTGTCTTAACCATTTTTCCCTTCTGACCTCAACAGTTTTTATAATTTGTCTCTTTTCTTTAACCTTAAGCAGGACCCTCCTCATTACTAATTCATTCTCTCTAGCTAATTTTCTCCACCCTTCTACAGCACCACATTTCAAAGGCTCTAAGTTTAACCATTTCTTTCCGAGTCTCGAGAATGTCCAAATCTCTCATCCATACAAAGCTATACTCCAGATATAGGTTTTGATAAGTCGTTTTCTAGTTAATTGACAAAAGGTGGAAATTATTAGATTTTTAATCATAGCGCTGATTGTTAATGCTTTTTATATTATATTTTTAACATTTGTTAGCAAAAAATATCTTTTTCTTTTGGTCATCGATGTATAAATTAATACAAATAGCTTTAGTGTAATCTGTTACTATTAGAAATGTTATCTGTATGCATATATGGAAGGATGTTTTGTTACTTATTTATAGAAAATTTACAATAGAAATTTGATACATGGTTATGTCTTAACTTAGAACAGGATACTTTATACACTGTTCTATGTGGATGAAACCGTGGGATACAGCTAGTAGTAGTTACAAAGTGTACATGAACCTTCTAACAGAGGAGCTCGGATCGCAACTCATATGGAAACGATAGCCGCGCGTCACCACGTCATCTTGTTCCATGGGGTTTTGCAGTCGCTGCAGCGCTAGTGCAGCACGGCATCTCACTGCGCCACGGGTATCTTGAAGGCGTTGCATCTATTGAATGAGGATTGGGATAATATATACATATTACTGATTACTTTGCAATGTGCAAGGATGCAGAATGTAACATGATAGACATAAAAAGTTTAATGATAGTAACTTGTCATCCTTAGTGATCATGAAACTGAATAATTTCTCCTTGAATCATCAAATCAAAAATAATATATTGTGAATTTTTTATACATAAATAATTCAAATAATAGATTTTAATTTCAATGAAACTGAGTATCTTTTAAAGAGAGCTTTTAATCAGCAAAACTAATGATTTAGTATGGCAGACTTAAGATTTTATTTTTGGAATATCTGATTCACTACATTACTTTCCTAATAAATATTCTACCTTATGGGTAAATTCTTAGTTGTAGATACTGCTAAACATTTAGATTCTCTGTATATATGTATATAATAGATGTATAAAATATATATGATGGATGTATATAAATTATTATTAAAAATATTTATGTTTTTAGCTTTAAGTAAATATAAATAAGTACTAGATAAACTTTTAATTACTAAAAAAAATGTGATGATAAATGTCTGAATTAATGTGAGTGTTATATACCTGTGATGCCAATAGTTTGTCACAGAGATCATCATCCAGGGAGGCATCTTCTCCAAGAGCAGACAGTACAGCTGCCAGTAACTGGCTTGCTCTATACCTCACAGATTGGCCAGAAACACACTGACACTGAAATTTAGAAAAACATAAATTATTTTTCCAAAGCATAAAATTGAATAAAAATAATCCAATAATTGTATTATCTTTTATATTAAAAGAGGGGTTTCCACAACTTTTAATAAATTACAAAACAATTTCTGGCCATTATTAAAATTAGTTTTTTTTTATCAAAGTTCAAAAGTATTGTTTTTTATCCAACTTGGAATGGTAAACAAACTGACAACAGACCTGATGAAAAGTGGTAACCGTCACCTGTAGACATGAACAGTAAGTATGATGGATATAATAGTGTATACTGTGTCACTTATAATAGCCTTTATGCATTGCTTTTTTTTTAAGACTAAGTACCTCCTTTTCCTCACTGGGAAAATTAGTTCTTCTCAAATTCAGTACAGAGACTGCTTTGAGTGTACTTTTGTTATTTTATAACTTTAGGTCCAATTTTTACATACATTTTATCTGGTATGTAATTTTAAGCAAAATAATAATTTATTGATAGTAAAATTTCACTACTTACATCAAATATAATGTCAAATATAAATAACAAGAATTCCTCTTCATCATCAAGAGAAGTGCAGAATGTGGCCACAAATTGTATAACTCTGTCTACATTGGCACTAGTATCTCCAAATGTGAATAGATATTGCAGAGCATTCTTAAAGCTCTCACGGAACTCATCTTCTGGTAACTGAAAAAGTTTATCAGTTTACAGGTCTCATACACTCTATTTACATTAAACAGAATTAATATCAAGAAATTTATAAGCATTTGAATTCCATCATTCTACATTAAATAAATATGTTTAAGAAAGCTTTATATAAAACATTAAATATTTTTCAAAGACAATCATTTTTTTATGGAATGGAACAATAGCAAACAAGATGGGTGATATATTATCTATATTTCTAAATGATTATTAAAAAGTGGTCCTATAGTAAACTAAAACATTTTTAACTTTTGATGGTAATAAAGGATTTAGAAATTTTTATAAAAATTTTGACTGATTATTTTGTGGTATTAAAAATGAATAATTCTTATGTACCAAAGTAGTCCCCGGGTGTGATAAAGGATGTGGATCCTAATTATAAGTTTATTACAATAAATTATTCTTATTCTTACAATTATGGGACAAAGACGAATTAGTATGTCTCAAAAATTAGACCTTTAGGATTTAATTCTTAATACCTAGTACTAATTTAGAATCCAATCTATTATAAAATTGTATTAGGTCAGGGTATCCTGGATAATTATTAAGGGCACAATAAACCCTTAATAATCATACAATAATTAGTGATGATAAATTATTATTAGAAAAATGTAACAACCGCCCCTAAAAGTATTTAACATAATAAGGAAATAAAAAAGTTGCAATACTTATATCTATTTACTTATAATAATAAAATCTTAAAAAACTAACCTTTTTGTACAATTTAATCATCTCTTTCACGTATTTTTTATGTTGAACAATGTTGTATTGGACATTTTGAAATATTTTAAACATTGTAGGATTGTTACGTGGGTTAGGTTTTTGAGGAGCTTGTAAAATTTCAGTGTCTTTCGGTGGCATATTGTATTAGATTCTGTATATTTCCTTCTGTAAATAAATTCACTAAGTAAAAATCGCACAGATGCAAAAGTTTCGAAAAATATAAACAAACATGAGAATGAATCACGTTACAATTCAAATTAAAGATTCCGAAAGTAGTTATTTCAAAAATTTGTAATGTCAAAGAGGAATTGTCAATTATGTTGACAATAAGTTATGAACGAATGAGAATGAAATTACAGAGTAATTTATAAACACTGTTTTATTTAAGAATTGATACAATTTTTACATTGAAAATAAATCTATGCAACCATTCAGAAGTAATAACACAATAAAATAGAACAGACGAATAATCATAGTGTTTGATGATTCCCATCTAAATTATTTGTATTAATAAGTACAATGAAAGATCTAGTTACTTCATAATTTTTAAATTCAATCAATGAGGATGATCGATGAGATTTCATTATACCAATAAGCATGTTTTTTTTAATGGGTGATAATGGATGGGTAACCCCACCTATCGGTATACACCGGCGGGGTACCAGTGAAGGATGATAGGAGAGTATAAAGTCTGTTAGCCCATCGTGACGAATTCAATAAGAATTGTTCATGATAATTTCCAGAGAGAATCACGTGGAGGTCGACCTAATAAGGCATATTGCTAGCAATGAGACTATCAAATTCCATTGCTAACAACCGCCCCTCCCCCCCGATATGCATGTTAGGAATATGATTTAAAAAAATCTCTTTTTTAGTGAAGCATTGAGGCAATTTGTTTTTATCTGTCGCAGCTGCATTGAATACGGGCCTTTGTGCGGTAGTCTTACTAAATTATTTAATCACAGTTCTGTGTAGCATATAATGACCAGTATCAGTTCAGATAGTGATGTTACAGTTGTATTGGATATTTACCTTGTTAGGAGTAGATATACATGTAAAACAAGACCAGCCTGAAGGTAGTAGCACTTTCATTAAACACAAAAGCTACTTAATCCAAGTAACTTGACAATTTATTTATAACAAACACAATACATACATACTGAATACATGAAATACTATATCGCACTATTATATTAAAATATTATTTAATTCGTAAAGACAGTTTTTAGACAAAAGTTTATTCATAAAACATCATATATATGTATTGCGCTTACTAGGCAATTTTTTTTTATATTTCCAAATATCAAGAGAGTTTATTAATACCTAATACCTTTAACAGGTGGGACTTTTTTTTTATAAGAAATTCACTCTTGAGATATTACGTGAAACTAATTAAATTTTCCACAAGTTATTAATTTTATTGTTAAAAGCTTCGTAAGCAGACATTATATTTGAATTTAAACGACAAGAATATCCTTCATGTTCAAGGACACATGTGAAACACAGTGGTTTGGACTTACATTGTATTTTAGTAAGCCCATAACGAAAATAATTGTATAATTGGATACGTGTATAACTCCACTTGGATTTTTTGTTTTACTACGTGAAATATGTATGGACTATTGTCAGTACATTCATGCAAATTCCTACTCACGGTTTTTGGAGTGGAGTTCTACTATGCGGATGTGTGGATGCGGAAGGTTCTGGGGTATTTAAAATTACAGGAGAGGTTAATATTTCTGAATGAAGTTTTGAGTTTCAACTATAGTATGCAATAGCAATCACTAACTTCATCAAATGAAGATTTTTTCTCCGTTTTTTGCAATTTTTACAATATTTTTGTAGGCTATTAACTAATAGATCAGAACAAGAACCATTGGTTTCCAAACCTAACTCACATGAAATAGATATATATTTGGAAGTCGGGGGGATCGTTTATAGAAATGGAAAAATTAAAATTTGTCTAAAACTAAATAACAAGTATTAAATTAGTAAATATAATATCAAAATTATTAAATAATTAGAAATAACTATTTAATTTCATTCAAAATAAAAGAAGCGCCCGCCAACTTTGACATCTAATATCTTTCCGGACTGCAATAGTTGGAATATTATTGTAGGAATGACGTTTTTGTGTAAAACTATGTTACCAAACAGTATTTCATCATAGCAGATCATGGCCATCTACATGGTAGAACAAACAGAGCTTCACATATAAATCCTTTTTTTTTAAATATTAAAGTAACGAATATGTGTTTTGATAAATAACGTAGTAATACATAAAAATATAAATAAGGTATAAAGTTGTGTTCAGTGTGATATAATATTAATGAATTAATTTATTTATTTATTCATTCGTATAATAGTGGAAATAATTTCTGTGCTATATATTACCAATTTTTATGGACTCGTAATTATCATGTTCATATCATTATTACATTTCTACTTTTTGTTGATATAAACTGAAATTGAATTATAAGTAATGATATATTACGAAGAAAAATAGTATTTAAAATTATGTACAAATAATTAATTAATTGTATATGTAGTATGTTTATTAATTAATTATAATTGTAATAATATTATAAGAGCTATTTCTCTTGTATGCATTTATTATATATTTGTTAAAAATGAACTTACTTTCTTTTAGTTGCTGTTTGATTTCGCACTATATTTCTTACTATTGTTTAAGATGTCAAAGACAATTTGTGTTACTTACCTGTCAAAAAAAAAAATAGTTTTATAATTATAGTAAAGCAAAATAAAGTGACTGAATATCTTCACACACAATCTTTGTTTTATTGTCTATGTTTATCGTAAAATTTGAAAATATCATATTATAAAATAGCTAAGTTTTTTAAGTTTTTTCAACTGTCGATATCGCTATTTTGAATGAAGGATAATGGTACAATACTATGGATATTCATTTCATATAGGATATATAGGATATATTTTTATAATTTTCATTGTGTTGTTACTACAAAAACGTAATATGCTTTTAAATTTACAGGTTACATAGATATAAGACTGTAGGCTGCCAACTCTTATAACGTAGTGATTACTTGCTCTATGGGTACCTATTAAACTTTATGTAAAACACGGACCAGGGTGTAAAAGTTTAATGCACTAAAATATATTGGTAATACAATATTAAAGTACTTAATAAATAGTGAAATTATGCTTAAAATAAAGGATTATGTACACATCACATAATAATATACGAATTAGTATAAAGTACAAAAATTAAATTTTTTCGTACTTGCCTATATATAAGTAACCGTTTATTGACGGTGGAGAATAAATATTTTTTTACATTTTTTAATCTGAATAATTATATAAATATTAAGGAGCCTCATACAAATATGTCTGCCTGTTTGTATAACTGATAAGACTAATAAATGATTGAGCATTTTGATTGTTTATCGATGTATTATTTATGAATTTACATATTTTTTAGAAATAACATTTAATAGTACAGAAAAGATTTACCATTACCTATTTCAAATTATGTGGACAGAAAATCAGTATTACAAAAGGTCTATCTAAATATTAGGTCGAAGAAATTGTGGGCAAATACTTATTGAACTATTTACCTATCTATATCTATACGAGTATGTAATGTAATGTTTTAGAAATTATATAGAAGCGCAAATTTAGTCTTGTTATAAGTATAGAGATTTATAAAAGCTTAGATTGTATAAATTCAATTATACTTGCATAACATAAAGTAGTTTATCAGAAATATACGCCTATGCTTTTTTTTTGTATTAAGTACTTACTAACCTAAGCATAATACAAAAATGTATATTTTAATAAAAGAATTACTTATCAAATTTCCCATGTTTAAAGAAATTCACTGCAATATTATTTGTATTTGTGCGTCTATATCTATATTTAAATTATTTTTAAGTAGAATTTTAAGTGAATGGATATTTAAGTGAACGTATTTTTAAATTATGAGCATAATATAACATCCTTAATTTTGACATTATGTTAATATTTTTAGAATTCAAATATGTAAATCTCGTGCTGTATGATTCCTTATAGTATTTAGTTTTATTTTTGTTTATTATAATAAAATTATTAAATAATTATTCGGTAACTTCGGAGTTCATCACATTTATTATCACTCTAGATCTTCGATCAAAGAATCTAACTCTTTCTGCAGCGTAACAGACTCCTCCCTTTGTTTCAGTACGTCGTCTTTCAGCCGGTCTACATTAGCCATCAGGAGCGCGTTGCCTTTCTTCAACGCGTTCACCCTGGTCTCGTGTCTTTTCACCCTCTTTGTAAGGTTGTCTTTCTTTTTAGGTAATGGAGCATCCTGGAAATATACGATATAAATATTCCTCTATGTCCAAAATAAAAAAAAAAAATGCTGCGGAAATTCTTAATTTAAAAATGCTTTTTACTATTTAAAACTAATTTGACGTGCGGTTTTATGTTATCGTTATTATTCCAGTACATGCACTTAGAGTATATAATGGATATCACGCCAAATTTTTTTATGCAACTTGGAATGTTTGCTGACCTAAGATCATTTGACGTTAAGGTGAAATAGTCGCTATAATTTTGTCTTACAGACAAAATTAGAATTATGAGCTTCACTGTGACGATTGAAAACTAGTAGCTGTGTTGGGGGAGAGTCATTGTTGTTAATGGGGATATTAATCCTTATTTAATAATTTATTTTCACCATTTAAAAGAAAACCTAGCAGCTAAAATATTTTTATAGAGGGTAACATGCAAATGACTTTTGTAACATTGTAAAACAAGGAAAAAAATATTTTCTAAGTACCTCAGGTTCACTTTCACTCTCTGTCTCACTTTCAGTATCTTGTTCTGTTTCGGTCTCTGTTTCTTCTTCTTCAGTTTCGCTCTTCTTTTCTTCTTCAGATTCTTCTTCTTCTTCTTCGTCCTCTTCTTCGTCAGACCCAACTTCTTTTAACATAGATGCCATCTTATCTACTTCCCGTTTTAATTCCTTGTATTTCTTTTTCTCATCTCTGGAAATATAAAATTAGGTTTATATATATTCAATAAATATATACGATAATTCATTTTAATTTTTATCAACATTCCAGTCATTTTGTAGCAATATATTAGAAAAATAAGGCCGAAAATAAGCAGAAGATAGATTTTTATTTAGATACTTATCTCATGAAGAAGATGAGTAAAGAGGTAACAGTAAAATTAGGTAGGTATGCAAAGAATAGAAAAGATTACAGTAACTACTTTTTTTATAATTTACTTTATCAGTAAGTTAGATTTGTAATGCAAGAGGATTGATAGAAAAATATTAATACTACTTGTATATTCATTATTTTTATGTAGTTATAATAAAGAATAAGATGTGCTTATTACTACATTGTCAGTAAAACTAGATATCTATGAGGTAGTGATGTTTAGAGATTAAAATAGTTATATAAATTCATGAAAATGTGTTTCGAAGCTTCTTGTAAAATGAGAACAGGTGTTAAAAATAACACTGACTTAAGTGCAGCTTGTTGATTCTTTAATGCCATCTTAAAGCCCATTCTTTCTTTCTTCATATGGTCTTGCTTTTCCTTCAAGTGCCGTATTTTGTTTCTCATGTTTCGTACTTCTTTTTCCATTCGTTTCTGTTTCTTTTCTTCGCTTTCCTCCTATAAAATTTATAATATTTACTTTAGTTGATAAATTATTTACGATTCTCTCTGTCTATCACGTAAGGGAACTAGTATGAAGAAAAATGTAGTTGACAAACAGTCAAGTGCTGTAATTTTTTCATCCTACGGTCTAAAGTATGTTCACGACTTAATTGTTGAAGGGCTTGTTAGGTGCATTCGTATAGCACACTACTAAGTTACAATGGGGAAGAAAGAGGATTACTAGTAATGTAGCCAATTGACCTTACTTTTTCTCACCTATAATCACTCAATAGTACCTCATCAGCATATACAAATAACTCAGGCAGGGTTATCATTTCAAATCAATTCCAAAAAACTTAACCGCAATGTTCTCTTTACAGTCTACTTCTAATAATTTGTCTTGTATTTCAAATAATTTTTTAATGAATTATATCTATTAACTTATTTGAATTATTACCTCCTCTTCCTCTGATTCCTCTTCTTCTTCAAAACTATCGTCTTTAGTAACAGACAACTGTTTGATAGCATGGCTTGATCGTCTCGAACCAGCGTTCGTTGGCATAATTCCCTAAATTAAAAAAATATATACACATTTAATGTCTACGTTTAGAGTATGGATTAAATTATTATACATAACACAATATAAGTTAATTAGCAAGATAAGCATTTACCTCTTCGTCTCTGTAAGCGTAAGCAAAATCAGCTTTAGCAATATTATTATTAGCATTATTGGAAGCTTTCCTTAACTCCTGGGCTTCAGGAGAGTTAATATCTATGTTTAGTAACCTACACTGCTTTTCGAAATCAAGTTGCCTCTTTTGATAAAAGGAGAGTGGCTCCTCTGATATATACATTTCTTCTATTCTGCTCTGTAAAAGTGTTAGTAAAGCCTTAATGTTAATTGCATAGGCATATTTATTATATAAATAAAATACAACGTCCAAATAGTATTTCGATTTAGTTTATAACTTACTGATAACGCTTGTTCTAGTTTCTTTTCTAACTCTGCATTTCTTCTCTTTAATTCTTCTAATTCGGTCAATGCTGTATCTCTCTCTTCTGCTGCATCCAAATATTTTTTCTCCAAACTATCAGCATTTTCTTTTGTCTTTTCTACTTCCATTTTAAGACTATTGACGAGTCTTTCATCATATGCATCAGTAACAGAAATAACTGTTTTGTGTTGTTCTTGTCTGATTATAGCTCGTTCTCTCGCTAATTCTGCTTCTAAATTTTGTATTCTTGTTAATAGGCGCTTATTTTCTCTTTCCTGTGCCTCTTTGTTTCTGTAATATTATAATAATAGTTTATTACATTTACTATGGTACTTTTATTTTTATTAAAAATATGAATTTACTTAATATATATATTTATATTTAAATTATATTTACAGGTTTAAATTTACCTAAGTTCAATAGCTAAAAGTTGTTTTGTAGATTGAAGATCATCTCTGACTTTATCAATGTCATCCATTTCATCGATTTCTTCTTCCTCTGCCGTTACTCCGGGAACCTGAAACATTACACATTGAGGTATATTACATAAAACTATTTCTCTTTCAACAACGATTATTAACTTCATAAAAAGAAGGTTCGCAATTTGGAGATAATTTTTGCGTAACATTCACAAAAAACATATTTTCGTCGGCATTGCAAAATAACAATGGGTCTGCAATTCGTCGTACATATATTGTAGATCTGTTGTTGTTTTACGACGTAGACTGTACAAGTATATCTACACTAATTCTTAATTTTTGTTTTGATGGTTCTTTTTTTGAATATACTAATACTATATAGTTGAAATTAAATCCGAATTTCTTATGGAACAAAATCTTAAGTTACTCTAAGAATTATTATATTATTGAGACATTTCTGTGACTCAGAAGGTTTATAAAATTATTTTTTAAATATTGTATATGATATTTTATATTAAAATATTTAAGAACATTCCTTATACTGTTACTAGGTATATGTATATCCATATAGTATCCTATATGCAAATTTAGGATATAACCTATTTTTATATCAAATTTCATTCAAATCCGTTTAATAGATTTTTCGTGAAAGAGTTTTTTGTTTGTACCTAATGGTTAGCTAGTGGGCTGGTGGTGGTGGTGGCATTAAGCTCGTCATTTATATAAATTTTATTGTGCAATAAAGAATAAAATAAAATATAAGCATCCATCCACTCTTAGAAACTTTCGCAATCGTAATATTAATATAATTATAGCAATCATCCTTCTATCTATTTCCTTAATAAATTTTTTTAGCAATAATTATTTTTCATTTGAAAATGATTCCTTCATAGTTTAATTAATATAATATCCATGAATATAAAATGACGATATATAAAATATTAATAAATATTCTATATTATACTAAAACATACAGTAATAATAACAATTTGAAACAATACAAGTAAAGATTAACTTTCTTTTAAAAGAGATCTCTTTTAGTCAGCTATAACTAAGTAGCATAGGAAGTAGTGAGTGGATAGTGGTAGCGCAAAACGGAAATCTAAACAACAATAATAAATATTTGCATAATTTACAAATTATAATATCTATATTATAAAATATTTCTCATACCTCAGCAACAGAAGCTCCTGAAGGCGATGCCTGGATATTAGCTTGAGACATTGATTTTTGCACTTGCTCTTCTATCGTCATTTGCCTTCTAAACTTCCTCAAACCTTCTAAATTAGGCTTACTTCTGTCATTACACTTCACTTTCTTTAGTTTAATACCTTTAGAAATTTCTTTTAGGAGTTCATTATGAGAGTTTGGTTTCTCTGATTCAAATATAAATTGATCTTTGTTCTTTACAACTGCTGTTTTTGTGATAATTGGACTTGACCTGTAAATGGTAAATGAGAAAAAATAATATAAATATTCACATACTTTTCAAATTTACTATTTTTTTAATTTTATTACATGCGTAGATTTTACATATAATAAAGTTATAAGTAGAACTACTAGACAAATTATGACATATTATAATTCAAAATCATATATATTTTTTTAAAGCAGGAAATTATCTCATTTCCACAAATATTCACCACGAAAATAATATTACGAATGCTTCTTTGCAAATCTTAAAAACAACAAACACTTCATTTTTATGTAGCATTATAATATTAGGTGTATATTTTTTTATTAATTAGAAAGAAAGTGTACGAAACCTGTAATATCTTTTTTCCATGAGAATTTCAAAACATGGATATGAATACCAAATCTTTGAATTCATTTCGACTGGAAAATAATATGGAAACCAAATTTAAATACTTTCTAATTTGAAGAAATCTGAGTTTAAATTGTACATATATTCTTTATTGCACTTGTAAATTACTTAGATAATACATTTATAAATAATGTAAGCAAGGGTGGATTTATCTCTGAAAAAGATCTTTTCTAGTTATCCCAATACAGTTGCAAAGCATGTCATTAGCGGACAGCTAAAGTGCACGAGTGTTATACGAACAATTATTAATACTACGAATACGAATGACTATTAATACTAATTAATATATAAGCTACAAATACACAGCTAAATGAATTATTAATATATACTAGAATATTACATAAATACATAAAAAATAAATTGTAATAATCTGGTTATCTTAATTACGTTATACTCACCGATCATTACAAACGACGTGTTTCAGCTTCTTGCCCTGTTCTACTTCCTTCATCATGTCGCTCCAGTCAGGTCGTTTCCTGGGTCTGCTGCGGAGTTGTTCCAATTTTTTCAGTCTCGTGGGGTCTATAGGCGCCTTTTTGAACTCCGGAGGAGGTGGCATTTTCGGTGGCATCGGTGGAGGCATAGGCGGTGGTGTGGGTTTAAGTAAACCTAAAATTAAATAAATAAACATAAATTGTATCTACAATCATAGGATTACACTAACGTAAAAATTTTGATATAATAACAACTGATTGAGATTATAATTTCTATAATTCAGTCTAGATACCGTTTTATGATTGAATCAAGTGAGGAATTTAGATTATTGGCAATAAGACATAAAGGTTTTATATAATGGAAAAGGAATTTGAGTTAAAAATTGATAATACTTGTATCCTAAATGATCTTGAACTTTCCATGCATAACACACTCAGTTAATTGTTCTAACTTAATAGATATGGTGAAAGGGGATTGTTAATAATGCAGACCACCAATCTCATTGCTAGCAACTGCATTAGGTCGACTTCCATGTGGTCCCTGGAATCCATTGTGCTGAACACCAGGTGCATTCATCACGATGGGCTAACTAACCTACCTATTCATTCTCACCTATCACTGGTACCTCGCCAGCGTGTACCCTTAGCGCGGCCGGGTTTCCATTACATTATCATCCGTTAATAAACCTAAGATACTGAATTGAGAAAAAATATTTATACATTTTTTAACTAGAAAAGTTTATAATGTTGACAATAAACCATATTGCGGTATTAAGATTTAGACATATTTTAAATTATGTTTTTATCTTATTGATAATTTTGCCTAATTTTACTTTTAATTATTCATTTTATTTATTCTACACGAATTAAACTGTTCTATCGCTTAAGTCAATATTTTCAGTTTCTAGTATAGGAATTTACAAGCTTTATACAAGCATACACACTGAATAGTTTTGAAAATAGAAACGGAACTTGCATTCTTGGATTATTACATATTTCGTATTTTTTTCACAATAGGTACAAAATTTTACAATAAAATTATTGTATTCAATTATTACTACAGGCATTGTAATTTCTATATTTAATTATGCTCACCTTTGAATAAAACACTTTGTTCTTCTGTATCTTCCATTGTAGTTAAAGTATTACTTATTGTATCACGGTACTCAACAATAACATATCATTAGGTGATCTATTTATTTAAATATTTCACTTTATATTATTACCACTGCTATTTTTAATGATGCATCATATTAACTTTAATGAGATTACGCACCTACTGTCTTAGAAATAAAACATTTAAATTTTCGAAACACTGATAAGTGTGTTCAGTTCTGGACTTAACTGATGCATTCGCACCTGATGCGCAGACTACGTATGCGGAACTATCCGTTACTATTTTGGATCGCATTTAGACCACAAACTGGTCTGGCATACAAGAGATCAAAAGGTAAAGATCGCTGACGCGAGGAATGCCAATTACACGAATATAGTACGAGTACTTACGTAGTTACCGTAGCTATATACCGGTTCTTATATATAAGAAATTGCAAATGTAGCAATAAATTTGGATTAAATTTAGGTGGAAATTGCATCATCTTGGCTTATTACACGATATTTTCTTATTTTATGGATCCACAGCCACGAGTTACAGCTAGTTTATAATAATTTTATGGGTCCTAATTAATAAATTAAAACTTAATAAGATAGTTGAAAAATATTTCTTTTACACTGTACGTTGTAACTGTGCTTTAAAATCAGTCGTCGTTTAATAAAAGTTTTAATTAATAATATTGTTAAGGCAGAAATAGAAAGTGAGGATACAGAATCTTCAAGATTATCCTAAGAGTAAGCATCTCATTATACTTCTAATCGTTTGCCAAAATCGATTCTAATTAATCGACATTGTCCACTGCGCTTGCGCCGATTGAATACGCAATCTAGGAGCTAATTATAAGACAAGGGGAAAGTGCTAGTGTGTCAATGTTTGTGTCACAATAATACGGTTGTAAATCTATTATTGACTTGATTGATCCATAGTATAAATAATTTAATATTATGTTTTTAAAATATTCATAATTTTTAATTAAAAAAATTTTACTTGGAGTGTGTAGAAATAGCAACGGTTATCTAATGCAAAATTTTTCTCTATATAGATTTTAGATATAAATTTTGGTTTTTTTAATATAATGTTAGAGAATTGTACTCATAACTTAGAAAACAAAGATGGTAAGTTATAGTAAATAGTAAGTTTAGGAACCGAACTTGAAAACTACAAAAGGCCACAAATAACATTATGCAAATTTAAATGTATCATGTTCACAACTCTAACATTTGTTATTGTTCAGAATAATTATTACTTACTTCTTAAACTTTCATTCTTCGTTAACGTATGTCCTTTTGGAATTTCATTTGCGAGAGTTTTGTCTATATTATCTTTAACTCGTTCGTGTAGTGGATCCCTCCATTTTTTAACAGGCTCGTCTTTGGATGGCTGCTTTTGTAAAGATGGTTTACGAGGTGGAAGCTGTAAGATAATATGGCACAATAAGTTATGAATAAATAAAACAAAATATAAATAAATATATATAATAGTTTAGAATTGTTAGATTTTTGATATAATGTAGTATTTTGTTAACTCTCTTTTTTTGTTTAAGGAATTCATAAAAAATACCTTGATATATTGTAAATACGTCTTTAAATTTCAAGTTATGACAAACAATTTAAATACTAACCTTTGAAGGAGTCTTTTCAAGGGGAGTAGGAGGCTTAGTAGCCATTTTGGATTTGCTTTCAATTTTCTCTTCTACTTTAGGTTCATTCGCCTTAGTGGCTGATTTATTATCTTTAATAGAGTTTGTAGTACTTTTATCATTTGTATTTTTATCATTTATCGTTGTTGTATTATTTAATTTTGATGGTCCATTTTTGGTAGGTTTCTCAGACTTTTCTTCAATTTTCTGCGAACCCGCTTTTTCTGAGCCCTTTTTATCTACAATTGTAACCGACTTTTCCTTAGCTTTATCATCTATAGTTCTAACAGTTCTTAAAGCAGGCTTTTCTGTTGGTTTATTGTTTGTAACTTTATCATCAGACTTCGGCGACTTATCTACCGATTTTAGTGCTGACTTAGTAAAACGTGGCTTCTCATCAGCTGGTTTAGCAACCTTATCTGCTTGTTTTGCTGCTGAAGGCTTTACTAATTTTTCTTCAGCAGGTTCTGCTACACCGTTTTCACTTTTTTCTTTAACTGTAGCCTGTTTTTTTAAGCCAGCTGAAACGTAAAAATAATCTTGATTGAATATATTGTAATATTTATAACTAAGTATACAATATCTAAGTACTAGTTGTAAATAGTTTGTATGGGTAAACTTAAAAGTTGCACATATGGATCATTGTTACAACCTATTTATTTATTGCAAATAAAATTATCCACGAGTAAGTAACTTAATCTATGGCTTAAGAATGTAGGTTTGTATAAGTTACCTATTCGTTTTTAACAGCTGAACTAATTCTAATTTATATAATATTAAATTAAATTATGAATAATTTAATATATAAATTATCTTAACATAATTAGATATCTATCTAATCTGAGTTCAGAAATTCTGAGGGTAACTTATCATATATTATTTACAGCGATCATTAAGTAATCAATGATTAGCAATTAAGCTAATAGCTTGTCTGTATACTGAGTAAGGACTGAAATTGATGGAAGCACGTGTTGCGGCCCCGACGCGGTCGGTGCATTTTTGATGGCATGCGAGAACGTAAATAAACATGGTCGTTGCCAAGATGGCCGACCTTCGCTATTTTAGCGCTTCAAGTCAAAATTCCCGCATAGATGGCGAAGAGAAAACGCAAAAGTAACGAAGTAGATGTAAATAATATGTAATTTGTTATGACGAAGTCAAACATACTTTCTAATAGACAATTCTTGTTCTAAATTTGAAGTTCCTTGTTAAAATATGCAGTCTCATCCATACATATGTACGTATATTATATGCATCTACGTATGCATATGCGTTAAATGTTTTCGTTTCTTTACAGAAATAGTAAAATATTTAAAACAAATTTTCCTAATTTGTGTAGAAAATTAGTCGTCAATTGTATAGAAAAGTACCTACCTAATAATTATTAAACATTATTCTAATAGGTATGACACAAATACGTTTTATTGTAGGTAAGTATATAAAAAAATAGATATTAATAATAATATTCTTGATGTATTTCTTTTACATCTTATTTGCTACAACGAAGTAGGTAAATATATGTATCTACAGTCTCTTATAAATCAACTCATGATCCCAACATCTTCGTTTATTTTGTAAAAAGTCTGTCCTCTCTATAAATACCGGTACGTCGGCGTTGGCCGCCAGAAATATCTTAACAACTACAACGTTTATCGAACACGTCATGGATACGACTTTCGCACCGTTTCATACATTTTCTTTAAAACACAATATTTTAATGTTATATTAACGTAATGGACATCGTAATAGTTACGAAATAATAAAGAGCAGTTTATATATTTAGGTAATTAGCAGATACGAAACGATCATAAATTAATATATACAGGTGAAATTGAAATCATTAGATTAGTTTACTATTCCATCAAGGAATATCTCATACTCTAACAGGGAAATTGAACAATTATCCTTTTAAAACACTGCTTAAAAAATTACAAAGAATTGACTGCTTTCCAGAGTAATTTGATAGCTAGACGCGCCGTGAATAAAGCGAACAAAAGATAGCGTAACATAAAGTTTTCACTTTTAGAAAACATTAATACTAAAAACAGTATGATTAATTATTTTATTTATTTATTTATTATTATACAGTAACAGTTTAAACTATAAATATTCCACAAAAAGCAAAAGATGAATAATATATTTTCTGATAATTAAAGAAATAAGTGCTTCCTACTTAATATGTTAATAGTTTATGTGGTAGTAATTTTATCCTATTTGAAATTGGTTACAAAATCAGATTAAAAATATAGCAACAATTGATCTTCCAACAATCCTTTATTTCAATTAAAAAGAGTGAGTTTCCGATTTCCTCTGTTTTTAGATAAATACCAACTACGTAGGGCAGCAACGATTAACTAATTGCACTTGGAAAATTATTATATATGTTGTACACACACACACATTCACACCTTTGTTTACACACAAAAGAGTTATTATTATTTAGGGTGAATATTAGTTCGCCATAATCAATCACTGGGTCATATATAATTATTACGTCGTAATATTTATTATTTGTATATCACTGCTTGAGGGAAATACCTTATCTTTAATCTATTAATAATGATTTACATCACGCTATCGTTCTAGACCATTCACTTCACATCTGCAAAGTAACGTAGCGATTTCAGCTCCTTTCTCGGAACTACGGACACATGAAATTCTCACGGTTTCAAACTCCAGACTAACTTTTGAACGGTTTGGGAGAGTCAATTATTAAGAACTCGTGTCTCCTGCCAAAGTTTCGGCAGGTGTTTACGTCATCATATACATATACACATATATTTATCAACACACATCTACCCACAAGCACAGCCGAAGATATAATATGCAGTGTGAAATATGGCCCTCTTTCAAAGTAGAGTCGGTAAAAAAATAAATATTTAGCTTTAATAACGCAGCGATACGGATTTATTTATGTTTCCATTCTCAATAAGTCAACGTGTCAAATGATTTTTGTAGAGACAGTCGTAAATAGACAAATTCAAAACTTTTTAGTAGATAAATTTGTATATGTTAGTGTGTGTGTTGATAAAATCTACTTCATTCTAAAGTCGTATCCATTTGTAATCACAGTTGGACCTGAGATTTTAGTAGTCTGTAAAAGCAAATCAAATTAGGATTTCCGTTATAATGGAGTCCTAAAAATAATACAACAACCATAAGAAAGTTATCCGTACAATAAATTCTTTTACCTTCAACTAGTTCTATCAATTTCGCTATATCTTCTAAAATAAATACATTAGAAGGCGTTGCCGCCTCTGCCATTTTGGCACACGCGAATTGTGACGTGACTTTCTTCTCGGAAAGATAGTAATCGACTGAAGATTACGTCGAATAAAAATTTCACCACAACTAAACATACCTATTTCCGTGTACGGAAAAAGATTTAGTTAAGCGTTGCTGTTAATAGCAACGGTTAAATAAATGTATATAAAATAAAGAATATTAAATATTGTATAAGATAAAATTTATCTAATGCAACGAAACATGTTTATAACTATACCATAAAAATATTCTATCTCGCAAAGTAACCCAAAGTTTTTCAATATTGACACATTCTCAGAGTAAAGTTAAGCAAAGTTAAGAAATGTAATAATATGTATTAAAGAATTTTTAATTAGTGTTATTAATAAATAGTTAACGCAATAAGGTATAAATAAATAAATATACATAAAATGTAAAAAAGTCTATAAATTGAGACAATAGTTAAAATTGATATATGAATTGTATCTAGGTAAAGACAGTGTGAAATTTGTAATGCTTCTCTGAAATCATGTTCAGTAATAACATCGTACTTTATTGTTAAGACAATTAATTTGCAAATATAAAACTTATTCTAGATCACCTATTATTTTAATTATCTATATTTACAATGACTCCAAATATCAAAAAAATTTAATTGTATATTTAAGTACTGTAAGTGGTAAAAGAAACAGATTTGTTATATTTTAGTTGTATGACACAGATAGTTATTCATAGTATTAACTACTGCCTCATATACAGTAGAATAAAAATAATGTTCGTTTATTAATGGCCAGTCATGTTTGCTAACGTTACGCGTCAAGCGACGGATATGACGTTTTGAAAGCGCCAAGCAGACTTTTCATAATAATTCTCAATGGAAAATTTGTTATTTTTCTCATTGTAGATTGTCTCTTTTGTTTAGTAAAGTAAGAATAAAAATGTATCCATATAAATTAGAACAGCTTTCAATATTGTTAATTTAGCCCTACTTTTGAACTACTTCCTATCGGTGTTTATAGATTTATTAACATGGTGCATGCGGTCAAACTTAAACAGGTTATTTCTCATGAAAACAAATAATTATATTGAAAAGTATTTCATATATAGATTATCTGAGTAAACCGTTTGTATGAGAACTAATAACAATTGAATTCTACTATTTCAAAACCAATTTTTGCAGTTACAAAGTGTAAAGATTATACACGTAGTAGGTATATCCATTATTTATTTATTGAAGTAACAAAGACTAATTTTCGACCGACTTCAAGAAGAAGAAGTTTTTTTAATTCGGTTTTATTTTGTAAACCGATATGGAAAATAATTTTTTTTATCCGAAATAAAATACTTATAGGTCCCATAGAAATTTTATCAAAATCAGTTTAGATTTTGATAAAATAATGATAAATGTAGTAGTTTTTTTTTTAATAATCGATTTTACCATAATTGAAGTCAGTTTTTTATTGTGGATTACAATTTAATTGTTTCAAAAATTTATATAAATTAATTAACAATACCTTTTATCTACTTGAACTATTTTTATAATACGCATGACTCATTCTGAATCGCGTGACATATCAACTAATGCTGAGTAAATACCTATTCAATGATAGGGGAGAGTCGGGTAGCCTCGGCCACATAAATAAAACTCATGATATCTTGAAAATCAACCGAAATAAACATTTATTTTTAAACTTTAACTTAAACTAAACATATATCTTATAATATTAATTAAGTTAGAAACTGATAGTTTTATTATATTAGCTTAAATCAAGTCTCAAAAGCAGTCTTCAATATTTGTTAAAATAATTTTTGGAGGGTAGCCCCGGACATAGAATTACTGATGACCAAATCGTTCTTTAGCCTTGCATACGTCACAATAGTAGTAAGCCAGCGATGGATCAATATCCACACACGCTTCGTGCGCCCAGTCTTTGCATCTATGACACTGGATCCAATCTTCCTCGAACGTTTCTCCACAAATGATGCATTCTGTATCGTGGTCTCTTTCTAGCTGAGTCAAACTTTGAATATTCTTCTTTGTTTTCATTTTATTAGTTGCCGCCTTTCTTTTATTCGTTGTAGTTTTATTGGTTGCAGCCTTGGTTGTGTTGGTCGCAGCCTTTTTCTCTACCAACGCATTTTTGAAGGGCGAAGATGTCAGAATCTCACTTTTTTGTGTTTTTCGTGAACGCGAATTCTATCACTGCCAACTCTTTATGGCTTCCATGTCCATCGAGAATCAGAAGGACAGGGTTCTCCTTCGAAGGCTGTACGTGCTGTTTGAAATGCTGGAGCCACATTAAAAATATCTCACCATTCATCCAACCACTTTCGTGTGGAATAGCAATGCTATCTGGTGGAGCTCCAATCATCAAACGACCATTTTTATCCATCCTTTTCCTCGGGAAAATAAAAAGTGGAGGTATAAAATGGCCGCACACGCTCATAGCAAACATCAATGTAATGTTTCGTCCTCTTTCACCAGAAGTCAACTTGCCAACTTGCTTTTTTCCCTTAGTAGAAATAACTTTCTCATTCTTGTGTACAGTGGAGACCCCCGTTTCATCAGCATTGTATATTCTGGAGGCAGGGAATTTGTATTTATCTTGTAGTTGGTGGAGCTGATCATAAAACCGATAGACTTGTGGTTTATTAAACCCAACGGCTCTTGCAATGCTGGTTGACTCTGGACTTCTGAGAGCAATATCTGGGTATTTCTTTATGAAGCTATAATAAAAATCTTTGCCGGCCATTTTCTTTTCTTTATTGAACCTATGAGGTATTTTTAAACGTTCTGCAAATTGAAATGCCAATTTCAAAAACTCTACTTTGGTCAGCGGCATCAGGCGATTATCGAGGTCTTTGACATGGTTATATAATTGCAGTGATTGATTTTCTGAGAAGGTATGTTCATATCTCCCTAGTGTTGGCTTGAACTGTGCTTCTTGTCCACTACCGACAGCTTTTATCCGATCCTGAAGGGTGCTTCTCGGCACATCATATCTCTCAGCTGCTTCTCTCACCGATATCTTTTTTCCAGTACACATCTTATAGCCTGTTTCATTTTATTTTCGTCCCAATTTCCTCTAGGCGTAATCCTTCCTTTGAATTTTGGCATTATCTGCAAAAGACACAAGATTTTATACACTTGTCTCAACATTGTAATAAAAAAAGACTGTAACATAGAGATGCATAGACAAACAGACATGGTGAAACTACCACGTTTCTTAATTTCACTATGCAATCCAAGAAACTAAACATTTCGTCATAAAAGAAATGTCCGGGGGTACCCGACAAAAAAGTGTCCGATTGTACCCGACCGCCTCGATCCTATGTTTTTATTCATATAGGAAATATCAATAAAAACAACGTCAAGTATTTACCTAATTTGTTAACTATAATGACTAACTTACAGAATTAGTAATATACTATGGTGAAGTACTTACATTGTATAACCAATAACCGCACTCAAAAAGTAAACGGCGCACACAAAAGTATAGGTACTGTTAAACAAACGAATGTCACGTGTTGTTCGCACATCAGTCGCAGCGCGTTTGATATGAATATACGGCTAAATGGTGCTGCGGTCGTGTGGATGTGACACTTGTGCATGTATGTGTGCGAACTTTCCTGTAACTAGCACTGACCGAGGGTACCCGCCGGCCGGGGCTACCCGACTCTCCCCTACAATTTTGCCGAAATCCATTCGACCATTTTAATATGATGACGTAAACAGTCATTAAAAGTAAAAAATAAAATAATAAAAGAGTTTTGAAAGTGCCTTCTTTCGAAACAATATTTAAAGTAAGACAAAACTATGTTACGAGTAGTATGGTATTTTTTTTTAATTATTAATTACGATATAAGTTTATCATTTCTGGACATGCAATGATTTACGTAAGGGCAGTCCAGGTCTGCTCGCAATCATGCTCAGGATGTTGTTGTAGCTACTCCGCACTCTGTGCACCAAGGACGTGCACCTCTTATGCATTGTTGCATAGAAGCAATCCATTCGCGCATGCGCAAACATTCCTAATGCACTACAGAATCAAGTAAACTCCAGTAGCACCCTGAACGCATATTGTATTGTATTCATGTATATACTTGCAGACTAGAAGTGTAATGCAATGTACGCTCCCATGCGTCTAAAGTAATTATATGATTTTCTAGATTTTACATAAAATTAAAGATAAACATCCTTAGTATATGTTTACAAATTTGTTATAATTATATTTTCAGTTCGGAGTTTTGCTTGGTTAAATAATGATTATATATTTTTTTTCTACTAATCCTTCTACAAAATATTTGTAATATTTCGAGGATAGTGTGTTTAAAGAGAACTTATGTATGAATGTGACATTTCCTGATTTATATATATTATAGAATACAAAGCTAGACTTTGCCTATCCTTGAGTGTTCTTTCGTATATAACGAAATATGTTCTGAAGAATTGTTGAAGATAATAGTCACGGATCACTCTCACACATTCTAATAAATCCTAAACGGTTAAGTACAGTGCAGTTTCACAGGAATTTTCTCCCGCGAACTTTTAGGGTTAGGCTTAAAGGCTTAGGCTTTTAGGCTATGACATAAGCATTTTGCCGAACCTTTTAGGCTTTGAAGGCGTATAGGGTTCTTCAATACGAACTTACAAGATTTCTTCGGGATTAGAAACGCACACGCGACGACCCTGATAATGCAGGCCTTTATAGTCTACGGTAGCCGTTTACCATCAGATGAACTGTATACCAGTTTGTCGCCTTTGTGGTATTAAAAAATTAGTTTGCATGTAGTATTAATCTGTATAGTCAATTTGAGCAATACTTACGTTTCGATTTTACTGTTGGGGTAGGTTGGTCATCGGCCTCTCCAGTTGCCTTACTAGACTCTACAGGCTTTAGTTTCCTTTGAGTCCACGGAGGAGGTGCCTCTGTGTCCTTGTCTTTCACCCATGGTGGTCTATAGTTGTCTCGCTTGGGCGCAGAGTCTTTACTTACGTTACCGATTGGCATTGTGGTGGTCTGTAAATTGGGTGTATATGTTAAATATGTAATGTCTGTTTTTTCTTTGTTAGATAAAAAGGTAATTGTATATTATAATTATGTTTTTTATAATATTTCATTGTATAGAATAATATAACGGTAGACATATTATCTCTACAGGAATATCTTTCGGTCGATCAGCTTTTGATGAATTTTCTTTGAATGACCCAATGAAAAGTCCCTATTGTTCTCTTCAAAGACTGATACATATTACAAAGACTATGTTCAAAAAATTAACATTTGGTGTATTAAAAAAAGATAGCGTTTGTAATGTCTGATATAAAAAGCAAAACCTTAGTCCTCAGAAGTGGCAACTCATGAAGAATGAAGAAATAGCATTTAGTTATGAGTCTATTTTACTATTGCAGATATACTAAAAGGTTGCAAAGAATGTTTGTATTTGTAAATTTGTTAATAAATGACACATATATATATATATATATATATATATATATATATATATATATATATATATATATATATATATATATATATATATGATGAAATCGAAATCACTAGCATTCTTCGAAAGCAATGTTCTACCATTGAAAATAAATATTTTTTCAAAGGAACATAGATTGATAAACAACAATGAATTTTGACCTTCCCAAACTAACACGACGAGTTTAGCTATTAAGTTAGTATGGGAAGTTCTTCAGAATAACAATAATAAGCTTTTTATAATAATATAATTAGTATATACGATGTCATGTCCGTGTGATCTTACTGTTTTATTGGCTATGAAAACCATAATATTCAATATCGCGTAGCGTTAAGAATTGCCAAAACATAACGCTCATCCATTCATTCAACAACAGCGTTGTGTATTTATAACTTCACTGGCATACAGTATGAGTTCCGTCTTATAATATTTATAATACGCTTGTGTGAATTATATGTAACGAGTTTAACATTTAATATTATTTCCTTTATTATGTTTAGCTACTGGATTATTGTTATTATGCGCTACCTCCATTAGAAAGGAAGAAAAAGAAGTCTAGTAGTTTGGACGTTAGTTATTTCAAAGTCCGACAGAATTACTACGTGAGTAACTGAGTATGCCTCAGAAACGTAACATATGTACCAACATATTTGCAGACTGCAAATGTATTAAAAAAGGTAAAGAAGGACATCTCCTTTAGTGAATTTACTTAAAGGTACATGTTATATTTGTATAAAACTATGGTGTAAAGGTCGCCAGAATGATAAAACTTAACAATAACTAGTATAATATATTTTTCCGTAGACTAAGTTAATTTTTTTTCTCGCGTTTTCTTTTAATCCTGTGTACACAATAGCGCAAGCAGAATAATGATACCTACACTAAAGGGGTATTAGTGAGACTATATATGAGGAATCGTAAAATGGTTAGGCATAAGTGTACTGTAATACATTCATAATATGTGTATAGATAGATAGGTAGCAGTCGTTCTGTATGAAGTTTTAAATGCTATACTAGTGCAGTGATTACGGTATAGTGTAGGTTAGTGTAACTATGTTAATAAATTAGTAATTGCTATCAGTCGCTTGATAGTAAGCGATTGGCATAATGAAAAATGAAAATATGTACTTTGAAGTCTCTGGTAGCTGTTACGTGATATTCCTGGCTTCGCTTTACTTACAACTACGCGATCAACTAAAAATAAATAGGTTGTTCTTATTGAGCATGAAATCCGTAAGCAACTCATATTTGTATAGCAACAAAGACAGGAAACGTATACCAAGGTACACCATTTATATCTCTTTTTAACTTCAGTTTGGGATAGATTCTAGACACATCGGATACAAATCGATTGTAATGTTATCCAATTTTGATTGGATGTGGTCATTTGAAAGTCATTTCTTTTTTCTACGAATTAAATAATTCTCAACGCCTATCTACTGTAAACGGAGATATTTTTAAACAATAATTATTGTAAGTCCTTAGTCTAGTCTCAGCAGCTTTTAACTCTATGTCTTCTATAATTTTAATTTTTTTCTATTATATCCATTATTAATTAATTTGAAACTTTCGCGTTGTTTACTCATATTTTATTAATCACCTCGTGGTCACGATGTGGTGTAATCAACGCCAAAACATTGGCAATAAAGAAGAAGGTATGTATGTACTATTTACTTGTAAAGACATCGCTTTAAGTCTCGATTGTGTATTTAAAAAAAAAATATATTAATCTTTACCACGTCGAGAAACAAGAGGGTTATAAAACTACAGCAGAATTATTTCTGGGATTGGTGTAAATATCAACACAGTAAAAATGTGAAGAGTGTGTATGTCGTTATATTTAAAGAATGCCAAATACCATTAATATGGAATGACTGTGTTTTCCTTACTGTTTATAAAATAATTTAAAGCAAATCTGTATGTATAATAGTATATATCTATTATCTGTAATAAGTTTCTATTACAGATAGTATGTATATATTACTGGTTACTTCTACAATAAATGATTATTGAAGTGACACACAATCATATAATATGCCTGGCTAAATGAACATCTGGGGTCATAATTCAGAATACTGAAATCCGAATTAATTAAGTACATTTCTTAAACTAACCCGAGCGAAAGTCTAACCAGAATCTTATTTAAACAGTGCAACATGCCGACTACTAATGGAACTTGTAAATGTATATTCTTTCTAAAATAATTACTAATTAGAAGGAAAAAAATAATGAACAATCAACACTGGAACAATTGTTATTTGATTGCTCTTTTTCTAAACTTATATGAGTAAACATCTACTAATACATTATGTATTAGATAATGAATAAGCATTTTCAACGCCAAATTTTAAATAGACCATGAGAAATATAAACGACATGAAATTTATAGAGATTTTCTTAAAAGAAACAGTGACAGATTGTACTCTGTATTTTTCTTGTACCTACGTATCTAGTTACGTAAGACTATTTTCATAAATCCATGTTAATCTGTAGTAGGTAAGCATTGAGGACAGCCCTAACAAAATACTTTGGCTCACAGAGATACCGCGGGGTGACAACTTGGCAAGATATTTTTACCCTATTTTATGTCCAGTGCTGCATATAATTACAGTTGTGTTTGTAATTTACGTTCTGTAACGTAACTAATGTTACAATTACTTGTTGACATATCTCTGATCTGATAATTTTGGATTTGTTTCTTTTTACACGATTATAAAATGACAAACAAACTCGCAGTCTAATAGAAATTGGTAACTACCAAATATGACATGAACTGCATTAAAAAATATCACAGAATGCACTGTGACCATTGTGATACCTTATTTGTACGTTGGCAATCTTGAGGAATAAGGTGTTGTACCTCCATCTATCGTTCTAAGATTCTAAAAAGGATCTATTATAAAAGTAAATATTCAAATCGAGTATCAAGATAATACAGTGTTCTTAAAGGTCTAATTTAAAATCTTTTATCTTAATATCTAGAAGCGGATTGCGATTTTCCTACTTCTAAAATCTACGCGTATGAAATAGCGGGCAAAAAATTGGTTAAAGAACAATGAAAACCTATATGTTAATCCTACGTAATGTAATCTACCGTTACTTGTTATTACAGGTATAGGCACGGTTTCCTGGACTTTGCTGCTACTATTCTATCTCTGAGAAAATTGTTCGCAAGTAGCTAATTCTTTTTATAAGTATTTAAATGAATCTCATATGCATCCGTAACATAAGAATATAAATATCTCAAAGAAGAAATAGCTCAGGATTAAAGACAAAGTTTTATATTATGGAACGATGTCAACCTAACTTGTTGTTTCCGTAACATTGGCTCATTAATTTGTATTTGTGAATTATCGTGTCTTGGTAATTTCTTATGGACTCCCGCGGTACAGGTTCGCTTCAAATGTGTTCCAATGTACTCATATTGTAAATTTCTTGTTTTTAATAAATAAATAAATAAAAATAAATGAAAAATAAATAAAGTGCGATAAAATAAGAGATAAATACAAAATTCCTTTGGGTTGAAGTGCAATGTATGTAGTATAGACTACAAAATCTACATTAATATAAAATGTGAATACATCAATACTTCGATGTATTATTAAGTATTAGAATATTAGGTATTCCAGTATATTATACTAGAAAATATAATAATATGGTACTTAAATTAATGTCCAAGTCAATGTATATTTGCGTTTGTTATGATTCAATTACAGCTCGATTTCGCAAATTTTTTTAAAATAAAGTAGGTACCACACATGTTACACGCTAATAATGTCGTTTTCTACAGGTGATAGAATTTTTAAAATGGGTAAAATATTTTCGAGTTTGTCCGTTACAAAGAAAAAATCAAATATTTCTTCTTTATAATATTAGTTTAGACCAAATATACATCAAATTTCTCATATTTCAACCATCAATTAGAGAAACATTATACATACCAATATAATTCGTACATACATACATACCAATAGAAATCCACACAAGTTTTCGAAAATCCACTATGTTTATCCACATATTGAAACTAAATATGTCGTAATTATATATTATTGTATACATTAAACAGGTTCTTAATCTATATTTTACACTAAAATCTTACATAGTGGAAATATTACAGACACTGAAGATAGATCGAGAAGCGATAGTATTTTGCTTGTATGTAAGGATTAATCTCTAAACTATTCAACTAGTTCTAAAAATGTTTACTCTAGTAAGATTGGCTGTATTTTGATTTTCTAAGTGAAAATGCTAGATTCCAATTAGTATTATAAATTAAAAGTATAAATAAGTCAGGGTTAGGTATACATTATGCGCATGGTATAGCAGTTAGTGAAAACTGGTAGTTTATGAAATCTTGCATCATATTTGATCTCTGTTCTATTTAATTAACCTTAGAGCAAAGCCTTCGTCAGTTTAACGAAATTATAAGTTTCCTTAGTCTAGGCTGTGCTTTCATAACATCTAATATATTAAATAATTGGTCTGTCTGTCTACTTGTAAGTATACATGGTGTTTACATTTTAATAATAATGTATAAATATAAATGCATAAAAATATATGTAAGCTTTAAATTTTTATTTAGAAGTTTGTTTTTCTATTTCATACATAATGCAATTTCTCGTCTTCGTTATAAGTACCAAATATAATTATGACTAATAAAAATTTTCTTAAAAAAACATCATAAGCGTACATAAGAAAACATCGATAAAGAATTTATTACGTATAATTGTTTAAAGTTTGTAATGTACTTTAAATTAAATAACGATATTAAAATAAAAAGAAAAAAAAAACCTTATATTTCATTTTACAAAAAACCTTAATTATGTTTATTTTATTTGCAAAGATTTGCGTCGCAAACGTTTTGTTTGCGTTGTCCACTATCTCACTGTCAGGTTACTATTTTGTAGCAACACTGATTTTATATAGTGCAACAGCTTCTACTTGTATGTATTTATAATAGAATTCAGAACATTTTTTAAAATATCAAGTTTTTTTTATAATATAGCCAATCGACTACTTTTTTTTTAAATTTTTAACTTACAAAACTGGAAAATTTATTTTTTTATATAGTACAGAGCTGTATTTAAAGAGAAATAAATATGAGGAAGGTGCTCGTCATAGAAGATAAAGAAGAAGGAAAAAAGTGAAAGGATGTAATTACGTAAAAAGTAATTCTAATTCAAGATAACGCAATTGTTACCTATCTTACATTGATTGTGTATGTGTGTGTAAATCTCTCGGTATTTCACACAAATATTTACGCACTTAATTCGACCACATCAACAAACACGGAGACTCAGCTCAGCATATTTTGGACTCAGAAACTCGGATAATACTTGGACAAACCCGGATAGATAGAGTATCGGAAGAATAGCGCGTCTGAGAGCGCGCGTAGCCCGCGACTACCATCGGAATTTCGTTTGTGAACAATCCTCTGGAACTTTATAAATAGGTGCGTCAAAGCAACACGTACCGTGAACGTTCGTGTTTGCTTTTGAATGAGCGTATGAGTTCACTTTTTTTTGCAGAACAACGTAATATTTAAAATTTAGAGTAATTTGTCTATTTTTTACTTTTTTTTTATTCACATGCTAATTATGCTGCTTAGAAAGTGACAAACATTGTTTTTAGATATATGTAAATAACATTGTGGACAATACAGTATATTCTATAGAACAAGGAATTACTACGTTATATACTATGTCACCTATACTCATTTTTATATATTCATGACCATGGACACAAGTCCTTCAGTTGCAAACATAAATAATAACTCATACTATTAGGTACACTCTACATTCATGCTATAGATCCTCATGTGTTGGCACTATTGATACTAAAGTATATTGCCTTTTTTGTAAGACATTAAATTTTGTATTCTTCAGACCCAAATACAAAATCAGATTGTTGTTTTTAAGTTAGAAGTAGGTACATATAACATGGTAGTTACAGAGGACTTACACAAAATTCTACAATCAGATTTTCAAGCGAAAAATGCATAAAGGTATTATACCGATAGGCGAATTTTTTTTAACAATATTAATTGTTAAAAAAAATTGCTAATTATAGCAATTAACTGTTGATTATATTACATTTTACATCAATATTCCATAAATGTTGTTAATCGTGATTCAGTCCTAGCTGATTTTGATATTTTCTCTATTTACACCTGCCAGGGATGAAGAATGGAGATAAGGGATAAGCGCGTAGGAAGAATTAAAAAAAGATGGATGGACTCTGCGAAGAACGACGTGATCTTAACCGAGTACTGAAATGTCTGCAAAAAGAAATAAATGGTACAGTAAAACACACTGACACACGATTCACGCAGGCAAGCCGCGGGATCAGTTAGTAAAAATTAAAAATATAATTTATATTCGAGATGGATGTTACAAGGCATAAAAATTGTTTCGAAAGAATTGATTGTATTTTATTATTTGTATTACAGGTCAACAATTGTCACATACCTATATAAAGTACAAAATGACTAGTTATAGTAACTAGTCTGGCCATAAATACTGTTACATAAAAACTTTTCTTTTTTCAACTTTTTAATTATTTTGAATTTGGAACACGTTTATTTATTGGCGGAATTAGTTATGAAGCTAACTTTATAACTATAAACTATATACTTGTATAAACTGTAAACTAACTATAAACTACCTATGTTGGTACTTATAGTACAAGTAATTTACCTTCACACTCAATATGTTTATTTGCTAAATGATTTGCTATTTCTTTTATGATTATGAACTTTTCTGTCTCTTTATACGTGTAAAATGGACATTATTTTTTTATCAAAGATATGAATCTAAAAATGTTCATCAAATGCAAGTTACTTTGTCATCTAATGTAGTTAATTTTGATATCATCACAACAAAATGAAATGGCTTCTTTATCACTTGTTTTGGCTTCTTACACACACGCGGCTATTTACGCCACAGGTAATAAATAATACACGCAAATGAGATATACACCTTGTTCGAGTAACGTATCTGAATCAGTATTATAATCTTTATGATAATAGGATCAGTGTTGTCTAAATTGAACTTATTGAAATGGCGTTTTCGAAATCTAAAAATACATATATAAGTTAATTATTCAAAAGAATTAAATTCTGTTTATCATCAGAGTAATCATTGTATGATATATTATTCTATCGATGGAGGACGAGGGATGGGCAGCAGCGTCCCTCTTAAACCATCTCTAAAGTCTAACTGCAGTTGCCAATCCACCCGCCAAGCATGGCAACTACTGGCAAAACCCCCCAAGGGAGAGGCTTATTTCAACAATAGTGGACCTTTAACTGTCCACTTTTATGATAATGATGATATTATTCTAATATCCAATAATATATAAAAACTAAAGTAGAGATGGCTAGATATAAATTATATTAATTAATATAATATTTATTCATAAAAATATATTTAAGGATTTTTAATTTTCAAAACATTCAAATGTTAAATATGCCATGTAAGTAGGTAGTAATATAATCTAAACACTTTCACATTTATAATGTTATTAAGGACGAAGAAAATTATAAAATTTCTTAAAAATTTATTGAAAATTTATTGCGAGAAAATAATAAACGGCCGTGTCTTATTAACTCACATTGCAAATTGTGTTTTAAATAAAATGGAGCGTTCAGCGTCAGATGTTCTATTTTTGATGCTTTCCCGCCCTGCACAGTTCTAACGCTATCATAGACACAATTTCCTCCAAATAGAATTATTTTACAGTTTCATACCATAAAGTAAATATAACCTCTTTTCGAGTATTCATCTACAATGAATATATGAACATTCGTTATAGATAAATATTATTATAATATGTATATAAAAAAAGTAATTAAGATGGAAATGATTATTACTTATTTTTCTCTAATAATAAATTAAGAGTGACTCATCTATGTCGTATAATTCGTATAGTTCGAAATTAAATTATTAACTTTTATCCGTTATTAGATCTCATTAAAGATAAATACTATGAATATTCTTTAAATATGTACTTAAATAAATAGATATATAAGTACGAGATTAATTTTTTTTTAAATAATACCTATTTTTTTGTGTTAGTAATAGGGCTTAGCAACCCTAAAAGGTTGAACTTCTCGCGGTTCCCCCTGGAAACCATCGTGATTGATTTATTTATTTATTGTTGAATTCGTCACGATGGACCGACTGACCTGCTTCATCTTTACCTATTGTCCCTCACTGATACTTCACCAGTATATTATACTGATAGCACAGGCGGGGTTACCATAACATTATTATCCATAAAAATATAGATTATTTTTTATTGAAAAGATTTTTAGAAAATATACGTAAAATAAAAAATTACAGATTATTACTATGCAATTTTTAAGAAAGACGGCATTTAGTCAAATAGCATCACTGGGTATGTTTTTAAAAGTCATTTTAATGATTTACAGCGACCTTTAATGATTCCCTGGGCATTATAGTATCTAAAAAGTTTCATTGTTTACTCCAATCGATTTTTTAATAAAATTTGATGCGATGCTTTATTGTTTCTATGACCTTTTTAGTTCTAGGTCTCGGCGTCCCTGGAGTTCCACTCTCCTATTCCTAACGGCATCATAAGCATTGATATCACCGTCGTCATCTGAAAAATAGACACTTAAATAATATATATACAAATGACGTATGTGTTTCAAGGACTTATACTGTGTATCTAATAGTTGCCAAATTTACTAGTCAACGTGTATTAATGTGTGCTCAATCTGTGTTCTATTGTCTTCGATTCATTCCGTTTTGTCTATGATTTAATTGATGGCGCCATATTTCCGTTTACCTTCGGCGCACCTCTATGTAAGTATTCGATAAGATTCATCTCAATAACTTTGGGCCACTCCTGTCAAGCACCATTGGACTTGCGGCCTAAATATAGGTACTTAGATATTAGTAAACAATATTAAAAAATATACTGTTACTCGTATTGATGAAGCGTTGTGTAACTTGCTTACCCTAAATCCCTTTTTCAATATTCTAGTGTCAGCAGTCAGCTGTCGGATATTTGATTAGAAGCATTTTTACACTGGCGGATGATAGAAAACATAGACTTAATTCATCGTACTACATACTAAATCTAAGATAGGAAGCAACATTAATTAGCTAGTGTAATAACACTGTTTTTTTACAATTTTAGAAATCAATATTTCCATTCGTAGATAAATAAATAATAAATTTATCGTCTTTGAGATCGCCTTTGAGCTGACTCCAAAATACAAAGTAAGAATTCAATATAAAATAAATATTAAACCTGTTATTGTACTGCTCACTAGAAAAATACAAATAAGATATGGCCGATGATGTCGAATAAAAAAATTACTTCAGTAGGAATGATAGAGAATTTTAATAAATAGGGCAAGTCATCAAATATAAGAAAATTTTAATAGTGACATGCACATAATAAACACTGCTATCTAGTATCTAATTTCAAAAATACAAAAATAAAAAAAACATTTTTTAAACAATGTAAGTAGAGACTTTTGACACTCGGTCTTTTTTGCTTACCCAACAAAGTATTTAGCGTGAATATAACACCAGTACTGCTACTAGCTACTAATTAAATTAGGATTATATTAAAGGGGAAACTTCATTTGGAAATCTGGGACAGGTTATTTCCCTTTGTATACGTAAATAAAGTGACGACTGACAGAAATAGAACAACAATCAATATAATGATGAATGAGCAAATCAGTGCGAAAGTGATCGCCACTGATTTATCACAGCTCAATTATCTTGGAAAGAATCTATTTCTTATCACTAAATGCTTATTAAAATATTATCTATATATATTGTAGCATAATTCGTCAATAGATGGTATTATTAGGCGAAATAGTAAACGTCGCGGACGAATAGTGTATCTAATTTCTAAAAGGAATTTGAGTAAAGAGAAAAAGGTAAGGTTTTCAACTATTCTCTATTTTATTAATTTTATATGACGAATTTATACATTTAAGAATGTACGTCACGTGGACGAAGGCACGGGTAAAAACTAGTTATACCATCAAATAACTTAATAATTTACTTTAAACTATTAAATTAACAATTTTTAAAACATTTTACATTAACTATGATTAAGTTGCCGATAGTTTGTAAAGGTTCAGTCGTGTCTGATTCCAGTGGGAATTTCGGTAAATCCTTAGTATTGAATTTGCATATAAAAAAATCGTAATAAATATTTTAACAATAAGTTAAGGCTGTCTGTCAGATAACTCGGTTTCATCAGGCAGATAGGTTTCTAGATAATATCTTTTGGGTATAAGTCCACCAAAATTCTGTAATTTATATTCATATGTCTCATATATAATATAATTCAAATGCCTTGAATTTTCTAATCAACGATCACAATTTTAATATACTCGCATGTATTGATTTTGTTATGAAGATAATAATCTACCGGTGATAATATTAGATTATTTGATAAACGCTTAATTTACTCGTCTTTGTCTATTTAACGTAAGTACCTATGACGTAAATAAATGAAAAAAAGAAAACAAATTGCTCATAGGAAAACATTAGTTGAAGTGTGTTAATAAATGTTATATAATAAACGATATGGATATGTTATTGTCCGAAATAAATGGTAGTCTATCTTCTTCTCTATCCTAAATAGTATATATATAGCAAAATTCGTACGTAAATAGAAAACATTGACTCGTGGAAATAAAAAAAATAATAATAAATATAGTGACAAGTGAAATCCACATAGGAGTAGTCAAGTTATTGCTGTGTTATCGGGTATCATGATCCTTTATTTAGCTGAGCAATAGAAATGAACATGGCAGTGAGAAACCTATTGCTACCGTCTATTTCGATATATTATATAGTATACGTTATTTCCCGAATATATAAAGCATGGGGCATACTAAGAAATAAACGCATTTATTAGGAGGGTAGGGGGGGGGGGCAGGTTAGTTACACGGGGCACCAGTTTTATTGCTAGTAATATTCTCTGGCAGGTCGCCATCTACGTGGTCCTCCCTGGAAACCATCGTCCTTAATTCCGGGTGTATTCATCACAATCGGCTAACTGGCCTGCCGTTTCATTCTCACCTGTCATCCCTCACTGGTGCCCCGTCAGCGTATACCGTTAGCGCAGGCCGGGCTACCATTCCATTATCATTCATTAAAAAACGCATTTGTTTAGTCTATTACGCGCGGATAAAGAGAAAGCTATACCTGTAAAAACAAGCGTCGACTGTCTGCTGTCTCATTACTAAATCTCTTTATTATCATAAATTATAATATTAGAGTTATCACTAGAAATAAATCATGGACTAAAGCAACCCTTATTACAAAACGAAGTTTATCATTAAATCATGGTCCATCTGTAGTCTAAAGGTACACATAGTTTTATTGTGGTTTAAGACCAAATATTTCTTTTGAAGTTATAATTACTCTTGGCATAATATGAAGATAGTTTAGTTTGTATAGATTTGCTAAGTTTGCATAGTTGGATGTATGCTAAATGAATTAAGCTAAATGAAATTTCTCTCAGCTTTCATTGTCACCAGCACTTAATATGTTGTAGCATAGATTTATATATAAAAGTAAATAACAAAATACTTAAGAGTAAAAACACAATTAAAAGATAAAAAATACTACTATAATATATATGGTAAAAATATAAATATATCCAAATCTATTTAATTTTTATGGTATAGGTACATATTTTATGCATAAATCATTTTTTCAGTCATTATACATTATCCACTGTGCAAATTAAACAGAAAAGTTATATATGTACCATAGGTACATACCTACTACCTAATTATATTAAATGTACCACTAATAAGGAAAACACTGCTCTAACAGCTTCCTTTCCGTCAGATTTTTCTCATTTCATGGCGTGTCCGGGATTTCCTTAATTGCTGTAAATACACTCATCATTGTGCATACCAATTAGTATATATATAAAACAAATATTCAAATCCTTTAATTTTAAAATATATTTTTTTTTTTTTTTTTTTTTTTTTTTTTTTTTTTTTTTTTTTTATAGAACTTAGAATGGCAAACAAGCTGACGGCCCACCTGATGGAAAGTATACTAAGTAGGACGGAAACGGATACACACAATGAAGAATTAGTGTGAGTAATTATTATATTATTAAAAATTCAACATCTAATAGTCCTCAATCGTTATAACCCAGTTTTATTGGGGGAAAGGGAATATTAGTAATGAGAATATAACAGAAGTAGAAGCATCGACCAAAGGGCGCCAAAAGAAAATCTCGCTCGAGGGCTTTCGCTGAAACTTATTACCGCCTATATAGATGAATAGCATCATAGACACTACAAAATATATTATGCTGCACACAACATCCCTAATGAATTGCCGCTCAGAGATAGCGTATTTCATATATCCTCATATATAGTTACATTAATACTTGATATCTTTTTCTTTTCAGATATGGACCGTTTAACCTATTTTGTGCTATTCTCTATGCTTGTAAGCACATTCGCCATGCCCAAAACATCTGTGTCTAAAGGTAAACAGTAACATCAGATGACAAAAAAATAAAAAATAAACCAAAGCTTTGCTTGCCTGCTGTTTGTACCATGTAATACGTATATATGTATATATAGTGTGTGTGTTCGTTGTAAAAACGAAAAAAGGCGACTTCAATCGTCAAGATAAGAAATAAACCATAGCGATGAACGACGAATAATTTTATACTAATTTTATACTAGATAATTTTCTCAATTGTTTTTTTTCGAGCGACAGGGTTTATGTTAATGTTACCGTTTTTTATTGCTTGTCGTGAAGTAATATCTATTTCAATATTTTGATCTATATGTGAGGTAAACGACTTCGTATTCTTAATATAAATATTTTTTTTAAATCTACTTTCCATGACATAGATAAAGGAATAAATACTAACGATTCTAATAGTGAGATTACTATAATTCAATATCAATTATATTACAATTTATACCTTTATTTATTTTAGTTTACAATTTCCCTTTCATCTCTCGAAGTGAATGGGGCGCGAATCCACCAACAGGTGTGACTTTATTAAACTATCCTGTACCGTATGTGGTCATCCACCATAGTTATATACCAGGAGTGTGTATGACGACAGATGAATGTAAGGCCGCTATGAGGGCCATGCAAAACTACCATCAAAATGATCAACAATGGGTGGATATTGGGTACAAGTAAGTAAATAAATTTATAAACTTATTAATATTGTAAAAAGTAAGATAAATAAACTTTTTTAAATTAATATCTTAACGAGATCGCAAGTGTTTTTCAATTATATTTATTAATTTTAGCTTCGACATGTTGTATCTGTTGTAAAGATCTTGCAAGAAACAGTTTTTGTTTTAAAAAATGTAATTTATAAATAATTTACTATGTACAACCAAGGCATAGTTTGGCAGTGGACAAATAACGGCTGAAATCATAATGATGAGGTTAAAACTCTGATTACAGTTTTGCAGTCGGCGGTGAAGGTAGCGTGTACGAAGGTCGAGGTTGGGATACTGTGGGAGCTCACGCTGTTGGTTACAACGTCTTCAGTATTGGCATCTGTCTAATTGGAGATTGGGTTTGTAAGTATTATTACTTTTTGAGGTGCCACCTTTTACCGAAGGTTGACGATCATCATGGCGGCCTTTGCATTATCCACCGCTATCTTGAAAAGAAATCTGGTGCTCATTACAAACCACTGACGATATTTTATTTATTAATGTTTTTTATACAACTTAGAGTGGCAAACAAGTTGACGGCCCACCTGATGGAAAAATATAACCGTCGCCTATAGACATGAGCAGCACCATGGACATAACAGAGTATACTGTTTCACCCATGATACCCCCATGCGTTGCCATTCCTGAGGACTCAGGTGTTATTCATCTGTACCCTGTAAATTCATGCAATATCCCAACCTTTAAATCGAAACACAGTCATGCAAACACAACTGTTTTACGGTTGAAACACGAATGGGACAGAGGTACCTAAGCAAACGACTTTTGTACAAAGTCTCCCTCTGGTATTTATTTTACCTTTAATAAATTGATATATCTATGAGTGTTCAATACTTAGAAACAAATGAGGAAATATTAAACTTGCATTGATATAATAGTATGAAAAATTTAGCCTAACGTAGTATATACGCAGTCGCGTAATATCAGTAAATGTATTATCACATTATTCAAGTAGTACACAGCATAATGCGTTATAACATAATACGATAAGATTAATCTATTGTTTATAAGATATTGGTATATCCATTTACAAATTGGTTTATTCTGAGGGTTCGATTCCCACACAGTATAGACATTTGTATGCATGAAGGAGGAAGGAGGAGGAGTTTGGCCGTGTGGTCCCGGTAGTGAATGGGTCACCCCTTTTTTTCAGGGGAAGGGTTTGTTAGTAATGTAGACTACTAGTCCCATTGCTAGCAATATACCCCGTCAGGTCGAACTGCACGTGGTCTCCCTTGGAAACCATCGTGCTGAATTCCAGGTGTATCTTTTTTTTATTTTTTTAATGGATGATAATGGAATGGTAACCCCGCCTACGCTAATAATAAACGCTGGTGGGACACCAATGAGGGATGACAGGTGAAGATGAAGCAGGTCAGTTGGCCCATCATGACGAATTCAATAATAAATTAATCACGATAGTCTACAGGGGGATCCACGAGGTGGTCGACCTAATAGGGTGTATTGCTAACAATGGTGCAATTAAACCACGTTGCTACCATTTCCATTTCATTTTCCTTTTTACCCCATTTCAGGTGTATTCATCACTCACTCACTTATCATCCTTCACTGGTGTTCCGCCAACGTATACCGTTAGCCCAGGCGGGGCTACCATTCCATTATCATCTATTAAAAAAACCCTTTCTCTCCCGTGGGGTGTTATTAGAGGCGATTAAAGGAATTTAATGATTGAGAGATAGGCAGTAACGATCCTCTTAAGACATCACCGAAGCCTAACTGCGGTTGGCGACCCGTTTGCCAAGCGTGGCTCTATTGGCATTACCCCCGAATGGTAAAGGGAATCTATAGGCGAGGCTTATGGTCAGTAATGGATAGTTAACGGCGGATTATGATGATGATTCATGGGGATGTTCATTATTATTAGTTTGAATGTTTTTTCTATGTACTTACAAAAAAAGTATTGAACTATTTCTATCAGTTATTTATAAACTGTTTCAATAGAATATATGAGAATGTAACCAAGTGTTTTTGGAAACTGTTAGCAAAACACTTCTTAAATTAAATTATTAACGAATCGAAATTTTCAATTAATGAATTGATTTGATTGTTTATTTGCTATTATTGGATGCCAATGGACTATCTTATGGTCGGTTCAATTATTCGTTTGTATGAATTTTTATTAAATTCTATTGAAATAGTACTTCTTGTACAAAACCTGCTTTGTTTATGACTAGATGGCGCTGTAGAAAGAGTTCAGTGGTATTTATTAATATTTGTATTTTTCCAGCCGAGTTGCCCCCACCAATACAGCTGGAGAACGCTAAAAAGCTAATCGCTGCAGGTGTACAACTAGGTTACATTAGTCCAAATTACAATTTGATCGGTCACCGTCAAGCAACAGCAACAGAATGTCCGGGCGAGTCACTGTTTAGAGAAATTACAAGTTGGGATAGATTCTCTATTGCCGGTTAATAATTATTAATTAAAAAACAAACAGATAAACAAATACTAATATATTATTAATATTTATATACTAATACATAATCTAACCTTACGAATTTATTTGTTTTACTCTGTTATTGATGATGGATGTATTTGTTTGTCTATGACATTGTATAATGTAAGAAAAGAACGACTGATTTATCTTTTTGTTTTATTTAATATGATATCTTTACATTATTCAACTGAAAATATTTTGAAGCTGTTACTTTAATAATATTATTTATTTATTTATTGCACAATAAAATTTGTAGAAATGGCGATCTTAATGCTGTATGGCGTTCTCTACCAGTTAACCATTATGTAAAAACAGACAGCGATTGAGTTTATTATCTCTTATGATTTAATTTTTTTAATTATAATTAATTAAATCATAGCGTTCCATGTACATATCATTACATAAACAGGTACCATTTTACGTAACGTACCATTTTTCAGACATTTTATAAACAATAATAACTAATAATTAGTTTACATTAGTCTATAATTGTGAAGTTATTACAGAATCAACACAACATTCTTGATAAAACAGCTCTAAATTCCTCGGGTTTCTAATATTTAGGACTGCAGAGGATGAAAATCAGTGTTGCCAACAGAAGATATGCAATTAACTTACGTTATGCAATATTTGAACAAAATGGCACGTCTAAATTGTTCCTTCTTTTAATGAAACTGGATAGCTTTTTGTATTCAGTCATTAAAATATATTTACATGTAATAAGTAGAATATAAGTTGAAATTACTATTTAGTGTAATTAGTTCTATATTGCCTTATAATTTAACAAATATATTAGGGCTTTGTTCCACAAAGAAACATCGACTTTAATAACCAATTATTGAGATTTAATAACTAAAGTACTAAACCAATTTCGATAAAATTTCTTTGGGGTAAAACTGAAAATATGTCCTTTTAAATAAAAAAAATAAATAAATAAATCACTTTATACTCGTAAATGACTGAGTTATGAGGTATCGAACGTAAATAATTCAACCGAATTGAGATTCTCCTCCTTTTTTGAAGTTGGTTAAAAAATAGTACTGGCCACGAGCTTATTAGGTAACCTACATATTTTGTTATCTGTAAATATTATTTGTTTATTTATTTTTTATTTCATTCAGCAACTTGAATAAACGATTACGCATATTGATAACCCTGTATTAATGGAAACTGCTCTTATCATCATATGACTTTATTAACTTTTAACGTTGTATTACTCACAACAATTGATCAATTTTGTCATCGTCATCATATCATCCGTTAACTGACCGCTGCTGAACTTAGACCAGGGAGGTCTTATTTCAGCAATGGACAGTTAACGGCCTAAGGGGATTTGCTAGTAGTTTAATAGTCACGTTTAACAAGTGAGTTGCCGACCCCTGAGGAAATCCCTTTATCCCTTTTTCGAAGAGCCCCATGTAGTAGAGTCTCTTGGAAAAACCTCGACAAGGAGCTCATTTCATAACCTCATGTTCATGGGAGAAAACATGTCTGAAACCGTGCTGTACCCGACCATCTAAGCTTTAAGGTATGGGGGTGATCTCCTCGTCGATGACAAGCTGTACGGTGCCATAAAGTGATCGTGGGCATCATATTGAACAATTCTCTGAGCACAGTCTGTTGTACATGCAGTGTGAGGTAAAATCTCTAATTTTAACCACTTTTATAGCCCAAAATAAGAAATTACAAATTGTAATAATAATAATAAGAACTATTAGGTGTCTATTTTGTGCGAGAAATGCAATAAAGGTCATTTTATATCATATATATTTATGTACGGACGGAAACCACAGCATGTGAGTTCAACTTACACCTGACTGATTTTCATATTATATAGTAAGATAATGGTTTAAGAGGCAACTAGGAAAACAAAGTAGGTACCTAAATTTTTTAAATGGATAAAAATGGAATGTTAACTTCGCCTGCGCTATTGGTATGCGCTGGCGGGATACCAGTGATCGATGATAGGTCAAGAACTCAAGTTAATTAACTCATCGTTACCAATTAATCGAAAATGTTTAAATTTTAATAGGACCTTACTTGTTCCCATCAGTGGGATACTAGTGGGTAGTTGTGATTTTATAGTTCCTATTTGAGAGAGGTAATAGATGCTTCATATTTTTAATATTTTAAATAATATAAAAATACTATTATTAGTTATTTACTATAGTAGCAAATGTTTTATTTGTATATTTTCCTCTTAGAATTACTCAGTAGGCCCTAACATAAACACATCATTAAACCTGTTTAGTTATTCCCCTGAATTATTTGTCAGATTAATTGGAAATAAATGCAGACGGAGATTAGATAACAGTTCTTGCTGTCAATAAAAAACATTGCATTTTGCGCTAAATTTTATGTAACCTTGATCATTAATACGAATTGCATTAATTAGTCAGCCCTTTTATAAACAAAACAAACATTTTATTGTTTTCCTCAAAGAAAGACACAGTAACATTAGACAAGAATTTTCATCACTCGTAAGGAAGGAAGGAGTGAGGAACATACATAGATTAAAGATAGTACTTACCTGGCATTCTTTATCTATGGTGAAGAGGGATTGTTGGTAATGGAAACTGCCAGTCGCATTGCTTATACAAGTATAATCTAGCAGGTCAGCTACCTTCGCCAAGTAGATATATGAATATATGGAAATTACAGAATAGTTACACTATGACAACTTAAGTGTTATGCTTCTGTATCCTGTCACTTTTTTACTACATATTTGTAAATCTAAATCGAAACAGTCGTTTAAGCATAGCTACTTGGCGATACAAATATGAGTGCGATGCAAATAACTAATTATAAATATTTAGGTTATTTATCGAGATAATTTACAATATTATTATAATAAGGGTAATGAGAATATTATCATATAATTGTTTATGACCGAATTATTTTCTTAAATGCAATACAATAAAGAAATGCAAACGAGGTTAGATTAACATTATCACCAGATTAATGTATGATTTTATATCAAATCATTATAATTGAAGCTTACTTAATAAATTATTTAAAAATAATTATAATAGAATAATTATAATAGAATAATAAATACAATTAAATTGTCTAAATGTACGAAGATTATAACTTTCAATCGATAAGTTGAAAACTATTCTGTACTCAGTTTTTATAAAACAATTTTATAAAACAAAGTTCAATGCAGTTATAATTTTTTACATTAGATACCATCAGATGTCTGTATGCTTGTTTGCCACATTTGTGGTAAAAAAAATTACCTATTAAATTGTATAGATCTGTAAAAATTAGAAACCTCAGTGTAGTGGATGTTTGGGTTGTGGTGGTGATAATTTTAATATTGACTGAATACTGGCAATGAGTTTAATCTCAAGTGGAGTTACATAATTGTCGATTATTGATATTGAAACCGAGAAAAAATGCGAAAGGTGAGCCCTGTCTCTCAGTTCATAACTCAGTCTCCTTAACCGTGCTGTGCAGTTGTACCAGACATTTGGTTGAATCAAAAGGTAACTAATAAATAATTATAGGAAAAGAATAATTAAACTCATAACTCTTATTAGACTCCAACAACGATTTTCACAGACGATTCTCTATTTTTTCTGTTATAATTATATTATAATTTTGAATTTTGATTGTATAAGTACAAGACAAAAAATAAACAAGATATAAAAATCGCATGCCTTTGTGTATAGGTTTAAAGTAAATATCCTTTTTTTTCAACATAGATATTATATACATGCCCATGGAATGATATTTTTAAAATAGTAGGTACCTAATCCTGAGCAATAAAAAATTCGAACAAGGTCATATTTGCTTCTTAATAATTTATTTGAGTATCAAATTAATTATCTCCACAAAAAAAAAACTATAAAATATACAAGTCAGGTCATTGACAGGTAATTAGTGGTTCTTAAACCCGTAAGTATTTCCCCTAAACGAAGATTTAAATAAACATATTGGAACTTCAGCATAAATATGGGCGTCAATGTATTTGTAAATAAACTTAGGACTCATTGATAGCCAGAATGTTATGATTAAGTACACGCTTGGGAGTTTGAGGAAACTAAATGAGGCAAATGATTTTATACAATTGCACAAAAAAATAATATACTGTTTTCAGTATCCAAATGTATATGGTATATTTAGAAGTTATAGTGAAAAAAAAATCATTTTTACCATAATTTCTAAATGCCTAAACAGGTTTTTTTATTGGGTGATAATGGAATGGTAACTTCACCGTACCGGTACGTACACCGGCGGGGCACCAGTGAAAGACGATAGGTGAGAATGAAATAGGTCAGTTAGCCCATCGTGACGAGTTCAACAAGAAATGTTCACGATGGTTTCCAGGGGGATGCACGTGTAGGTCGACCTAATAGGCCTCTTACCGCAACTGCGTATTTGTAACGAAATAACAGAAGTAGAGTGTGATTGAAGTATCATTTTTTAAATATATCTCTAAAATTGAATTTATTTACATGTTTTTATACATTTACTTTTAATATAAATACAACAAGCAAAGTTATCCATTAAAGGGATTTAAAGTAGTTTTGCCTCTTTTATGAGTTTGGTGTCTACTGGATAGTATAAAATATATAGAATAACATTTTCACTGTATAATATCTAATTGTAATTTTAATTCTAGAGAAAGAGACTGATGGAAAGTGGTGCTTCAGAAATTGAATTTACACTTTTTTTTTTCTAAACAATCACTATGCTATTAAATTTGTCCAAAAACTTCTGATTACGAATCACGTAACCTTTTTTTGTGTTTAATCGTATTAGAATGGAGCTTCCAGATACTATTTCTTATTACATTTAAAAGTATTTTTCAAATAATGTTCATTATTTTTAGGTAGAGGTAAGCTCAAATTTATTAAAGACACTGTATTTAGTATTTATTATTATACCTAACCAGGGAAAGTACCGCGGGCCGATATATAAAGCAAACATTTATTACTGCACATTCAATTTGAGAGATACATTTGATTGCAGCATAAAATGACGAAGTGAATAATTTATAATGTGTACTTTAAAAGTAATATTCGTGTGCTGTATATTAATTATGTACGATATAAATATTGCAAATAGTTTCCCTAGTTTTTCGATCGATGGTAAGTATTATTCAAATACTCGTTTTTTGTTCTAATTGTTAAGATTTTAATTTGCATACACACATATCTTTTATGCATCTTTTTTCTGGGTTGTGCTTAACTACATGAAATGAGCGGTAATAAAATTTCATCTAAGTCTATCAGCTAATTTAATTAGTTCTAACAGAAATAAGATTGTTTTTTTCAAAAATATAAGAGTCTAAAACAATATAAAAATTTAGAAGTTCTCACACTAACATGCCGCAACTATATTGAGTTGAAGTTGGTTTAACTGCACTGATAGAGCACAAGCTGAAAAACATTTCAATTTCAATTTGCATGTGTGCAGCAGTGATGGATTTATCATCAAAATATAATATATAATACAAAATATATTAAATTATTACAATATATTTAAAAAAATGTTGATTAATATGATTGTAAGCTGGGAAACCCAATTGTAGAGGTTGGTAGAGGTAGCATAATTTACATAGCCTACTGGTGGCAAATTTCAATAAAGTCAATGAAAACTTTTTTTCTATACAAGTTGATGCAGTATCGATTGATCGATTTAAATCATTTTATCTACTTCTCATGCAGAATCATTATTAAAAACAAATTTCTCAAATAATTTCTTTTATTTCTCCGTACAAATTATGTCTCCGTACTCTGTAATATCACTGCTGTATGTTACAGTTAATTTACAAATCGAAAAAGTATTTTTTTACTTATTTATTTATTTTTTATACAGAATTTCTACGTAAGTAAGATACAATGTTATTGAGTGTGAGCAGTGAGTAAAATTACATAATTACAGATAAACAGCTGACTCGACAGACATGGTCATCTCTATCGACTCACACAAATTTTAATAATATTATTATTAAAGAAACTATGTCGATTCAACTAACGTCTATTATTAACATCATTTAAAAATACCTTAATACGTTCGACAGCATCATTTTTAAATATAAACATAATATCAGTTACTATGTAAACATAAATATATTTAGTGATGCACTCCTGGTACGTGCGTCACTATATGTAAGGTCTTGCAATCATGTAATTATTTAAAATTATCTTGTGACCTAGACTATGTAACAACAACAATACGAGTACAACAACATACGTACTTACAGGTACTTACCTATAGGAGGTTACAAAGGAGCAGTGAAAAATAATAATAAATTAGATTACTTGTGAATTTATGAAAATTTATAAAAAATCTCTTATTTATTTATATAAAAATCTATTATTAAAAAATCTATATTATTTTATACTATTTTGTAGTTAATTTATATCTTATCATTATTATATATTGTTTATTATTAATATTAGTATAATGGCCTAAAGACTAACTCTCCTAAAGACTAATGGTCCCTAGTTTGATGCTGACCAACAATAAATGCTTTATTTTTTATTTTTAATGGAATGGTAATCCCGCCCGCGCTATCGGTATACACTGGCGGGGCACCAGTGAAGGATGATAGATGAGGATGAAGCAGGTCAGTTAGCTCATTGTGACGAATTCAACAAGAATTGTTCACGATGGTTTCCAGGGGGAACCACGTGGAGGTCGACCTGATAGGTAGTGTACTGCTAGCAATGGGTTCATTAGACCCAATTACTAATAATCCCTTCCCCACCAATAATAAATGTTATCAGTTACATCAAAGATTATTTTATTATCAGGAAATAAAATTTCCAATAACATATCATATTCGTTTATTTGCATAATGTTACTTACAAAAGGTATCTACTAACATAATATTACTATCATGAGTATTATGGGCCATGATGGGTGCAGAAAGCAACGGTCCGAGAGGTGGCTTTAATACGGTTTTTATAAAACAATTATTGTTGTTTTTTTAAGGTTTGTTTTGCGGATAATTTAATAAAATGCCAGGTTACATAGGTACATTTTATTGCAATTTATATTTATATGAAAACTAGCGACCCGCCCCTGCTTCGCACGGGTGCAATGCTGATACTAAATAGCCCCCCCCCCATGGCCAGTAACGACTCAACCGCTATGCCCGTGTGTTTTAAATCTGTAATATATTCGAAAATATTCATTTAAATCACATGCTTTAAAGGGCCATATTGATCTATATTAAATGGACAATGTATTTAAGGTACTTAAATGGATAAAAATTAATACCGTATTACTTAAAATCACTTCGTAAATAAGCGATTTTTCCCGTAAAAAGTAAAGGATAAAAAATTATTATTGTGGGTTGTCCTTAAGAGATAGACATATACCATTGCGGACTTTTTTTGTTGACCTTTTTAAGGTGTACAATACTGAAGTACATTATTTTGATTTATCTCGTGGTTTTCAGCTAGCGGTTGCAATGTAAGCGCAAAAAAATGTGGTTATTTACGATATCACATTAGAAACCTCTAAACTTATCAGTGTTTCTCTACTATACTATCCATATATTATACATACAAACCTTCCTCTTGAATCACTCTATCTATTATGAAAACCGCTTTAAAATCCCTTGCGTAGTTTTAAAGATATAAGCATACATAGGGACGGACAGACAGCGACAGTGACTTTGTTTTATACTATGTAGTGATAAATATCTTTGCATTGCAGTGAATGCAGGCGATTCGGGACTGTTCCTTATATGGCAGTCTATGGGGAGGTTTTTGTTTAGCAATGGACAGACGGCGGCTCATACAATGAATGATCTTTGAATATATTGCGCTCTATTTGAGGTTACCAGGCTGATAAATAAGCGTAGTCGAATTGGTATCAAGTCTAAATCACAACTATACCAAGTCTATTCAACTAGGTTTCGTATTGCTCCCATTTATATTACCGCAAAGGTAACTAATACTGGACGTGAATCTGATACAATTACTTTATTATGTCATTACTAGTTTTTACCCCCGACTTGTTTATCATAACTACGATTTCTTTCATCGTAATAATTGGGGCACAAAAGTGGATAGATGTAACAAATAAATTGACATTCGCACTTTATTATCGATCGAAATGTTGTTTAACAAAAAATAATAAAATAAATAAATATTTTTATTCAGGAAAAGACTACCCATTCTCGTTCTACTCCCGAGCTGATTGGAACGCAGATCCGTCCACAGATGTGAGGCCACTGATAACGCCCGCCCCGTACGTTGTCATTCATCATACGTACGAGCCACCGGCGTGTAACGATACGGCACAGTGCGAGGCTGCTATGAAATCTATGCAGGACTATCACAAAAGCCTGGATTGGGGAGATATTGGGTACAAGTAAGTATTGTAAGAACATAGTAATATTTAATTTAATTTATTTTTTCTCAGTTCAATGTATCTCCATTAATGTCTGTATTCAGCGTAACTGAGGACTGGTAGAAAATATTGTTGGACTTAAACCCCCCCCCCCTCCCGTATGCTTAAATATCTATTTATCTTCATGACAAATCTTTTTCGGGCTAGACAGACAAAACTGAGCAAATCGACCAAAAGTTTTTATCATTATATAAATCCCTTGTTTCCCGCAGTTACATAACTCACCTCAACCTCATGCCAGATCTGGAAACTCCTTCCTCAGAAAGACCATGATCTGTCTAATTATAATAGACAATAATTATTAACAATTATTGTTTAGGTCTCCCCATTTACATCCATCCACATTCGCCTTGTATATTTGTTTTGTCTACCTTTCATCCGAACTTAAATTAAGTTGAGTGCATAGTTAACCCTTTTTTTTATCTTTCGCCGCGCTAATATACGTCACTTCATACTTACACATGACTTCGTAATATCTAGTTGAGCTGATTAGGCGTCAAAAACAAATAATCACTCATATCATTAAAAAAATTTTTTGTAAAGATTATACTGTCTTAAATAAAAAAAAAGCAACACAAAAAATAATAGTAATAAGTAATAATTATGATTTGTTGTTATGTATACAACTATAGAAAATCGACTTTATTTTGATAGACTGGAGAGAACTGGTACCTGTGCTAGGTTTTTTTTTTACAACACAGGGGGCAAACGAGCATGCGGCTCACCTGATGGTAAGTGACTACCGCTGCCCATGATCACCCACAACACCAGCGGCATTGTAGGTGTGCTGCCGGCCTTTTAAAAAGGAATATACTCTTTTCTTGAAGGTTATGTTGTCGTATCGGTTCGGAAATAGGTAGGGGTAAACCTATATTTATTTATAAGTCATAAAACAAAAACTTATAAAAATGTCTGTAACTTGTTTACAAACCTATAGATTTTTAACTATACAGGAAATACTAATTATAGATATTACAGAATTTATTAGGCTGTACCATTGATAAATACGATTTTCAGCCCCACTTCTAGCAGTATATTCAGTTAGGTCAACCTCCACTTGGAAGTAAATTGTGAATTTTCTAATGGTAGCGTGTGTGTATGGTGTGTAATTAGTACATTTTCAATGATTAAAAAATACAACACTCTTTTCTGTTTTAGATAAAAAAAAAATCGTAGTTTTAAACAAAACAATAACGACAACATACAAGAATGTTGACCGCAACTTATCTGACGAAATTTTATCGTAAACCTTTTTTTTATTTAAGTATATCTATTAATTACCGTCATTAATTATATGGATTAATTAAGTTTTAGATATGGTAATTTCCCGAAACAATCTTTTTGACGTAATCCAGCAATTGATATCTAACACTCGAATCTACGACTAACGTGACAAATCTCAACATGTGTATTCGTTGATATCGGATGAAATGATGAAATAAATGACATCATACAATTTACTCCTAACTTACAGATAAAGTAGTTTATTTGTTTTGTCAGTGATCTGTCGTAAACAAGTGTACAATGAATGACAATACCAACACTACCCATCCATATTATTAGATTAATATTGTGGAACGAATATTTTAGTTGGATATCTCAATGTGGCAATCGCCAGGATACGTATTAAGCAAGCACAGACAAAATAATATACCTGCTTTCTATTTTTTTCTATAATAAAATTTGGTACATAGATATACTGGATTAATAGAGGAATAACACCTGAGTCCTCACGAATGACAACGTATGGTAGGTGTCATGGACGAAACAATATACTCTGTTATGTCCATGGTATAAGCTCATGTCTATAAGCGACGGTTACCACTTTCCACCAGGTGGAACGTCAGCTTGTTTTTTTTTTTTTTTTTTTTATACAACTTAGAATGGCAAACAAGCTGACGGCCCACCGGATGGAAAGTGGTAACCGTCGCCTATAAACATGAGCAGTACCATGGACATGACAGTATACTGTTTCGCCCATGATACCCCCCATGCGTTGCCATTCCTGAGGACTCAGGTGTTATTCCTCTGTACCCAGTAAATTCACGCCATATCCCACCCTTCAAACCGAAACACAGCCATGCAAACACAACTGCTTCACGGTTGAAACACGAATGGGAGAGAGGTACCCAAGCAATCGACTCTTGTACAAAGTCTCCCTCTGGTGCCATTATAAATTGAAAAAAAATACTGGCTTTTGTCCTAATTTATAAATATATATCATCAGGTTGTAGTGTTCTAATAAGTAGTAATATATTAATAATTTTAGTCATTTGGTAACATTCAGTTATTTATTATTATTACTGACAACGTGGCATACATCATAGATTTTTTTATCTCAATAGACCTACTCCATTAGGGATTTTTTTAATTACTATTTTTCTTTTCATGCGCATTTTCTGTTAAAATTCCAATGTTGCGATAATTTATTAGAGTAACAAAAATATGCGACTTTATAAAAAATATAATTGTAACCTTTTGCATTTGTCCATGCATGGAATATAAAATAGTACCTATTTGGTTTGTTTTTAAGTTACCGCATTTTATTTTCACGTGCCGCATGCTCAGATCACGTGCTATACTGTCAGGAAGTAGGAAATAATCCGTACTTAGGTACTTACCGCATTGCATTTTTTTATAATAATCTATAAATTACCAACATAAAGAGCAAGTACAGTTATGCGTAATAATATAGATTTCCGAACTTCAATAAATTTCATTTAAGGCACCCAAATTCTCTATTGAAACGTGGTAAATAGGAATGGAAAGACAAGTTATTATATTTATACAACGGGAATCTGAAGTAATGGTTTTATATAATTAAGAATAGCAAACAAGCAAACGGTGATGTACACTACCACCAGATGGACAATGGTAACAGTAGCTTATACAAACTTCAATAAATATCACAGTACACACTGTGACGGTCATTGCTGGCCTTATGCTTTGCCATTCCCTATAATTTTAATCCATATCACAAATTTCAAATTGAAATACAGCCATGCAAAGTCCAGCTGTCGATTTACAACGACGTACAACTTATCGATTGAACATGTGTGGGACAAAAGTACCCAAGAAGACGACTTTTTAACAAAGTCCTCTGCTTACTGGGTACTTTTGTTTTTAGTACCCAAATGTTGGACTCGGAGAATTTAAAAATATAATTAAAAAAACTAAATAAAAAAACATATGGTAATTATTATAACAACCAAATGTAAAGAGAATATTTCGTATATTATACCCATATAAATATCAGACCTAATGACCGCCGGGGAACAACCGAGGTGAATCTATTTTTATAACATAATGTTACAAAAACGGTTTTATAAAAACGTTTAGATTGCAGCATATCCGGTACCCATAAATAAAAAAAGGACGAAATAATTATAAATAATTTGGTTCGGTGCTTATTAAAAAATTGTTTGGCAGGTCACATTTGTATATCCACAATTGAAAATGATTTCGCACAAAAATTGCTTAGATACTTGAAAAGGTGTATCTTCTTTATATTACTTTTTTTTCGATAATCATCATTTACCGGTTTTCAAGAATGGCTAAAAGGACGAAATTTAAGTAACATTTCTAAATATTGTAACAAAAATCCCTATATAATGTTCTAAAATCATACACTCGGTTATTTTATATTAATCACTATATTAACGACTCCTTTTCATCCCCAGTACGCCGTATAGTGCGACAAAGGAATGTAGTAATACATTACATATACATACAAGTACATACATACAATTACATCAGTGAAAACGAAGAAAATCTTGAAACAAATTCTTACATATACGAGTATATCAAGCCAACTTGATAATAGTTGAATAATACTCTTAAGAGGAGAGACTTCTAAACCCCTATCTAGTACTGGAATATAAATGGACTGTTATGGTATAAAGAAATATCTAAATAGAAACTTACTATTTTCGCCATATAGAGCAATTCCAGACCAGACCAGAGGGAGACTTTGTACAATAGTCGATTGTTTGGGTACCTCTGTCCCATTCGTGTTTCAACCGTGAAGCAACTGTGTTTGCATGGCTGTGTTTCGGTTTGAACTGGGTACAGAGGAATAACACCTGAGTCCTCAGGAATGGCAACGCATGGGGTGTATCATGGGCGAAACAGTATGCTCTGTTATGTCCATGGTACTGCTCGTGTCTATAGGCGACGGTTACCACTTTCTATCAGGTGGGCCGTCAGCTTGTTTGCCATTCTAAGTTGTATAAAAAAAAAATATTATAGAGACATTTCAATGTCATCTAGTCCCAAACTAAACAATGCTTGTCCTATAACTATGGTATACCACAGTCATAGTACATCATTGTACACAATTGATAGAAATACTTAACCACTTTTTTGTGGGGGAAAGAGATTTTTAATAATGGAGACTAAAAATCCCATTGCTAGCAATATACCCAACTAGGTCGACCTCCTCGTAGTTCCCCCTGGAAACTATCATGGTTAATTCCTGATGAATTCATCATGATGGGCTAACTGGCCTGTTTTCATTCTCATCGATCACCCTTCACTGGTGCTCCGCTAGCGTATCCCGTTAGCGTAGGATGAAAATGGAATGATACCCCGCCGGGTATCATTCCATTTTCATCCACCAAAAAAAAAACACTTTTTTGTAAATACATATATATTATACATAGAAGACGCTAAGACAAACAGGCATACTCAGGCAGAGGTACAAATGTGTGTATTATGTGGGAATTTAACCCGCAACCATTAGAAGATAAGGCGGTATTATAAATCAAAATGTAATTTTTTTTTTAGTTTCTGCGTGGGCAGTGAGGGCGGAGCATATGAGGGACGAGGATGGGAGGTGGTCGGAATACATGCGGGAAAAGCCAACAGTATAAGCATAGGAATATGCTTGATCGGTGATTGGAGAGGTATGTACCTACTACATATACGATACGAACAATATTTTGCATTTACGGGGCATATTATTAAATACTAGGTTTTATTCGCGACTTCTTCTACGTGACTTTCAGATAATAGTTGTCCGGGATAAAAAATAGGCTATAAATTAAATACTACACCCCTTATTCATAAAAACCTTAAATATCTTATACTTATACCTATTTTAGCTATGAAACTGTTTTCTATTTTTTGTGTTAAATTCCCAATTTAAAATAGTTATACTTTGATAACTTTTTTACTTGCTTAAAATTAACTTAATCAACGGCACCAGTCAACAAATGCAAAACTGCCCCATTAGGAGTTATAACCGTAAGAAGATATTGTAACAAACCAGAAACACTCTCTATATAATGTTCTAAAACCGTACACTGTTATGTACACTATTTTACCTGACATGTTGCATTTACAGAGCAACTTCCTCCTGTACAACAATTGGAAACAACGAAAGCTCTCATCGAGGAGGGAGTAAAGCGTGGCTTCATTAGCTCCGACTATAAACTGATAGGCCACAGACAAGCCCTCCCAACAGAATGTCCTGGGACTGCACTCTTCAATCATATTTCCACGTGGGATCATTTTGTTTCACAATTCGAACCGCCTCTTACGAAAAAAATTTAAATTTAGTATCGTAAAATTTTTCTTTGTTGTAAATTAATAAAAAAAATTATTGAGCCCGCCCTTTCTTTGTGGCGGAATATATGGTATACTCAGATTTTAATAATTTTAATATTTTAATTTATTTATTGTATTAATTTATTGTATTTAATTTTAATATTTTTATTGTATTATTATAATACAATTATTTCTTAAATATGTTAACCGCTAAGAAAACAACTGAAAAAGACGTCGCGCTAATGACAAACACTGTCCATCTTCTTTATTCTTCCTTCTTTAATAGCTCTAAGTTTTCTGAGCGTATATCTTTTACTATTAAAAAAAAAAAAAAAAAAACATTAGTCGCCTTATCATAATTTTTCCGTATCAAAACGAAATGTATTATTTTTAGTTTTTAAATCTGCATAAATCTAGTTTATACTTACGTAAATCTGATGTGTTTATAGACTGATTCATTTCTAAAATGAAATGAAATATTTATTTGTTTAGAATAATGAGACTAATTATTAAATCTGATATTAAAATATATGTAAATTGTTTTCTTTTTATTGGTTCTATATTTAAATGAGAAAGTCAAATCAACAATAGATATAACAATATCATCATGAGGTATATATCCTGTCTGACCTTCATAATATTCTTAATGATCCCAATTCACCTATATTCCACTTATTACCAACTTCATTGCGCTTTCAATTGTTAACCCCTCCTCTCAGATCTAGGCACTTTTGCCTATATCAGTCGAGAGCTCTGAAGCTCTGACTGGTATAGGCAAAAGTGCCTTAATTAAATATTTACAGATCCCATCTGTAAAATTCATTTTATGGGTAACATTTGAACTCCGTGTTGCATAACTGTAGACTAAATTTCCTATGAACATTCAAAATCGTCCATCTATTGGTCTCTTCAAGAAAAGTTTAAAATCACATTATCTTTCTACTGTTATTGATTATTACTACTATTATTAATTATAAATTTGTCATAATTGTGTTCTCGTTTATTTAATATATATTATTGCTTATTTATATACATGTATTACGATATATAAATTTTGTAAATACTTATTATTATTCTTTTGATTTCTGTTTTGCACTACTGCTGCCTACTCACTACTTTCTGTCATCATCATATCAGCCTTTAACTGTCCATTGCTAAACATATTCCTCCCCCTTGAGGGGTTTTGCCAGTAGTTACCACGCTTGGCAGGCGGATTAGCAACCGTAGGTAGACTTTGGAGATGTTTTAAGAGGGACGCTGCTGCCTATCCCTCGCCCTCCATTAATCGGCTTGTACGACTATGCCGGAACCATACAGAAATTATTTCCTATACCACTGTGTTAAGTTGAATGGAAGATATCTTTTTTAGAGATACATTCACCTTTACTTATATTGTTCCATTCCTATGTGTTTTAGTACAATAAAAAAGATTATTTAACGAAGTGAGCAAGGAGATGGTTAAACACTTGTACTCAAAAGACCAGGTGTACGAATATAATACGCGATCGACGAGGTCGATGACCAGATTGCCGGAAAAAAAGCTATTATATATGTATTAATACTATGTACTTGGCGTTTTTTTATTTATAATGAATTTTTTTTATATCTATCTACAGAGTTAGTAAGTTGTAATAAGCGTACCTACTCTAAATCCGATGATAGTAATCAAAATAATACTATTCGGAAGATCTAAAAAAATATTTTAATCTCTTCATACTAAATCAATCATTAGCAACCGCAGTTAGGTTTTGGAGATGTTTTAAGAGGGATGTTGCTGCCCATTTCTCGCCCTTCCTTATTTGCCTCTTACAATACCCATGGGAAAGAAAGGGGGGCTCTATTCTATGCCGGAACCACACGGACCCAGTACAACTATACATATACACGTTCTGCGACACGTGTTTCACCTCTAAGTGAGGCATCTTTAGGTAAATTATTAAATCGCTGCTCGGAGTCTAGTGTTAACCGTTTAACAAACTACGAAACCGAACGGTTAATACTAGGATAAAATGGCAGTCGGAGACTTATTTTTTTTATACAACTTAGAATGGCAAACAAGCTGACGGCCCACCTGATGGAAAGTGGTAACCGTAGTCTGATGGCTAATATGGAATATTGTGAAACATTGTTTTATTATTTCGTCTAGACAACCTCAGTCTATAAGTACTCGTATAGATTAGATTAATTAGATGAAAAAAAAAGAATAGCTGGTGAACTAAGTATAAAAGTACATAAGTTTATTATAATAAAGACTAGGCTAAAATATCAATTTTTTTTTATAAATTTAAATAGTTAAAGATAAAAAATTTCCTTAAGATCACTGCCAGCTGGTAGGGTACCTAGGAGACTTGCTGCATTTCCACGCTAAATAGCTATGGAAATGCGTTGACCAAAGTATAGGCCAGCCTTCTGGTCGCCAGAGGTTTCTACCAGCCGGCGTGAAATCTCTTTTGAAAAGATTCATGGCCTCGGGGTACAGTACAAAGTACATAATAAGTTATAATACAAAATATTTAAAGAGCTTTTCCACACTTATACCTACATAATTTGCAAAATATCGGCGCTAAACAGTCTCAGAGGTTTCGACTTTGAAGCGACCGGGTTTAGAATACAAACGCACAACATATAAAGTACAGTACAGATAACATATAGCTTGCTTATAAAAAACCATTAAGGCATGTTTATATTAATAACTATATATGCATGTCCATGTCTCTACGCCATACAGTATGTTTGAGTTACGAAATTTAAATTTATTATTAATTAAATGTATATAATTAAAAAAATATTAATTTATAACTTATTATGTTTGCTATTTCCGAAAAATTATTTTGACTTTAAATCAAAATTAGTCACAGTGTGTCTCCTTAAAGATGATAAAGGTATACTTTACTACTACTAATGCTTACTATTCGTAGTACTAATTACATGATAGTATTGCCATATTATTTATATTTTTTAATCAATTCATTTACATAGTATATAAATAAATAAACTAGCCTTTATTCAAACATACAAGTCTAAATCTAAAATAACTCTTATATTGTAGTAATACTTATATTGTGTATACCTACTTATGGTAGTTATTTATTCACCAGAAGTTAATGATTTTGTTTTTCATAGCACGTAGCATGCTTGATGACCATGTAATTGTTTATATTTCCTAGCACTTACCAATTCTTACTAATTTAAACAAAGTAACACACACCGGTCGAATTAAACGAACCAAAGTGTTTTATTTAGCATAGGTTTATTAGTATTGGCTTCCGTTAATTCTGTTTTTTTTTTTATACCATTGAGGTAGCAAACAAGTATACGGCCCATCTGATGGTAAGCGGTTACCGTAGCCTATGAACGCCTGCAATACCAGAGGTATTACGCGTGCGTTGCCGACCCTGAAGAAACCTCTTTAGCCCCCCTTTGAAAAACCCTATGCTGTAGTCTCTTGGGAAGACCTCAGCAGAGAGTTCATTCCATAACCTGAGTGTTCGTGGGAGAAAACATCTCTGAAACCATGTTGTACGCGACCATTTAGGCTGTAAGGTATGAGGGTGAACTCCCTGTCGATGGCGAGCCGTACGATGAATGAAAGTGGCCATAGGCATCATATTGATATACTTTTACTAAAATCAGTAATGCAGAAAATATAGTTATGTTATGATTTTCTTGTATTATTATATATCTAAAGATATATAATCCTTAAATAGTTAAGAAATAAGAAACTGCATAATTAATTTGAACAAGTAAGGGGCATTTTCTGTAGATAGTTATGGCTATTGTAAGTATTATATTACAATCTATAAACCTTATTATATTGTCTATTCTACTGTAAAGTCTATGGCAACTCTTATATGACTTTTTTTTTAATCTATCACTGGTGGGGCCGCCAGTGAAAGATTATCGGTAAAGCTGAAAAGGCAGGTCAGTTAGCCCATCGTGATGAATTCAACCATAAATTAGTCACGATGGTTATAGATAGGATATATTGATAACAATGGCAACTAATCTCCTCATTGATAACAATCTCTTCCCCCCCCCCCTTATATGCTTTCTGGAATAGTCTAGACTAACTGAACTAACCGCAGCATAACCGCGTACGATAGTCACACACGAGTGCGGCAAATGCCATGCAGGTCAAGTACTACCATATTTATCAGATTAGAAACTATTGTTAAATTCGTAATTATTTCGCTGAAATTTATAGATTTAAATACCTATATATTAAAGGTTGACAGGAAAAGAAAGTGGTTCTTAATTACTGGAAATACAAGAACATAAATTAGGTATATTTACCACCTGGGAGTTCCCCTAGGTGCATTCGCTCATAAATAAATAAGATATAAATCTGATGCAACATTAAATAATTATCCAAATGCATCGGTTACATAACTTTACTTATTTACCTACAGTTGGGACAGGATTAAAAACACTAAGTTTAATAAATTCAAAATATCGTAATTGTTTATGAAATAGCTACTTCCGCATCGTGGGAAAATGTGATTCCCTGAGTATGATATGATTTGAAGATATTTCGTAATATTTAGATTTTATATTATTATTGATACTTTTCCGTAAATTAATGAGTCTACTCTTGAAATTCATATATAACACATTTAACATTTTTAAAATTCGAAGTTATTTAAGAATTTAATTTATTTTGAGAATAAAATTAAAAGAATTATAACAATTCTCTGATCTTTACGAGTATAATTTGACTTCTAAGTCCTTTACAATAATGATATAAGTATCAACTATGTTACTCTTCTAAAATCATTCATATTTTTTGGGAAAATGGTAATTAAAGTAAATACTATTATTTCAGGTATCTTGTTAAGGCAGGTGGCCTTTTTATTTTCTTCTCATGGTACATTTCAATCGACAAATCATTGACCACCGGTGAATCCCCACAGATGGTAAATGACTATATAACGGTATGGCAACGTAAAAAACGTAACACAGTCCTCGGTTGTCGCGTACTTACACTACCATCAAAAACTGCTCTCTGCCTTCATTAAGCGATCAAGAAAGTGCTATAAAATATTAAATACTAAATCTTAACATTCAGTGAATTATATGGTGAGTTTGTTTGTGTAAATAATTTGTGTAAAATTGTTTTTATTTATACCGCAACTCAAAATGGAAATTTTCAATTTTTCTAAGTACATTTTTTATGAATAATGAAACGATTTAATTTTTTTTTAAATATATTAATAATCTATACTATTGAAGCGAAAATTAAAATGAAAATTACATATTTGGCTGTAATATGAATAAATTACGCATTCTTAGAATACAATGACCATTTGATTTTCTACCCCTGATAATAATTCATACAAAACATTAATTGTAATTAATTATTCAAACACTAATAATAATAATTTTTAAGTATAAAGAACAAGTCATTTTGTAAAGGGTAAGAAGTTCATTAAGAACCTAATCATTACCATTCGTACATAGAATAGTCAAATTTATTAAAATAATTAAGTATACCATTTTGAATTTCATGACCATAATCAGACCTTTTTGTAATTATTTGCTAAAAACTACTGTTTTGTATTTCTGTTATTATTTTAGTCTGAGTTCTCATTTTATATTTACAGAATCTATCAAAGTGACTAGAATAATTGTTATTTTTATTTTTTTTATCAATGTTTATAATAGCACAGTTTTAAATATTTTAATTGGGATAACAATGAGTTAATGTTTTTGTTGACTCTTGACTCTCTATATCAAATGACTCAAATCTAATAATTAGATAATAGTAATGAATAATATAAACCATTTATATTTGTAATTCATTCGTGCTTGAGTAACGTTTCAATAAATAGATTCTGATGCCAATTATTTATCGCTACAATTACATTTTATTCATATATGATTCAGATCAAGATTCAATAATTTGAAAGTGGTAAAATAAATGTGTATTATTTGTTACGTGATTAATATTGTTTTATTCAATTTGGCTACACTAAAAATACTACGACAATATAAATGTAAGTTAATATATTTATTTACTCTATTATTTATTCCAAATAATTACACAATATAGGAGTACAAGGCGGGCTCAGTATTAAAAAAACTGCTAATTCATTTTTAGGTAGTAATCTTTCGACAAAATTATTGGATAATAATACTACTATATATTCATCTTTAAATACATATTCCCATGTAAGATCTAAAATAAGAATATAATGAACAGATTGGGAAAAGGTCAAAGTGGAATTTACACTGTTACACTAGGAATCGGTTTCGGTTTCACACATTAAATAATCTACTTACACAAAAGTTTAATTAGGTTTAGTACATATGGTATATTTATTATTATTGCAAAATAATAAATAAATAAACAAATTCATTAATACATTTTGTAATATTCCGTAAAAAAATGATTATGAAATCTACATTAAAATCCATGCACAATTTTTAAGAAATAAACGGGTAAACAGATATGAATAGTGACTTTGATTTATTATTGTAATATAGGATTATTATTATTTAATTATTATTATTCATTAGATTATAGAAAAACAAACAGCTATACAGAGTTACTATAGTTCAGAAAACTGATTATGGGTTTTTATAAACCATGTAAAAAGCAAAAATCAAGTCCTTAATCTTTGTCTCTCCCTGGAATTTAATTTACAGACAGTGTACTGCTATGAAATATATTTACCAATTTTTAAGTTACCACTTCAATAATACTACAAACTGTAAAAATTACATGTAATTTTATACATACACTTTAAAGCAGGTAATTGTGCGTAAAACGCACACACATAGTACAAATACAATTTTACAAATCATATTGAATTCTTACTCTTTTTCGCGCTTGTACTATATGTATACCTAAATAAGTAGTTAGGTACCTGCTTTATAGATACTTTACTTAGTAACGTCAATGATTACGTATATAACAAGCAACCTCTAATAAAAAAATAGGTATTAAGATAACATTATAGATCTAATGATATCGTAGGCATGGTCATTGTCATTACATATAAACCACAATGACAAATTATGAAAAAAAAATTAACTGTAGCTATCTTTACTATTTGCCAAAAACATTGTTTTGACACCAAAAGGAAAAAGAAAAATAATAATGAAATGTAATAAAATCTTATTAAATATAAAGAAATAATGTAGCAAAACTATATTCTACTTGCTTAAGTAATTTCATTAGATATTAATCAATAAATAAATAAATACTGAATATAAAATAAAATCTAAAAAAATCTAAATTTAATTATTTCTTCTTGGATTTTTACGTTAAATTAAAAAAAATAGTTTAATAGGATTGTAGTTAAGTATTATATTTATAATAAATTACTATATATTAAACTTCTACTACTTAGATATAACAAATTGGTTTGAAGGGTGGGATATGGCGTGAATTTACTGGGTACAGAGGAATAACATCATAATCTTGGGCGAAACAGTATACACTGTTATGTCCATGGTACTGCTCATGTCTATAGGCGACGGTTACCACTTCCCATCAGGTGGACCGTCAGTTTGTTTGCCATTCTAAGTTGTATAAAAAAAAAACAAATTCTTATTGTATTAAATAGAGTTAGTTTCGACATACACTCAACTTACCTTAAAAGATATGTTGAGTGTATGTTCTATAATAATATATTCCTATAATGAGATATACATTAAAATTAATGACCAGAACTCTACTATTCTGGTTAATTGTTCAAATGTTCGTTTAAAAGTTTTTATACAGAGATAAATTGCCGGGAAGAACGTAAAAGTCCCATATTTCTTTTTCTTATACAAATTGTTTTAGGCGTAGACGAATTGTCACAGCACAATAACGTTTGACAGAACGATGTCTGTCGGGTCAGCTAGTTTCGCATAAAATATCATATTACTACTTTTTTCTCTCGGTTGTGCTCGTACTAGTTAATATATAAAGTATTGCATGTGTTTAATTAGGATACATCAGGATATAATCTACGGGTGTACCAAATTTCATTCAAATTCCATCAACCGTTTAAGCGTGATTGAGTTTTTTTTTTGTAATGGGGAAATAAAATGGTACCCCCGCTCGCGCTAACGATATACACTACCGGTGCACCAGTGAAGGATGATAGGTGAGAATGAAAAGGCAGGTCAGTTAGCCCATCGTGATGTATATACCTGGGATTCCGCACGACAGTTTCCACGGGGGGCCATGTGTTGGTCGTCGACCGCATTACTAACAATCCCTTCCTCCCCAACGTGATTGAGCAATAAACATGTCAACATCTTTACAAACTTTCATATTTGTAAAATTAGTAGGATTTCCTCACTGGAAATCCATTGTTCGCTTCTATATATTATTATCTCCAAACGAATCTTAATGAAGATGATGAAATGAAAGAAGATAGAATATAAACTGGCATATGCAACCCCCTTAATATTTATTTATCCATGCAAAGCTATGACCGCCAATTATTATAAATGACAAATGGTAATAACGGATTATATTTATTTAAAAATATCAGTCGAGTACATCGATGTATGTGATTAATAAATGCTGCGATCCAAAGTCGTTTAGCAAAATATAAGATAAGAAATTATTGAACATGATAATCTTTTTAAGGCACAACGTACGTCTGCGATTTTAAAATCGTGGCTAAGTAATTTATTATTTTGACTCTAAATGAACTCGAGCACGTCCCAATGATAATGACATTATACTTGCATAGCAAAAATTTGTGTGTCAACTTCATTTCTGGTCAAACTACCTGGTGATGGTAAACATCATTAACAAACTTGGGTATCTACAATTTGAGAAGATTTTAACGTTAACTCCTCACAGCTACCAATTAATACGTTGGCACATAGTAATTAGGATGATATCAGAGGTAAATAACCATGAACAGTCGCTCGGAAAATAAATATTTGTTTATTAATATAGAACCGTCATATATTAGGTAGGTAGGTCTAGACAATTGATATTTTTCTATTAGTTGTACGATATGTACGAATTATAATATGGTGTTCATTATTGTGCAACAGGAACTCTTTGGATTGATCATATTCACTAAATTACTAAATATAGACTCGTGTTCCGCTACACTTGCAAAATATATTAAAATTTATGTCGTCCCGTAAAATATGTGTATTAGTCTCTTCTAAGGAACGATTTAAATTTTTTTACATTTTACTTAGTATTATTATGATGTTCATGCCTCCTATCCTTTTTAAAAAAAAATATTTATATATTTTTTTAAAGTAGGCTATACAAAAATATTCAAAAAGTAAATGTAACACATTTATTAATCCGAGTTCATACAAACATGTCACACTTTTGCACTGAACATTTTCTTTAAATAAATAAATCGAAAGTTTACGATCAGCCTTAGTCAATTGCATATTATCAAGTTATATCATATATAATATTAAAGTTATATTTTTTCAGTTTGAAAATACGTCGGAGGAAAGCTAGAAGTATTTACATATTGTAGTATTTATATATTGAGTGGTATATGGAAAATGACATCAATGTTTGCTATGGCGCTGCTTGGTGTTATGGAGTTAACAGCAGCGTTGCCAACTTCACCGACAAGTAAGTATTATTATATATTACTGCAATATTTAAAGAAAAATTAGAAGTTATGTGATTTACATGGGCATGTAAATATATACCACGAATGTTTATTCTGTGAAGCAACACTTATATACCAGATAACCAGTTATTCTCGGAGACAAGAAACAATGGTAAGACCTACAAGTAGGTCGTCAGCATTCTTGTTACTCCCAGTCCTTAATGGTTGAAAAACAATAATTAAAAATTAAAATAATAATTGAATTTAATTTGAATTATTGAATCGGGGAAAGGGGATTGTTAGTAATGGGGCTTAACAACACCATTGCTAGCAATATTCTTTATCAAATCGATCTTTGCGTGTTTCCTCTTGGAAACTATTGCGGTTAATTCTTCTAGAATTCGGCACGTTGAGGTAATTGACCTATTTTTTCTCACCCATCATGTCTTACTGGTACCTCGTAATCTGATAACGTAAGTGACGTTACCAATCCATTTTCGCTCATCAAAAAATATGTGAAAATTTAGTTACGTAGATAAAGAATGTTATGCTGCTTATCAGCTTATCTACTGAGTGTAATATTATACTCGTAATAACAATAATATTTATCGTTACTATGGTAATGAAGGAATAATAACGTTGTTCTTTATTTATTTATTAACACATTGAAGACCGCATTGCAAAATCGTACTTCTCACATACGAACCGGCATTTTTTTATTGTTAATTACGTATATTTTTTTAATTTTTTTTAATATACAATAATTTTATGTCAAATTAACTAAATCCGCTATATACTCGCTATATACGTATCTTTTCGAAGGAGCTGCGAATCGACTGTTGTACATAAATTGTATTTAAATCATCCCAACCGGTGTACAAGCGGTCCCCAAGTAAAACATGTTGTGTGCCCACCCGTGAGCACGCCGGCCGGTAATATTGTTGCGGAGTGACCCGCCCGTGGTCATGCGGTCTTTAACGTGCTAACAGACGGTTAAAAGAGTAGGTTCAGTCAAAAAATTAAATTGACACTTTATTTACACAGACATTTACTTACGACTTTTGGGATTTATATATATATATATATATATATATATATATATATAACTTTACCTTTAGGTACTGTTAGTTAATATAATATTTATTTCAGGCCATGAATCTTCAGAGAACGAAGTGAATACTTATGACTTTCCCTTTGTGTCACGTTCACAATGGCAGGCGCGTACTCCCAAACAGATAACACCTCTGGCCACTCCAGTCCCGTATGTGGTCATCCATCACTCCTACACGCCTGCCGCTTGCTACACAGACGTTGAGTGTCGCCAAGCGATGAAAAGTATGCAGAACTTTCATATGGATGATAGACGGTGGTGGGACATTGGTTATCAGTAAGTACTTACGACTAATAATAAATAAATCTTTTTTATTTCAATATATAACCATAGTTTACATTCATTACTATAATAATTTAATTTTAATTAATTACAATTTTTACATTACATCACAATATATAATTATTATATTGTGAAATATTTGTATTACAAATAATTAGTCAAATATTTCTTTTTTATAGTATTAGTATAAAATAACTTGATAACAGACCAGCTGGATTTTTATAATACATGAATCATTGTTCGGCGTCATATGTTAATAGAATCCAGGAAAAATCCTCGATTTAAATTTGTACGTATTTTATGTTTTTAAAGGAAAAAATATTCTGATTAATATAACTTCGTTTTGTAGTTTTGCTGTCGGAAGCAACGGTGTAGCGTACGAGGGCCGCGGCTGGACTACGCTCGGAGCTCAAGCTTTACATTTTAATTCGGTCAGCATCGGCATCTGTGTCATTGGAGACTGGAGAAGTAAGTATTGTTTATGCAGTAACTAGATTTTTACCTGCGACCTCATAATATAAAAATATTACTCAATTATAAAAAATTTTAAAAATTAAAAAAAAAAAAAAGTTTTTCTGTTTTTGTTTCTTTGATCGGTTCAGCTATTAAAACGCTAAGATGATGAACATTGGAATTGATTTTCATATTTTAATAATATTTCTATTGTCGATGATTTTTCATGTTCATGTCGAATCTCTTATGTGGTTGGCAGGAACATATTTATATGTTTATTACTCATAACGTAACTCATTTAGACAGAGTAGAAATGCACTCATACACGCAAACAAATATCTTACAAATTTTTTTTAACTGCTATCAAAAGTGGAGCAGGTTCTAATTTTACTGAATTTCATGTATATATACGATGACTTTATTAATTTTGCAGCAATTTTGATAATCCTTTTTGTAAGATAATCACGGGTATATATATATTTTTTTAATTTACCTGCAGCAAACTAATAATATAACAATAAAGAGTAATGACACATTTTATTACCCCATTTATAGCTTTAAAATTAACCAAATTATCACAATCAACATTTCCATTAAGACAATTATAAGAATTATTATATATTTTTCAGCCTCAGTGCCGCCTGCAGAACAGTTAAAAACAGTGAAATCCCTTATAGCTGCTGGTGTGGAACAAGGATACATAAAGTCAGACTACAAATTAGTTGGGCACAGACAAGTACGAACTACAGAATGTCCAGGCGATGCGTTATACAACGAAATAATACATTGGGATCATTATTCCGCATTTCCTAATTCACCAGCTGATTTATTGTCTGTTAAAGAATTGCCCGAGAATGTTAAAGAAATTATAAGAAATAGTCCAAGTAGTTAATAAATAGAACAAATTGATTACTATCTTTTAGCAGAACCCGATTTAGATCCGACCCTGCTAAAATTTGTCTAGACAAATGAGGAAATACCCAGCGAATAATGACCGTTAAAATGGACAGGAAATTTTATTTTTGTCCGGATTGGCAAAATTGCTGGACTGGGTACTGCCTGTTAGATTAATTATACCTTGGAATAAAGTCTTACTAAATAGAATACAAAGCTAAAATGTTAACAGTATTAATCTAGATATATTTTTACAAACTTTTTATTAAATACTCTATATTACTGTCAGCTCAATTATAAGTACCTTATTGTAAAAGCTGTTATTATATAATGTAAATAAACAGTAATTCCAAATGTGATCACAGCGAGTGTTAACTTCATAATATGCAGTCAATAAAATACCTCTATCTACCTCATATGGGACCATAGTCATAAACATATAACATTCAACTATACGGCCGACCTATGGCGGTCCATCTATGGCAATTTGGAAACAATGTGCCTATCATTCATGAATGGATTTAAAATGTCTGTAGTATTTGATAAATTATCTGTAAAATTAATATCCCAGTTCTCATTATTCTTATGATAAACTAATAGTCTTTAAATAAATATTTTATTACTTATTAAGTAATGAATAATATCAATGCTATATATAAATATATACTATAATATTTTTACATCGAATACCTGTAATATTATTGTTACTGTTTGTATCCATTTCATTTATGAGAAATATACATACTTTCACACTTATTAATTTTTCTATCTCAAATTCATTTACGAATTTCCCGAAATTCCTAGAAAATCGGGAACAGTGTGGTGTAAGGGGGTATGCATGGACACCTTGTGACGCAGAAACTAAGAGCGCCAGGACACATAAAAAATAATCCAATTAAATTCGACTTGGGTAGTTTTAACTGAATAGTTATATTCTAAGTAATATCTTACCGCCAGGAGATATTGTCCATTGTCGTTAGAAACCAGCATCTCTCGTGATCACTTTCCAGTGGTCAGTAAAAGTAAAAGGAAACTGTCACCTTCTAGACGTGATAAACATTATAGAATATTGCAAGCTTTTAACCATTGAATTCTTTAATTAGTTAGCTTAAAATTATGCATTGTACATAATAAAGTGTAAAAGCTGTGTGCAAATTTGATTAAATTTAGTAATTTTTTTGCAAAAAGTATTAATTTTTTTTAATCATTTTGCATGTACGTCTCTATATTTAAAAACCCCGAGATATATCATCATCATTATATTAGCCGTTAACTTATTACCGAGCATAGACCTCCTCCCATAAAGGAGGGTTTTGCAAGTAGTTGCCACGCTTAGCAGGCGGGTTGGTAACCGCAGTTAACCTTTGGTAATGTTTCAAGAAGAACACTGCTGCACATCCCTCGACCATTAAGTTTCCTTAGTTTTCTCTTACGACACCCACGGGAAGGGAAGGAGCGTATATGATGGTACAATATTTTTAATATTTACGAAAAAAGATGTTACATCTTATAAATAAAGGTAATTTAACATATAACCTCGTTAGATAATGTAGGTAAACCTTGACCATGCATGGTAGCATAGACAGCAAAGAAAACACATAAAAATGGAAACATACTTTAATGACAAGATGATTTTGCTTAAATCGCACATAGTTAACACATTGTAAGTATCATTGGGGATATAAAGCTGTGTTGTAAGGTCGTACAACATCGGATATAGAAAATAACAAATTTATACTTACACGTTACGGTAAGCCTAGTAAGTACATAGAAGTATATTATTACAGTAAGTTATTGTATTTAATTTTCTATAATGTACTACATAGTATCATTTCACAAAGGGATACCGTTGAAGGTAAAATAATGAACAGATAACCTTAAATAATATACGTATCTATAGATTAATTAATTAATTTATTATCTTCGTATTAAATCAATAAATCAGGGTATACATTTTTACAAAGCAGACGATTATGATTACAATAAAATGAGAACATTGACTCAATAGTATAGTAAAAATAAATGTACATAGTTAACGTGACGTCATAGAATTAAACACGTGGCGTGTGCAGGCACAAATCCGTTGATATCGAGCGTGCAGCGCTCGTATGAGGGCAATACCTACGTTCGTATTTCGAATGTTATTGTACTTATATGTAAGAATAGAACGGTAGTCTATTTTGATAGGGACATTTGAATTGGGTGTAACCTAGAATTATGTAGGAACAATAAGAGTATATAGGTACCATTTATACTAAGTTTTCCTTAGCTCTTTACAGCGATTTCACAACTTTAGCTGTTCAGAATATATTTTTAAAGTTTCGTATTGTGACTGATATTTTTGTATTACTATCATTTTTAAGACATCTATATCGATTTATTTCCTATATTTATTCCAGTGACATTCACAGTAAGAATCTACGTTATAATATGATGTTTATTAGGAGGGAAATAGATTGGAAAGGTTATGACGTAATTTATCTGGTACGTAAAAATATATCTGGTATAACTACAAATTTGGCTTTGTATTGTCATAATCAATATTTTGTTCAAGTGGCGAAAAACAAAACAAAAATAAGTAATCACATGCAACAGTATGTAAGTATTTTACATACATTTTTAAGTTTAGAACCCTATTATGAGTCGCTCATAATAGTTATTTTAAACATTGTAAAACTTCATCAAAAATAAAAATAGTGTAATAAATAATTTACTTTTGATTTAATCAAGTTCATACATTATGTTTTGCACTAATTCAATTTTCTTTATTTATCGTTGTAGAATACTAAGGAAATAGGGATATTTTAGACTGGAACGGCAACGGCCTACCATTGTCTCGTCCGTACATATCTGAAACTACGTCATTTTAATATGCAGCGTGTTTTTTACACGTTCAAACTCTTTTTTATATAATAAATACGGTCATTAATAATTTTAAATTATATATCAAATAACTTACTGATTGTTATAATGATAATAGAGATTTTTATAAATAAAAGAGATACTCGAACCCACTAAGTCAGTTTCCTCATTAAATAATTAATTTAAATTTTATATGTAAATGTAATGTTTAGAGCAGTTTCGTTTGAGAAGTATGCGCATTTCCGAATTACATTTATATTTGCATCCATTTACACTTTACTTCGCTTTCGACTGTTGTTGCCCAGTCAGTGTCACATGACCTTACGAATATAATAAATTGACTAAACGATGTTTATATATGGAAGATATTAAAAATATATATATATATGAGAAAGAAAAATTATATGAGAATTTTATTTATGAGTCTGTCTGTTTGTCAGTATGTTTATTGCGGCATCATGCAAAAACTACTACACCAATTTGGATACGGTTTACAAAGTTGTATTTCTAAAGTTTTAACTTAAAATATAGTAACCTTTATTTTTATTTTAAAACGCTATTCGAAAGTGGTTTATTTCATTGATTTCTAAGTTCTGAAATCCACGCATACGTAATTGCGGGCGAAAATCCAGTTTTTAACAAATTTATTAATGGTTATGATATCTATGGAAACTTTACTGAATTATATATTTTATTTTTACGTAATGCATGTATCACATAGATGAAAGATGAAAATATCAACTTCCCAATACAGGGTACATAATAGATGTCGCTAGTATAACTGTACAGCTAGCAAAAAAAAAATTGACTCAGTTGACATTACGACATTTCTTTATTCTTGTACTTAAGACTGCTCATACCAAAGTACAATAATGTCTGTGTTATCCGTCAAAATGATTTTTATTATTTCTAAATTTTAAAAATGCTCTAAACTAAAACGTTAATCATAGAAAAGTATGGGCTTAAATCTGCAGCTAAGTATTTTGCAACTCTTAAAATAGTTCTTACTTTTTAAATTTCCAAATAGTTAAATAAAGTCAAAATTTATTCTCAGCCACAATACTTTTTAAATAACAATTTAGAAATGTTAAAAATTTCACAATTATGTTTAAAAGACAGACGGATAATTCAGATATTGCTTAATATGAACACTCTTAAAAAGAGTTCCGTATTCAACCAAGTCAACACTTCATTGCCTGAATCTACACTAAGTTACGATAAATATATATATTAGTTTCTTAATGTTAACAAGTGCGAATTTAAAAATGGTAATTACACAGGTCCGTACAAACATTTATTTAAAAACACTTAAGTCTCTATATATAGATTCTAATTTATTTAAATATTTATTAATTTGTATGTTAACATTACTAATTATTATTCCTGATACCAATGTGTGTTCTTAACACGTTAGTTGCACATACATTATTAGATCGTTTCAGAATCGTGGTTAGAATTCATTTAATAGATATTCGTTGATTGTATATAGGTAGATGCTTGTTATTCCAAATGAAAAGGTAATAAGGTATAATTTGACACGTCTGTATGATAATCTAATAATAAAAATACGATTACAATATTCTGCGAATAATAAAAAAATATATAATGAAACATTAAAACTCCTTTTTTGAAGACCGTAATTTTTACCTAACTTAAACAGCTGAACGGATTTGAACAAAATTAGGTTGACCTAATAATAATAAATCCATCTATCTAATAATAATAAATAAGAGAGGTCAATTCTGTACATGAAATATATTTCCAAAATAACTATCAGGGGGTGATTAGTGATCGATACTGATGCCAAAAATGCAATCAGTAAAATTTTTGTCTGTCTGTCTGTCTGTCTGTCTGTATGTTCGTTATAGAAACAAAAACTACTCGACGGATTTAAACGAAACTTGGTACAATTATTCTTCATACTCCTGGGCAGGTTATAGTATTTTTCATCACGCTACGATCAATAGGAGCAGAGCAGTGAAGGGAAATGTTAAAAATGTCCACCCGGGCGACGCCGGGACGGATATATAATACAAAAAATGTAATAATCCTCTGACACATCCATACGAATTAATAACCTACAATTCTGACGCGCTTCTTGTGTGTATACAATATGTAAGGAATCCTAACAATTAAGCTTAGCTTATGGATTGGTTTGGACTTAGGCCTGTATCAGTATGAATGAAAAATATCTAATATAAGCGTATGATAATCACAATTATTCAGATTCAGTGGATATCGATCGTTTAGCACAGAAATATCTATGAAGCCTTAACAATAATTTAGAGTAAATATAATTATATTTAATTTGATAAAGACAATATCAGAATATAGGAGCTACATTCAATAAAACAGTAAATAAATATAATTTCTGTATAATTATGTTTATATAATAATTATATAATTAATTTGGTAGATTAATACATTCAAGAACAACATTCAGTCATTTAGCAAAAATTACGTTGCGTTTGTGATATATTAAAATATAAGCAACGAAATATTTATATTGTTTTATCGTCAATATATCAGCCTTTAACTGTCCACTGCTGAACCTAAGCCTCCCCTTGGGGGGTTTTGCCAGTAGTTGCCTCGCTTGGTAGGCGGACTGGCCACCTAAGTATTATATTATTTAACCATTGGTAACATTAGGCCTCGTAGATGTTTTAAGAGGGACGCTGCTGCCCATTCCTCGCCCTCCCTTAGTCGCCCCTTATGACACCCAGGGGAAAGAAAGGGGTGGCGTATTCTATGACGGGACCACACGGCATTTATATTGTTTATGAAAATATAAATATAAATTAAAATACAGATAATTTTTATTATGGTTTGTCTCAAAAAGACACTTTGTTTCTAAAAAGAGGAAACCACATTTTCTTCAAACGCAACATGTTTTGGACATTTTTGTCACTCAAAGGTAATATTTATTATTTTAGTAAAGGTATAAATATTTATATATACACGAGCTAATTAAATATAATTATGTATATATATATATATATATATATATATATATATAAATTAAATATGTAAATTAATACTTTGTTTTAATCGTTTTTTATCTATGACTCTGAAAGTAAAATTTCTTTTAAAACATTAAACGGATTAAACAAATAAATTAATAATATTTAATACTATTTTACCTAATAACAGTGGAAGCTCTAAAAACAAGAATGTTTCAACAATAATTTTGAGAAAGTAGACCACGGTTTATTGTGAACATTTTTAAATAATTATAAATATATATAATAAGGCCATATATTTGTAACAAAAAAATTATATAAATAGTAAACAAATATCAAATTCATTATATATATTTCATATAAAGTATGCCATTTTTACAATATCTGTTTTAAGATACGACTGTTTTGGTACTTTATTTGGTACCTAATGCATAAGTGCACATAATTCAATACTCATAATATATGTAATATGGAGCATATAGTATTTTTAATGTATAAATATCTTATTTATTAATAAAAATTATATAATAGCATTTAAAATGAGCTTGCATTATTATGCATGACTTTGTGCATGGACGTAATACAAGAAGCGTGGACTGAAACTTAATTACAATTTTAATTATTTATTAATTATATTTTCCATTTAGTTTAATTGTATTGTTCTTAAAATTAATTATGAATAATTAAATTTTTGTATGTAAATGCAAGAACGATTAATATATAGTATATATAGAACATAAAATAATGTTCCATATATCAGATTTTCTTATCGAAGCTTTGCTTTAAGTAACGTTAATGAGATAATTCTCGTTTTCACGGACAAGGCACAGGGGAAGGAGGTTTTAATGATATGATGTGTAGGAATATAAATTGAGATAAACTGCACTTGACATTGTTATCTGTTAAATGAATAAAATCTAATATTTCCAGGAAAATATTTTTTTTTTAATTGGTTGGTACCTTTAGAATTTTTTTCCTTTCTAACACGTTTAAATTTTTGCCTTTATATTATTCAAAGATTACACACACCTACAGGTAAGTATATCATTGAATTAAATATATATCTATAAGTACAGACACTACAACATCTTGTTTTTTTTTTTTATTTCAATACATTCTATCGTATTTTAACTACTTTTAAAATAATTATATTAATAATTATTATAATTTAATACTTATAAAAAAATTAAATCCCACTGAAACTCCAAATTTAAATTTAATGTACGTTTAGTACATTTAGTAGCTACATAAAGTAAATATGAATTTATCATTATTTGGATCTGATAGTTTATATGAAAAGGTAATAAAATCCAGTAAGATCTTTCAATAATTCGTACAAGTAGTAAATATCACCATAACGATATGATATCCCAAACATTACTGAGGTATTTTCTTACTTAGAAATATAGAACTAATTTAATCGTTCACCAAAGTTTATCTAAGTATTTTGGCATCTCACTGTATCTACAAGTATTTATTAAAATTATTGACACAAAATGTCAAAATTCATTCCGTGTTTAGAAGTTCATTCGACTTGTTTTAAATTTAAATAATCAAAAGACTTTGAAGAATGAAATTTTATTATATTTTTTACTGGTCATACGTAGTATGAAATTAATATGTGGAGCCAATTATATATAGTTATTATAAATAGTATATATTAATAACAATATTACTATGCATCTAGTTCAATTCTGTATAAGATTTTTTTAAATGATTTCAATTACCTTTCTAAAAATTTTGCTATTTTTATTGTTTTAACATGCTGACTATATCGCTTAATGCGACTTTAGTAATTGTTCAACTACAACATAATTCACGTTAAATCACATAATACATTAAATATTCTATTTATATCTCGTTGTATTAACGATTTAGTGAAGAAAATAAATATTTTTAAAAAATATATTTTTTATTTATCATAAAATATGAAAAGTGCGTTTCAGGAAAGAATTTTATCTAATTTATTTTTACTTTTTCAAAACGGTTTTCTTCCTCTTCAAGATAACAAAGAAAACCAAATACTTACCTTATCTTTACATATTCTATCCATAATATATAGATATATTTCTTGTTTCATCTACTATTGTAAATAGTCCCACGCTACGCCGGTTGAATACGCAAACAAAACAAAAAAAACAAAATAGGTATTTTCATTTTACGGTTTTGTTTTCTTGGGAAATTTCTCATTGAAATCATTGCTTAATAATCAACAACATTTTGTATACTAATACTAGTTAGAACAGTCAATAAAATATATGCTCTAAAATAAACTTTACAACATATGGCGAGACGTGCTAAAAGAAAATAAAAAAAAAATTAAGCAATTTTATTGTACAATTTTCGCTGCAAGGACCGCAGACTGGAAATGAGATTGAATAAAAAAGATCGAAACAAAAATTTGCTTTAAATAATACATACAACTAAATCGCTAATCTGTAACAATTAACTTAAATACCTAATGTTTTCATTTTTAATAATTGTGATTAAAATATTTATCAAATTCCGCTAAAAATACTTTAAAATAATGTAACTGTAATATATAAATTTTATATTATAGACATATCATATATGTTTGAAGATAAACGCATGCAGCTACGCCTGTATAAACAATATTACATACTGCACATTGAAGTCATCCTTCCTACGAACAATATAGCTAGATCATTGTCATTGTATAGGTCAACATATAACTATTAATTTAAAATGATCATTATTTGTTTTCTATTAGGGTTTGAACTTGCAAAACGAGATCTCTAGCGAGAGATAGTACAGCGGACGCATCGTGACGCTCGGCCATTTCTGAAAACAACAAGCTATTTTAGTCACATTGCTATACTACTAATAAAATACTTAGTAATCCTCATAGAGCATGTGTCCAATACTCGTATAGTTTGAATAGGAGTAGTAGAAGCGAAAACAGTATTTTTTAGAAATTTAAATGTTATCTGTCTGTGTATATGTTTATTTCAGCATCACACTTTAGTTTTCTACTGTACCTAATTGAATGTGGTTTTCGCTATTTTTTTTTATACAACTTAGAATAGCCTGATGGAAAGGTAACCGTTGCCTATAGACATGAGCAGTACCATGGACATAACAGAGTATACTGTTTCGCCCATGATACCCCCCATGCGTTGCCATTCCTAAGGACTCAGGTGTTATTCCTCTGTATTCTGGAAATTCACGCCATATCCCACCCTTCAAACCGAAAGACAGCCATGCAAACACAGCTGCTTCAGGGTTGAAACACGAATAGGACAGAGGTACCCAAGCAATCGACTTTTGTACAAAGTCTCCCTCCCTCCTATCCCTTGTATTTCTGAAGGTCTAATTTAAAAATTGGTGTATTTTATTTTGATATGCTATCTAGAAATAGTTTATTTGATTGGAATTCTACTCTTGAAATTCGCACGTACGAAGTAGTAGATAAAAATATTAATAAAACTAGTTTTTACCAGCAACTTCCGTCTGCGTGAGCGTGATATTTTCACAGGCTACGATAAAAAAGTAGCCTATGTCCTTCTCCATTCGTATACATACGTGTATACCAAATTTCATAATGATTAATAGCTGAACTAGCTATAAAGAGGTAATAAACTGTTACATTTAGAATTAATATTAGTGGGAATTATACGCATACGATAAATATTATTAACACATCTGTAAGATGTGTTAATAATATTTATCCAGTCAAACAGTCTTTTAGCATATTATGTGGAGCTTGCAGTGGGAACTTAGTATATGAAATGAAATGAAATGAAATATTTATTTGCTTTATGGAACACATGATATGCAACTATGTTTCACTAGCAAGTATATATTATGAGTCTTTTGTATAATTTATTCAAAGGCAGAAGATTTTTCATATATTACAAATAGAAAATTCTACATGAGAAGTATTTATATCTCGTGTGATTACGATTTCATCTGGCCATAAAAAAAATAAAACGAAATATATAGTAAATCTATACTATAACTATAACAACGTAATAAATAATTAATGTAATATAATGTATTTACACTAATAATTTCCTTTTAAGTTAAACATCACTGCCAACCAATCGGGCGCAATGGGTTACAGTTTTTTATGCAACTTACAATAGCAAACAACACGTATTACATGAAGAGGCACTGTTGGCAATGGAGCTTAGCAGGCTCATTGCTATCAATACATCTTGTGAAGTTTCCCTCTGGAAATCGTCGTGGATTAACCTGACGAATTCGTCGTAATGAGCTAACTGCCCTGACTTAATTCTAGCCTATCATATGAGGGATACCATTCAAGTTTCATATATAAAAAATACATAATTTGTGATAATTATTCTTGTATAAAGAATACAAGAATAAGTCCAAAACTGTAACACAGTGTCAGCTTCATTAGAAAAATAGCAAAATAGGTAGTAATAGGTAGAAGAATATTCAAACATGTCATGACTACAATAAAATGACTCACCATTGAAAAATTTTATGATATCGGTAAAGTCCATAGAGTTAGCTAGTATGACGTCACGATAGGTCTCGAGAAGAGCGAGAGCAATGAACAGCACCATGTGTTCAGATGCTACATATCGCGCCGCCCAAATCAACTCCCACGCTGAGAATACCTGAACACATAATTACATTTATTTCATTTAATAACTATGACTGTATACTTATATGACCATATATATGAAGTATGCAGTAGGGATAACAAAATAGATGTATTTAATAGTAGCAGCAGTTTTATAAGAAAAACCATCGCAAATTACTCATTAATTGATTTTAACAACGTTTAGTCTGTGTTTACTCATTTTTTAATAGAGTATAAGTAATTCAATTTTTGTTAATTATAAGTGATAGCTTGTAATCAGCTTATTGTTGTCATGCATAGTTAATTATTCAGTTATAACAACTGTAAGCTTCCCTCAAAAATAATACAATAAATAAATAAATACCTATAATAGGTACCTATGTGGTTGTGTCTTGATGGATAACATTGACAATGTTCCTAACTAATTAATATATAGCCTAGAAGAATCGGCAACTGATCAAAATTAAATGTTCTCAAGTGACGACCACAAATGAGTTTCTGGGAGTTAGTATATGCAGGTAGTTCAGGTAGTTTACTTTGTACTAATTATTACTTTTTATTAATTAATATTGATTAGAGAAATGTAAACACAAGCCACATGTTAATTTTTTTTTAAATAATTTACTAAAGATAACGTAATAATTTACGATTATAAAACTTACATCTTGATATAACAACTCCCGTTTGAAGTCGAGGAGGAACCAGCGGTAGCAGAAATAAAAATGGGTGTAGTCCCCATGTGCGTGCATCAGCTCGTACAACTCGCAGTCCAAGATTTGTATAAGGGATCTGAAGGGACAAGTCATCAAATATGTCATTTAAACAATATTAATTCATACAAATAATAATTCCTATCAAATGTTTGGATTACTAGAATAATTTTATAATCACAATCAGGCGTATAGTAATGTCGTAGAGACCAGTAGAGTCTATATTTTGCTAAATAAAATATACAGTAGAACATAGAATCGGCACCTTTTTTGAAGTCGGTTATAAAATAGTGAAAGCTTGTACAGACGTTTGGCAAAGGGTGACTTTGAGTATATATGTATACAAAATCTTTCGAGTGTATTCGTTTATTTGAATATCTCTGCCCTACTGATGCTTGTGATGGCGAAAACCAATAGTTGCATGATATTGGTTTAAAAAGTGGGTTTGATGAATGAGTGTATTTTGTACCTGAAGCTATTTCATTTCTTACCTCATATCAGCGAAATGAGCATCCATAGCTTGCCCTGAAGGGAAATTATCCTTGGCACGCTCCATCAATCTAGCAAACAGCGCATGCGCGACGGCTTCCTCACGCATCATTACTAACAATGGCGCTGCTAGATCACACATGCCTTGCATGTAGCCTGTGTCTAAGTGCTCCCATACGAATCTGTAAAGGTTTAGGAAAGGTTAGGATTAAAATGTTACGCATTAATTTTACGACTCATTTTGTGTTTGCATACCACCAGACTAGCCGTATGCTTGTTAGTTATAGTAATATTAAAAAAACAGCGTTCGTATATATAACATACGTATACATAAACATAAAAAGTCTGCACAGATTTTTTTCTAAAATTTTATAGAATAATTTCCTTTTTTAAAAAGGAACTTAATAATAATAATATTTGTCGCTGATACTGGTACTGGCGAACCTTTTTTATATTTTTTTATATATTATGTACAAAACAAAATACGAAGATGGAAACTGAACGCAGTCCATAAAATATGCTTCAATTCTGCAGGACACATTAATCGCAGTCCGCACAGAATTTAGTAAAACAAAAGTTTAAATCAGTCTATATATGGTTTAAAACTTACGTGCACATTATGTTCCTCAGTTTATCAAGGTTTTCGTCAGTGAAAAACGGATAGTTCCTATCGCACCGTTGCACATCCTTTTCTATACGATGTAGATTTAAAGCAAAGCTCTCCACCAGTTCATTCTGGAAATAAATTTATACAGAAATATATTAACATCCAAACCTTTTTATTAGTTAAGGGGGGGAAAGGGATAGTTAGCAATGGAGTTTGACAGCCCCATTGCTAGCAATATGCCTCATTAATTCGACCTCCACGTGGTTCCCTCTGGAAACCATCATGAACAATTCTTGCTGAATTCGTCACGATGGGCTAACTGACCTACTTCATCCTCACCTATCATCCTTCACTGGTACCCTGGTGTATACTGATAGCGCGGGTGGGGTTACCATTCTATTATCATCAATTAAAAAAAAAACCTTTTTATTATAAAAACAGGGGACAAACGAGCGGCTGGCTCACCTGATGGTTAGTGATTTCCGCCGTACATGATCACCCGCAACACTAGAGGCATTGTATGTGTGCTGTCAGCCGTTTAAAAAAGAATATGTTCTTTTCTTGAAGGTTATGATGTCGTATTGGTTCGAAAATACTATTGCTGGAAATTGATTCCAAAGATTGGTTGTGCGCGGAAGAAAGTGTCTTGAAAAACGCACGGTGGAGAATTGCCACACATCCAGATGGTTGGGTTGGAACTTTAACCTATTTTGTTTACATTAGTAATGCAAATGAAACTAACATCATAAATGTGAAAATGAGCTTGTTTATTTGTTACCTCTTGGTGCTTTAACAACGGAACCAATCGTTATGAAATTTGGTTATACTCATTATATGGGATGGAGAAAATAGACTACTTTTTATCCAGTTAATGAACATATCTCGAATATTTGGACAGAGTCGCAGATAAAAGCTAGTATTAACAATGAACGAATAATTACCGAGTAAACACCACCATTAGAGCTAGCGGGTGATACACAATTGGAACGAGTTTCAGGGCGTTGATCGTTGGTCGGTTCCAGCATATCAAACGATGCACCTGCAGAGTGCGACTCTTCCCGCACAACACCCAACGGACTTCGGGCTGGACTCACATTGGCTATGGTAAACAACAAAATATAAATTTTAATACAATTGAGAATTATTACTACATATAATAAAAAATAAATAACTCGAAGACCAAAAGGCAATGAGTGCAGAATTCAATTTTCTTCTTTTTGATTAAAAACATAACAATAAAATAAAAAATAAATAACAGAAAAGTAAAAGAAGGAAATTGATTACTGTGTATACCATCGCCAAATAAATGTAGTATAATTTCTAAAGATACAAGACTTTGCACGAATGTCGCCTGCAAGATTTCCTTTATCCCATTCATATTACCACCGAGGTGCAGGTGTGCTTACATGGCTGTATTTTGGTTTGAAGAGCTTATCCTTCCCTTTCCAAAACAAGATATAGAGGTACTAGTCTTCAAGAATAGCAACACATAAAAGATATTATAAACACCACATGTCATCATCATATTCTCTAATGGCAAACACGCTCCATCCATGGAGGAAGACAGCATGTTTGCCATTCGTGTTAAAAAAATCTTGTTTTATACTTTCACAAAATATATCAATATTGTATTCTTTAAAATTATTTGTTTCTTATTTAATTAATTCAACTTAAGTCTTACCAGTATTTCCTCCAGAGGCTGGAGACCCAGAAGGAGCTAAATCCACAGACGGATTAGTTATAATTACACTAGTGTGTTGCTGTGAACTCGGTTGGTTTTCATCTAACGATGATCTCAAATCACTCCCATTTATATTAACATTCGCACTGTCAACACTACACAGCAATCCTCTACCGTCACCTTTCTGAACTATATCTTCAGCTATTCTTTTAATCTCCGCTATACTTTCTCTTCTTAAATCTGGATTTTCTACAACACTCTTAATATGCACTTCTTCGTCGTCGTCTAAGTCTTTAAGACTGTCTATATCTACATCTATATTATCACCGGTCTCAGTCTCTCCGTTAACTTTAATTTCTTTCTCCTTTTCTTCAGAATCTAGCTCTATATTATCGACCTCATCTATGCTCGGCGCTCGAGATAGAACTGGTTTCGTATCCAGTCGCTTCTGCTCATTTTCGCTGGGTTCCGGCGAAACGACTGGAGGATTATCTGATATAACACTGTAATCATCTTCAAACACCTATAAAAACATAAAAATATAAACTTAACAAAAGTACCACACAATCCCACTAATCACATGATTCTCAAGCTCTAGCTTCCCTATGTTACTGGGAATTAAACAACGAACTTCTGAAGGTGCAATCTAGAACACGCGGGCCTGCAGAACAGTTCGTTTCCTAAATTAAACCCATTGAGAATAAAACCCGGGATCACTTTTCTGCAAAGCAACGTACCCAACACTGCGTCACGGAAGTTGCCGTAATTATCACAAATACCAAACAATACACAAATTAAGCAATAGAATTTATCCTATTTTTACTAATATATATTTTTAATAAACATTTTTTAGGATGTAAGATATTTTAAGAATAGACTTACCTCACAAGGTTCTGTATTCTCAACAGGTTTCGGTCTCCCTGATGCTTCAGAGAGTCGTGCTATAGATGCGGCCGTGGCTTCACGATCCCGCTGTCTCACTATCGCTTCCACGCACAGCCACTCTGACATTGTGGTCTCGTATTGGCGACGACACGCTGCGTCCTGTTCCGCCCTTTCTTCTGCTGTTGAACCGAATCTACAGAGAACAGTTTTATTAAATACATTCCAGTTAAAATACTTAGTCAACTTTTAATATAAAATCACCACTTGAATAATTATTATTGTGTTTCAAACCATGTATATATACACTAGTAATTTATATTAGTACCACATTCGAGTATTCAAGCGCTTCCCTAAGGTTAACTAGGAGAGAATGCTTTCAGCATTATCTCTGCCTTGTACACATACCTGTACTAAGAATAAATAAATAATATTTACTCGTAATATCCCAGCAAATAAGGCCATACTTCACGCCTTATCTCATGTTGTACTCCGTGGTAGTATACTTGTCGATACACTTCCTCTTTGTCGCTTATAACGCCTTTGTTATCCATCATTGTCCGCCATAGTTCTTCTGTTAATCCCGACTCCGTGCCTTCTGCAATTTTGACGACAAAAAATGTGAAGATATTAAGAAAAGTTGACAGAATTTAATTGTTTACAATTTGATATAATTGCTCTGTGGATTCTATTCTTATCAGATAATTTAAATTAATGGTTATATGATATCAAAGAGTTATTAATTTTGATCACCCGATGATTATAATATATATATTAGATACCGAGGATAATATTAAAATTAAAACTTTAATTTCTTATATTTAATATACTTAAGAGAGAAGATTGAGTTATATATAAAATACAATAACTAACCTCTAGGAACAATATTAGGATGTACTAGACCACTTAGATGCGTTCGAACCGTTGACAAATGTCGGCAGTACGCAAGCCAGCCATAAAACGCTCGCGAAATTATCTGACGACGCATCGTGCTACAAACCAACTCAATCGACGCTGGCTGAAAATCCAATACAAAACTCTCAAATATTTTTATAAATATTAGGTACTGTTACTGTCATACAAAAATACAATTGAATTTAGAACGTCTCCCTTTTGGTGAAAATAATTCTATTCTAGGCTTGCAGATGCCTCTGATTCTGGAATAATAATTGTGAGTACAATAACTTAGAGGTACTTCTTTAATGTACTACACAGAGGGCAGTAGCATCGATGAAGGGTGACCATTGAAGCCGGCCGACAGCGGACAGTTCAAGAACATTATAGACGAGTCAGATAATGTGATGGAAATGGAGACGAGCGTAATATATACACAAAAAATACTGTCGAATTGATAACATCCATCTTTTTATAATTGAAAATTATTTTGATTATATAATTACAGTTGTTATTATTATAACTTACAGGTACCTCTTCAGTATACTGTACAGAGGGCGGTAGTATCTGCGGAGGGTGTCCATTAAAGCCGGCCGACGGCGGGCAGTCCACGGACATTGTGGACGAGTCGGATGACGTGGTGGAAGTGGAGGCGAGCGGCCGGCGCGGAGTACGCGGCGGTGAATGCACTGCGCGCTCCAGGAGAGAACGTCGCATGGCTAGTGGTAGATATATAAAACCATAAATGTCATTAAAATTTCAAAAATCATTGTTTATTTCTATTTTAATATATAAAAATCCTGTGTAACGGTGTTCATTCATGTTAATCTCCAAAATTCTCCAATCGATTTTGATAATTGTTATCTCACAAGCAAAAATAAATCCAGTAGGCATTACTTATTAGCTACGCTTTTACATGATAGCTACACCCAGTGAAGCCAAATCAAATTTCCACTTGTTATATTTTAAATTATTAGACAGCTGTATCCAATGTATGGTACATCTATGCATCAAACATTCGACCTGCTATTTAAAAGTGATTGAGTAACAAACATCCAAATATTTTTACAAACTCCCATATTTATGTATAGCTAAGATTAGGGAATGGGGAAAAAATCTTAAAGAAGATATAACATAATGTAATGATAAATTCTTAAATGATATTTTCATACCTTCTCTATCGGTAATAGCGTTGTTCACTATACGGAACACATAATCTCCGGCTGCCTCCTCCCATTCAGCTTCCTCTGTCTCTCCACTCTCACAGAGACTCGGCATCGGACGCCTTCGAATTTTACCACGACCGAAAACCTAACATAAATATCAAATACATTTTACTTGACTGTTGAATGCTTTTATTGTCTCTTGTTGAATATGTAAAAAAGCTGACACACCTGGATGGAAACTAGTAATTATGCCCTTTAGAAATGAACACTATTAGAGACATTATAATATTTACTTTGACATCTACGGTAAGATGAAAAATATCATTGGACCTGGAGAAAAAAGAGACGTACCTTTGTTCCCATACCGTCTTTGATTTTTTAAATATTGTTTAATTTTTTTTTTTAGTTTGTAACATGACTCTATGGCTCACTACACATTTTGGGAAACTGTAAGTGAATAAATAAATAAAATTTACTCTACGGCCATGGTAAGTGCTCAGGTGATAAATACCAATTCTGGAAAAAAAAAGTAATGTGCCTTCTTTCCCATATTGCTTATGCTGACCAACTTAAATAATTTTCTTTAATCAAAACTAATGTAGCTATTTCTGGTAGTAATTATATTTACCCAAAAATCCTAGGTCATTTTCGACAATTCTTTGAAACTTCTTTCCGAAACCAGTATTACCACATATGATCACAGCTACATAAATTTACTCTCCAATTGATCCCAAAGCATTTAGTACGTTGATGTATATTGTAATTTACCTTGCCAGTTCCTCTTTGTGACCAAAGCGGAGGATCCAGTTGACCATGAGGTAGTAAACCAGTTTCTAGATTACTCAAGAACGATAATAAATGACCACCTGTAAGAAAGAAGCAAATTACAATCGAAAAATTCAAATGGAATGGCCACGAAAGCAATAGCTTAAAGATAGAAAAGGGTAGTGGTGCCTTGAAATGACAAGAAGGAGGGCAAATAATTCGGGTTGAGTTTGAAGTGTATTTCTTTATTATGATACTTATGATGGCAAGAAAACCGACATTCTCCCTATAGAAATGTACGAGTAGTTACTGATTATTGTGGCAACGTTTACGTCGCCTATAGATTTAAATGACACCATGGATATCACGGAATACACTATGATGCTAAAGATACCACTGATACGCTCATGCCATTTGTTTCGATTATTTCTTCATTTACAACAACTATAAATTAATGTTTCAATTCGTCGTGTAGTTCGAGCCATAGAATTGCCCACTCCTTCCTTTCCCATGGGTATCGTAAGAGGTAACTAAGGGAGCAATGGTCGAGGAATGGGCCGCAGCGTTCTTCTTAAAACGTCATAAAATCCTAATTGCGTTTGCCAATCGGCCTATCAAGCGTGGCAACCACTGGTAAAATCCCCTTATGGTCAGCAGTGGACAGTTGACGGCTGATATGATGATGATGATGAATGTTTCGATAATATTATAGATTAAATTTAATTAAAAATACATTAAATTATATACATTGATTATGCCATATACGAGTATTTGGTAATGTACGATATCTCATAGACTATGAAATGAATTTTATATGAATGGCGATAAGGTGTAGATTGATTAATTTTATTTCATGTGCATTGTAATCGTAATTCCCTAATTCAATAACGGGGTCACGTATTGATAGCAAAAATCCACCCGAATCTGATACATTGAATCAGAATGTTTTTAAATTGAAGTTACGTACAAATAAAAGTAAATTTATTCAAATTCATCCATACCTTTTGGAAACTGTATTGGTGGTCGTTGCACGCCATCTTGGCCAACAAGTATGAGTGCGTCGCTTGCTTGTGAACGATGGACATGTACGTACACCACCTCCCACACGCACACTTGCAGTGACATCGCCCAGTACACACTGTACACACAACATACATTATATTAGCATGTATTTTACTACCTTAGACAAGTAATTAACAAGAATTAAGCTTATTCTTCCCGAACTTATCCAAACTTAAAGTATATTCATTTTTGCTTTAGTTATGTTAAAGCTATGCCCATAGTAGATAGAGTGCCTTCACAGTATTATAAATTTTATCCTGGTGTGTGTTTTTCAATGTAATTATGGACTGCACTTAAGTAGATAAGTATTTGATAAAAACTGGACTTGCCCTCGGCTGTCTAAATTAGGATCATATTACGATACTCAGTCTGGTATTTTTAAAAATTGGAACATTTATATATATTATCGTATAAGATATACTTTGTACTTACCAGTCGATACAAAGCGGCCCAGAACAAACTCTCCTGTACACGGTGCAAACGGGAGCTAGGCTGCACAGAATACACGTGTTTTGACACGCAGACGCATGCACTAGGTGACAGCGGTAGCTACACATATCACAAAATCAGCACTACTGCTACACAAAGGACGAAATAGCGTTGCTATTATAAGGCAAATTATTTAAAGAAGCACACGACATTGGTAATAAAAAAAAATTGTGCATAAAATATAACAGGAATTAATTTCGTGAAAAAAAAAATGTATGTACTAAAATTGGTACAGTGCAATGATTAAAGAAACTAAACCTTGCAATAACTTACAATATGCCACTAATAAGATACTGCAACAAATAATTAAAACACAGGGCACATGTATCTAAATAATTCATAATAATAATACTGTGCAGTGAAAATATTTTTTTCTACTAAAATTAGGTGAAAACATATAGAAATAAGAATCAGTATTCATCAACAGTACGGCACATCGAGACAAGAAATACAGAGGCAGTGTATATGCAGAGGTAAGTCTTAGTTTTAAGGATCAATACTTGGATGTGGGAAGTAGCTAGCATTAAAATATACACATTTAACAAAATAATATAATAATATAAGTACTAATAATAATGCAAGTACTAAGCAGAATCATACATTGAAGCATGTAATCTAAAACATGGATACAATATAAATAAAGAAAAATATAAATAAAGACCTTACGTACGTCACACATAGCTGATTCTAAAAACTAGTTAAAATAAATCGTTTAAGTATAGGTACCTTTTGTCAATTCCTTCACTTTCAGCATATCCATTCATAAGCTGATTAGGTGTCCACTTGATCACTAGACCAGCAGCCGTCTGGTGCAAGCTCAGGTAGCCAGGCATCGGTTCTTCTGTGTCCTTCTAAAAAATCGTAAAATATATTTTATACAATAATATTTAATGTAAATTAATTTAATTTCAAAAACATTTTGTCTTTTATGATTTTATTACTTAAGCTCCAACGCCACGTAGAACTCGAGAAGAACTATTAATGAATAAAAAGAAAATTTGAAACCATGTTCTGTATATGTCTATTTATCTGACTAGCTTCCAAATTAGGTAGTCCAATGAGTACTTCTAATTCTTCTTAATTAAAATCGATTGATTCTGTTTGCTATTTCACAAGTTTAAGTTAAAATTTTAATATTAAGTTAATATTTAATGCTTAATAAATAAAATAATAAATTATTGTTAGGGAGGTAAACGAGCAGACGTAATACCTAATGGAAAGCTCCATGAACACCTGCAAAACGAGAGGAGTTGCTTGTGCATTGCCAGCCTTGTAAATTTTGTAGGTATGTTTTTTAAAAGCCTCATATTATATTGTAAGGAGAAAACTGAAGAAGGGAGCTTATTCGACAGCCCAAATGTACGAGATAAGAATGAGCGAGATATAGGGACAGTAGTAGTATGCACGCACCCAAAAAATTTAGGTAAATCCAGGTTACATTTTAGTATCAACTTCTTACCGGTTGTACTCGTACGTTGTTCTTCCCATACAGCAGCGTAGCTGTTGAATTCTGATGTAAACTTTCAACATAGTCTTTAGCAGTTGATCCACCCGTTTTTCCTGTACCTTTAAATGAAATAAATAAAAGAGATTCGATAAATTACTTTAAAAAGTAAATAGAATTTTTAATGTTCCAATTATATTTTCTTTTTCTATAATGTATAAACAAACTGATAGATCAAATTACAAAATATATCGGAAAGCGAATACAGTATCAGGAATTATTTGGAATGAAAGAGATGTTACAAATTGTATTATCAAATATTTATATAATTTATTATCTTAATTCCACCCATAAAATACAATTCACTTATAGAAATATATCTAAACTTATCAACTTAGTTTTATTTTTATTTTATTTTTAAACCAAAGGGAAACAGTACAGCAGTCATCTGCTCAGGTACCTCTGTCCCATCCATTTTTCTGCCGCGAAGCAGTTATATTTGCATGGCTGTGTTTCAGTTATGGCATGTGAAATTACAAAGTACAGAGACATAACACTTTAGTCCTTTAGAATGGCAACGAATGAAGGGTAACATAGGCGACATAGTATATTCTGTTATGCCTATAGATACAGTTACTACTTTCCATCAGGTGAGCCGTCAGCTTGTTTGCCAATTGTATATAAAAATTAAACTGTATCAATTATGTTTAGTCATAAAAATACACTTATTTAAATTTACTTAAATTAATCACTTATTTACATTATTTATTTAGTTTTTAATGGCAATAAAAAAGTAATAGTAGTAATAGTACATATTATTGTATACACAATGTAATGTACCTGTGTTCGTAGAGACACTGTCATCAGACGAAGCATTTAAACTCCTCCTGAAATTGAGGATCGGTCTTCGTACAGAAGGCGGAGTAGTTGTCCCGGCCGACATACGATGTCTCTGTACCTGTAGATATTTTATTCAATCGTCAAATATCAAAACTAATTCATCTGGAAACATTGTTTTGTATATAACTGACACCTATACGGTGTCAGTTATATACAAAACAATGTTTCTTATCGGTTACTCTCTCTCAAGTTAGAACAAAGAATACATTTACAAAATTCTATAAATTCGGAGTATTTCAATAATATCTAAGATTAATGTAAATGTGTTTTAGCATCTACAAGGGCATAACACCTTTGTCCTCAGGAATGGCAACGCATGGGGATATCATGGGCGAACAGTATACTCTGTTATGTTCACGGTACTGTTCATGTCTATAGGCAACGGTTATGACTTTCCATCAGTTGAACCGTCAGCTTGTTTATCATTCTAAGGGGCACAAAAAAAAATGAAATTTTTACGTATTGAGATATACCGCAGACATAAAGTAGTATAAAACTCAGATTTCAGTGATTATTAAAAAGCATCCTTTTTTCATGCTTAATGTGATTTTCCGTTAACGCAAAATAATTCACATTCATAAAATACGAGAGAATATTGGAAAAAGGACCACGAAACAGATGCACATATAATATGATAGTAAAAGATACCAGCGGAGATACAGACATAATAAGATATAGATTTATTATAACTGGTTCGGGAATGTGGAAATAATGTGAAACATAAGGTTGACGAGACGTATTATACAATGTTAAAGTAGATATATTCATAGCCGGACTCTTATATATGTATATATCTATATAGATACAAGGACAAACGTAAATTATAATGATCAGACAGACCGTATTCTATTTGATTAAGGAGTCTCCGGAACTAGCGTTCATGCATGAGCCGGGTTATGAAAGCGGATAAAGCAAAATATACCTATATTTAAAAATAATGATCTTTGAGACTCGGTTTCCTCTGTCTAAATATATAAATAGATATAGAATAAGACAAATCATATACAGAAGTCAAATGTCTCCGTCTATGTGCATAAAGATAATAATAAAACTTAATACCACGGAGCATGACAAGAACAGTAGTAAGTTCTCTCCGTATAAGGAGAGATCTCCGCTTAACTATGAGATATAAATTTATTGTTAACGTAAAGTAAAAAAAAAACTAACCAATTCGTCTGCTGGTGGATCCGTCCAGAAGCAAGAAGGCGCCTTAGCTTTTGAATACTCCAACGCACAAGGCCCGACAAGTAAGGAGCTGAGGATACTTCCATAGTCAGGATCAGCGACCAGCGCGTCTCGTTCATAGTACCGCGTAGCATTGTTCACCAAATGCTCGATTATCTTTGCTAGTTGCCGCTCGAATAGAGCTATACGGATCCATAGATATCTGAAATGAAGAAATAATAATAATTAAATAATGGGTACATCATCTTGGAATCTATTAAAATATCAGCGGTATTAACAGTAGGTTACGTGCTTACTGTTACAGACTTAATACTGAGATAACCTTTTAGTATTTTTTTTTATTATGTATCTGTAATTTTTATTCTTTTCATTGGTTTCTGTTTCATATTCAGTGCATGTTTTCTATTTGTCTATATACTACATAGGTACATAATTTTATAATTAGTTCTGTAAAAAGCAATTTCACTATATAGCTAAGTTTTTAATATAAATAATTTCCAATGTAGCTTTAAATGTAAAGACTAACACAGTTGTAACGTTAATCTTACGACTAATACTAATATAAATGTCCCTCAGAGAAGTATATTTTCTAATCATTCTTAAACTGAGATTGTTATTGTCCCTCTGCAACGATAAAGTAACAGAAAATCTCAAATTAAAAATAAATTCAATTATATCAAGCTTAGTTCCGTCTCACCATAAACGGGTCATAAACATGATACTGAGAGACTAAAGTCCGTAGTTTGCTACTGAAAAAGAGGCTTTATGGTTCAGATATTAAACTGTATATACCTACCTAAATATATTTTAGTTGACTTCTTATATTATACAATTTTGTCGTAAACTAAAACAATGTCGTGAAGAACAATCGTTTAGATGAAGATTTGCTGATAACTTCTTCGAACAAGAAACTAAAACAAGCTGACGGCCTACGTAATATAAAATGGAAAACGGTGCGTAGAACATTATAAAATATACTGTACCACCTACATCTCTTATAATTTGCCGCCCTTCAGCACCAAAATATACATATGGTATCCAAATATTGAATTGATATCTAAAAGAATAACGCGTACGTTATACTGCAAGAACAATTATGAGACCGTGATTATTATCTAAGCGAATATGCATATCTGTATGTCATAATTTTGCCCCAATATTTATATTATAGCATTTAAACATCTTTAAAATAAAGTACTTAAGAATTTCGTTTAAGAACATGAAATAACGTTTTCCGTAAGAAGTAGATAGACTGTCAAATAAATCTATTGTAGTAATTTGCGAGCAGACGGTTTACGTTCTCGTAATCATAACGGGGCCATAAAGATAAGGATTTATGAGTTACGTCATAAATTTTAATTTTAATTAATATTATATGTGACTGTAATTGTAACCTCGTGTATTGCGATATTTATTTTGTAGAAAAAACGTTGTATTATCCATACAAGGAAAAGCTTACTTTATACTTACGCTAGCAATCCAGCCCGGCTTCGCTGGAGTAGATAGAATTTTGTAAAATAATATATAGCCTATGTTATTCGCTGACAATGTAGTTTTTTGTATTATATATACGATTATATATATTTATTATATTATACGGCTAGTTTATACCTGCTACTCGGTTCTAGGAAATTTTGATTGGCCTTGATAAAATAGCCCATGTTCTGCTCCATGCCAAATACTACTATGCATCCCAAATTTCTAACAATCGATTGAATCGTTAAGAATCCAGAAGTAATAAAGAAATTCGCTTTCTAATTTATAAAATTAATAGCCAAAGGTAAAAACATATTATACTGTATTTTTAGTATAAAAGCTGATTTAATGACCAAATCTGCAAGTAAAATACAATTTATAACTAAAATGCAAAAACAGTACAGTCCGAAGATGGAATTGAAAAAAATAGGCAAGTACTGCACGCGACGAAATTAATTTAGACTTTTTTTTTTTAAGCAGAAACCTTTATATACACATATATAAATAAATTTTAAAAGCTGTCCCTTGCTACTCAAACGCATTACTTGAGATCGAGTGGACTGATTTGGAATCTTGAATATTCGTAATAGCATAGAATAGATTTAATAACAATAATTACCTACCTATAAATTAGATTAAACATTTGAAAGGAAAAATAAATTAACAAAGAAATACATAAATTAATAAAGAAGAAAGACGTCTGTTAAACTTATTAGTAAGTAATATACAGAAAAGCTTGGAGTTAGTAATACATATGCTGTAAAAATCGAATTTTGATAAATTTTATGATTTACCTACATAAGTTGGTAAATATAATTTAATATAGATAATTATTAAACACAGATGTGTAGATTACTAATAGTATTAATGTCAACTTTCCATAAACGAAACGTTTGGCAATGACATTGGTACCAAACCGAAATGTTGATCAGAGTAGTAATGCAATTACAGTCTTAAACGACGCTCACTTTATTTAATCTATATACTGATGTTTCTAAAAATTTTCAGCTTACATTAACAAGTACCTATCAAAGCGAGCTTTGGTGTGAATTTTATACTACCATTCCAATTTTTATGGTCTGCTAGTTAAACCTATCCCCTAAACACATGTTGACGGTACACTTTTTATTGTACGGAGAGAATTGAAACGAGTCACTGTATATTTATACCCCATTAAATGTATTCGGGACACGTAAAAGTGTGATTTGGAAGGGAAATGGCAAAGTAATACGTTTCGCAAATTGTTGTGTGCGCACTTTTAATATATTTATCTAAAAATAAGTTATATATATTTCATTGTACTGCTTGTATCGTCGGTGTATGAATTACAACAAATAGTGACTGTAATGAATGAAGCGTATGCAATAAAAGGAATAAAAATATATGCGAAGAAGACCAAGATAATGGTTATTTAGAGAAATTAAAGTTTAACGGTATGCCAGATAATGATAGAAGATGAAACAGTGGACCAAGTGAGTGAGTGTTTATATTTGGGTTCATTGTCTACGAGGGATGGAAAGTGTGAGAGAGATATTGAAAGGAGAGCGAAAACGGGAAACAGTGTTAACGGTGCACTGCTCTCAATTATGGCAAGCAAAAATGTAACGAGCAAAGCTCGCCAGGGAGTACTGACACCAACACTCGTGTATGGAAAGGAATCGTGAATATGGCAGAAGGAGCATAAAAGTAAGATAAATGGTGTAGAAATGAAAGCTCTGAGAAGTATGTGTGGTATTACATTAAAAGATAGTGTAAGAAACAATGTGTTTAGAGAGAAGTATGGACTAAAAGACGATATAATGACAAAAATCGAAAAGGAATGTTGCGTTGGTTTGATCTTTTGAAGAAAATGGATGAAAGAAGGATTATGATGGAAATTTATCAAGCAAGAATAAATGGAGATGTCGGTGAGAGGCCGCCCTAGACGGACGTATGTCGATCAAATAGGCGACGTGCTGAAGAAGGGCCAAATTAAAAGTACTCGTAAACGTCGAGCGTGTATGAAAAGTTTGATGAATGTGGAAGAATCGAAAGAGGTTTGTTTGAATCGAAGCATTTGGCATTCCATTGTTTCTGCTACCCTAATGGGAGACAGGCGTGACAAATATGTATGTATGTATATTTCATTGTCTCTTATATATATATTGGAATACAGACCATAAACCTGTAAGATCAGGTGACTACCTATCTAACTATAAGTCACTACATTTTTTTAAATATAATAATACAAATAGTCAAATAATATTATTATATTGAATAGGTACAATATTACTAATTTATTATTACTTAAAAGTTATCTAGATTAGATTACAATTCTTTTTTTAATCTTAATTAGTTATATAAGATTAAACATTACGCCGAGTTACTCAGTAAGTATTAAAAGATACCGTTATACAAGCGGATGTAACTGTACCATTAAACCCTAAAAAATCAATACTCTATTTATACGATTAACTTCGAATTTCCCAATCACCCTCAAGCAGCAAACGATGCATAATGACGAAGGTGCTGATTTAATTTACTAAAGTACCTTAACATTTAAAAGATTAAACAGAATTTCAATATTCTAACAACCTTCACAAATTCAACGTTGTAATAGACTAAGACTACATAAAAGCAATTTATAAGAGGAAATCAAATTATTATCATAATAAAAAATTATAATTCCTAATGAAAAATTTGCGTTTAGATATTTTATATTATGCCTATTAATTAAGTAGAAAGTTACATTTCAATATAATAGATAATTACATTTCAACATTCAAACATTTCACTGAGCATATTAATGGCGATCTAGTGATCTTTAGGTAGGTCTTTATTAACATTATCTATCAATTGATGGTGTTCATACACTCCATGGCACTCTTCATACATTGCTATTTCTTAAGACTAAGGTGTTATGCCACTTGTAATCTGATTGCTAAGTCCTACCCCTCAAACCAAAGCCCAATCATGCAAACATCGTTACTTCATGGTAAAAACACAGAGAGGTACCTACGCAGTTAAAATTTAAAGATTCTTTAAAAAATATTTTCTGTAATTCTGCAATATGCTTATAATAGCTTACCTTAATTATGATCTTGATATTTAAAGATATTAAGAATTTAAATTAAAATCTCATCCCTGTAATCCCGTGATATGCTTATGACAGCTTATCTTATTTATGACCTTTAAGAGTGAAATATAGTTTACTCTTGATGAAAAATTAAAAATAATCTAAGATAAAAGTGTTACAGTTTTGCTATATGTTCTCCTTTAACCTGTTGTCTGTAAGAAGTTTACTCTAGCGACAAGAGCGTTTTTGTACCTTTAAGTATATATTTAAATCTGTACTTAATGTTACTGTATTTCACTTGAATTGTTTATATATCATCGTTTATTTTTATGTTTCTGGTGCAATTAATTAACTCTTAATAAATATATATAATAAATAAATAAATAGTTTTATAATTCTACAATATTCGTTGTTTGAAAAAAAAATAACAACTAAAATATATATCTAGAAAATATACAATAAACTCGTTTAAAAAATAAAAATAATAAATTTCGCATTCTTTCTAAGCATATAAATACCAATAGCAATATTAAAATATTGTAAATAACAAATAAATCGCTTATCCAATAATCTAACCCAAGAATGCCGTTTGCTTATTTACTTACTGAAAACTCATCTCCCTTAACCTTCTTATATCAATACGAAAGTACAAAATCTTTGAAGTATTCTCA